TAATCCGATCTGCTGCTCAACGCTCATTCATGATTAAATCAAAAAAAGGATAACCGAGACTATGTTTTTTATCGTACCGACTTTAGTAATGATGATCGAGGCTTGGCCCATAATTCAATAGCTAAATTCTCGGTGCAAATCCCCTTTACATTATCTATTTTTGAACTATTATACTGAGAACTGCCAGTTATTTATCTAATCTCCCATAATGTATCTTTAAGGCCTTTTCATGTTAATAAATGTCTAATTAATAGTTTATATAACATTTCAGGCCTAAAGAAAGACCTGCATTAGGCAGATTTAGCTCTTGCATAATGTATGTTTAAATAAAGTGTAGTGAGCAAACAGGAGATATAATTATTATATTAATGATTATTTTAATCCAGATCCGACCAACATAGATATTACATACTGTAGAGTAAGATGGTCTGACACCACTGCTACAAACGAACCAGTTATAATGGTGTTCCTTTCTTGGATATACATCACGTGCTTGTCAAAATTAACCTACCCCCACCGGGGTGTAGGCGATCATAGAATACACCTTAAGTATGCCCTGTGTGTTGTAAGCAACTTGTTTGCCGTGCGTTGCGAATCCTGGTAATTGAGTGCTGTATGAAACATTTTACCATGCTTCAGAAGCCACACCAATTGATACTGGGTGATAAATTTCTCTAAGCTGAAATCGATCCAATTACCAGAAATTGGTAATTCTCAATTCATAGATTGGGTCGGCATGATGAAAAAAATCCAGAATGCACTCGATTAGGAATACGTCAAACGAGTACGAACAGCTTGCACAGAATCGAGTAATGAAATCAGGCGAATAATTGAATATCAAACATAGGTTTTCGTTCTAAGTTCGAATATCGTAGATCTCTCATCAAGAGATTGTGCCTCATCTGAATTAGCTCAAAATCAGATCTGGTGGTATGTTCCTACCTTTTTGTCTGTAAGTAGACTGGATCAATCAATCAGTCAAATCAAAACAATCAACGCAGAAATAGAATGCAGTCATACTAGTGTTGGGAGTGGCATCTTATATATTGCATTTGTTGTGGATTAAAGAAATTTAAAGATACATTATGGGAGATAAGATAAAGAGATGGCAGTTCTCGCTACAATAGTTAAAAACTAGATAGTGTAAAGGTAATTTGCTGAAAATTTCAGTCAAATTGATCCACTATGAGCCGAGAAAGAAACCGGTGAAATTTTTGCATAGTCTCGGTTATCATTACTAAAATCATTAATATAAACAGCATAGTCTCGATTTAATTATCATTGGCCGTTAGCGGCATATAGGAATCTAATCCAGCCTACATCAAAGGCTAGCCTTGACACCGAGAGTTTATTATGGTCTGGATAAGTTAATTAATGTCTAATTGATAATTTAGATAACATTTCAGGCCTAAAGAATGACTTGTAATAAGCAGATTTTGCTCTTGCATAATGCATGTTTAATGCTGAAGAACTGAGTAAAAACGATCTGAAATCACCCGAAATCATTTGGATTAGAGAACTTCAAGGAACTATCCCTAAATAGTCACCACCATTAACAAAATTCCGCGTCGCAGACGATTTTGCATTCAGTCATATCGGAGATTACTAAGCTGGCCCTTTGTATTTAAAGGACATCTATTTGAAATCAAATGACATGTATGAGTCTTATATTGCACCGTATACTTGTGCGAGTTGTCGAGCTATTCAACTCGATCTTGTTTCTAATTCAAGTACGCCATTTTTCATTCGTAGTTTCAACTGATCTTTTGGACGTCGTGGAGTTCCGCGTTTGTGACAATGGAAAAACATATAGTGGAGGAATAACGTCGAGCGATCACACTGGTGGGGTGGATTCTTCGAGCGGATAGATTCCCCAGTAAACAGATGTCTTAGAAATAAAATGAAATAAAATGGGGTTTAACGTCCTACTGTTTTGCTCCTAAACTGGGCTAATGCAGACGGGCATACGCCATACAGTGTGCTATGAGGGAAATTTTGCCCGGGCAGCGGCGCTACGGCCTACTCTTATATCGAATTCCAACTGCCAAGGGATCTTTTACATGCACGTCAATGTGTACACGGGACTTCAGTTTTCCGTCCCATCCGAACGACTAGACAGCTGTCCTTGTCAGGCCCTCAGATGTCTTAGATAATCACGTTTAACTTACGGGGAACTTTTAACTTTAATCAATCAAATCGAACGAGTTTTGAACTCCAGACCTTTAACCTATGTGTTGATGGAGGTGATACGTTGATGCTATCCGACTTGGTCATTGGAAGAAGATTATTGTCAGAACTGAAAACTGTTTCGATTATGGTATGGAACATAAACTATAAACTTGATCCTTTAATACGACGGATGTGCCTCACAAAACTTCTTCATCATATAGATTACGCGAGCACGACCAATCTTGTGAGAAGAAAGGTCAGTCTGTTGAAGTTAGAGATGTTGTGATTATACATGACACTTTTTGCGACAAAATTGTAATACGAAGCGTGTGGAGAAAATGTTTATCGGTCGTGATGGGAACATTCGACAATCCATAATACGAACTCTGAATCAATCTGGTAGACCTGTTCAGATGTTATACCCTATTGAATTAAAAAACATACTATCACTCGACATGTATTTAGACTACATAAACTAGTATTTGATATTGACTTGCATTAATGGTTGTGGGGGGGGGGGGGGTAAACATTGTAGGGCTAATGATATTCATTCTCAGTTAAAGGGAGATAACTGTGTTTTTTTAAAAATGGACCAGTAATTATTGTAGTGCGAGTTATAAATAGACAATTTTTCCCTTAATTATTTTCTCCCCTCTTCCTGCATTTTTGGAAAGACCTTTTGGTCTAGAATTGGAGAAAGGGGGTCAAATTTGCAATTTCATAGCAGTTTGGGGTAATACTGATGATATTACAGCGGAGGGATAGGGGGTGTAAAGTGTCTTTCTGCAGAGCAATCATTGTGTCGGAAGTGAGATTTTCACCCCAGTCAACTTTAAATCCCCGTAGCAAAAAATCTAAACGGTCAACCCCCTACAAATTTATGATGAGAATATTGCCAAATGTGGTCCCCATTGCGCCTATAAAGATTGGAACCAACGGAATGTTGAGCAAAAAGCTACAACCTGTGATGTTACAGCCATTTAACATTGAAGTCAATGGGCAAATAATTGCTAGTCTGAGTCCAAATACGTTTAGTTGACTCCTTCGTAGAAAGCTATATTCCGCTATTTGCTTGTTACCCGTATGTAAATGTTTGCCGTATAGTTTTTAATTTAACCCGAAACAAAACAACCTACACAAAACAACTTTTTATTCCACGTACATTGCCTGATCGACCTTGTCAGAGAATAGCTTCAGATCTTTGTTCATTTAAGAATAAACGATATTTGATAATAACTGACTATTTTTCGCGATACCTCGAGACCATCTACATGCCGACAACTACTTGTCGTTGCGTCACTGGAGACAACTAGTTGTCGGCAACTGACAGCCATTGGAAGTATCTGGGAGGATACGATCAGTTGCCTGTTTTGCCCATGTACGCGCACTTGGGACAGGAACACCACCAGTTGCCAGTATAGTTGCTCGTGTTCTACTTTTCAGACAACTAGTTGTACTCAGTTTCTCTCAAATTGCAAATTGGAACTGATCGTATCCAGTTTGTACGACCAAGAAATTATGATACAAAGAAAGAAAAACTGTTTTCTTAAAGAGGCCACATTATTATATAGGCCTACCAATATGTTTGCAAAATTTCAGCTTAATTCTTCTAGAGCTAAAACGGCAAGAAACTGTCATATAAAAACAGCCTAAAGCGCATTAGCTGAAAGACCAACTATGAAAATTTGTTATTATGAGACTTTCTATTTTGAGATATTTCTGTATGAGATAATTAAAGCAAGGTTCGCAATAAAAATACTATACAGCTTAACACATGAACAAAATTGATATTTTCTAAAAGCTGATAACTTTGGCAGCCATTTTGAACAAATCGCTTGACCTGCTGAAATACCTGTTTTTGTGTTTCACTGATCTCGGTGTACGCACGACGAACTGAGCAACCACCAGTTTCCACCAGTTACTTCCCGTCGCCGTGTCGATGTACGTACGCCGTGATTAAAGTCCCGGCCTGGATTTAAAATAGACCTACCGTTAAATTTTCGTGAACAACAAAATGGCGGTGTGCTTATTGCATGCATTACATAGATTGATGAAATTTAAATTTCCCAAACCTCTGTAAATACTGAACGTAATTGGACCATTTTTGGACCGGTATTCCTATTACAGAGTCATCTTTCACAATATTGTAGAATTTAACTCGGGACAACCGTCCATAATGTGTCGCATGGGGGAAGTCCACTCGACACAAACTAAGTCATTTCGGGACCAACACATGGTTCAATTCTATTTCAATAATACGCTTGAGCGTAGGGGTCTTTAGCAGTGGGAGGAAACCCACGAGGTTGGACAGAGGACCATACTCCTTGTCACGTACAACCGGGAAATCGAAACCGGGTCAGTTGACTCAATGACAGACCTTATGATACAGCGAGCACGTGCTAACCATTTGGCCATCCAACCCCCCAGAGAGAGAGAGAGAGAGAGAGAGAGAGTAGATCATTTCGGTTTAATTTGATTTCAATAATTCGCTTGCGCGTAGGGGTTATTAACAGTGGGAGGAAATCGAAGGACCCGGAGAAAACCAACGAGGTTGGACAGGCGACCCTAGTCGAAACCACGCAACTTGACTCAACGTCAAATGACCACCAATAGACCCCCCTTCCCCAATTATGTACAACGTTATCTTCTTTAGGACCAAATGTCGCTGCTTCGTTGACGCAAGGGAAAGAAGGAGCGAGAAGCTACTTATCGGCTTTCATGCTCATGGGCCTATTTTTCTTCATCAGGCATTCAATGTTATAAAGTTAGGACCCCACCCGTCCACACCGCGCCCCTTTAAAGAAAGTAACTCATCATTATATTGATTTTATATTGATTGTTAATGCATTTTGTGAAGAATGATCTACACCAGTGGCTGTATATAGTCTGCTTTAAATCTGAAAAAATAAAAAATTGTAGTTTAACAGTATATTATGTTCAAAATAAGCCCATGATCAATAAATTTGAGTGGAATTTGGAATTCAGAAGTTAAAACGATATTTTTAAACATAGCTATTTGTTAACTATGTAGCATAATAGCCATACAATTGCGCAAAATGACCTAAGAACTTTGTCGACTAGACTTTAAACCTCATATCAATTCATTCCCTTTTCATATAAATAAATATACCCGAGTAAAACTGTTTGACAGACTAGTTAATGTTTATCGTCTGCTTCTATTGTAGGTACATCAGTCATATTGCAGATATGTGTAAAACAGATAGCAAACAAAATTTATACATACACTGTCTAACCAGTGAAGGTTGTGCCATCTGGGGAGCTTCCGGTGAAGGTAGCTGGACAATAATTAACGTTACTAGTAGTGGTTAGGGTTGTTGCTCCTGTACCACTAACACTGTATGAACAACCATTAGCAGTAGTGATATAACTCAAACCACTCGGTGTAGTACCATAGATATTGCCAAAAGCATCTTTAATGTAAACGTCACCATTTGTTGGATTCTTATAATATGTGACGCCATTACTTCCTGTGTAGTACACAGTTCCATCTAAATCTTTATAATATGTCGTCCCACTTGTAGGATCAGTATAGTACTGAACTCCACTTGGCAGGACGTATATTCTGGTTCCTGAAGAATCGATGAAGAATTTGTTACCGCTAGCATCGGTGTAGTACCGATTTCCGTCAGCAGCTGGGGAGTCTACTCGATATCTGATACCATTAAGGGTGGTGTAGGTTGAACCGTCCGGTGTTACGGTATAACTTCCTCCAGTTCCGCTTGTATTTGGGATAGTTCTTTCGCCGTTAGGTCCAGGAGGGTATGTACGTAATGTAACAGGGTCGTAAAGACTTCCGTTGGATAGAACGTTGTAAAGTTTACCCTGGGGATCCTTGTAATATTTTGGGGGATTATAGGGGTTAATAGCTGTCGACGTGTAGGCTCCTGTTCCTGCTGTGTTGAAAGGGTTGTAGGTCCCCGTTCCGGTTCCTGCTGCGTTGTAAGGGTTGTAAGCGTACGGATTAGGGTAGGCATTAGAGTATGGGTTGTGTAAGTAGGGGTTTGAATTGTAAGGGTAAGATGGGTTGAAATGTCGGGCTTCATTTTTAGGAGTGGCGGCCAAATTGGAAACTGTGTCAGTGTTTCGCGCAAAGTTGATTTTTGTCAAGAAACTGGTTAAAGCCGTTGATTGTTTGGTTGGCGGTAGAGCATAGAGCACATGTGCACAGGTTACTGCTATTATCAATAAGGTCTTCATCTTTGACAAAGCCACCTGTTTAAAGTTAAAATATAACAATAATATTAAAAGTACAATTTGTCTATACGTACAGTCCATTTAAAATGGAATAGTGGTAATCACCGTCTTCCATTTAACTCACGGTAACCAATACAAGATCGTGTTCTCTTCCAGCTAATCTAAAGCTATAGTGGCCGTTTAGTTTTAGAAAATAAAATCACCTGACAGACATATTTTGATTTGATTGGTTATAATTTGTTGCGGTCAGACGCGACCACTTATTGTTTGGTTGTTAATAGGGTAATAATCTAGTCTATTTAAAGTAGCTAAGTCTCTAACTCAATATCATTCAAAGTCTTACACGTTGAAAATACGAATTATTTGTCAATTCAAATCAACATTGATGTTGTGATCTTACCAGAAAAAGGCAGGCCTCTAATATCCAATATTTAAGACAAAAAATAAACATTTTACCATTGGTACATAATGTAAAGGCAATTTGCTGAAAATTTTATTCAAATTGATCCACAATGAACCGAGAACTAAGCGATTGAAATTTACGCCTACGCCTAGCCACGATCGTCATTACTAAAGTCAGTACGATAAACAGCATAGACTCGATTATCCATTTAATCGTTAAATCGTGAAGGAAAGTTATGTAGTAAATCGACTCATAATCCACTAAAAATCACAGGCTAGCGATGCCATCTAGAGTTGAGTATGATCTGGATATGTTAATTAATGTCTAATAAATAAATTAATAATTTAGATAACATTTCAGGCCTAAAGAAAGACCTGCAATAGACAGATTTAGCTCTTGCATAATGTATGTTTAACAAAGTGCTTTGACAACCTTATTCCTTAGTTTTCTGATTGAAAACCTCGCCATCAGCCAGTGTTTTATGTCTCGGAAGAAACCAACAGAAGAGACATACAATTTGTGCGACAACCATGTGCGGTCAACTTAATTGTTTGGATTTTCCTTTCTATAAACTCTTTCTTTCTATTATGTGTGATTTTTCTGCTTGACCATAACCCTGTCTTTGATTTAATAGTGACACCTAGTGACATACTTGATAATGGGGCATATGGTTAACTCACTAACAACACATTAAAACGGAAAAGACAAATTGTTCTCAAAATTTTGACAGAAACAATATTTTACCACCTAACGGAATGGACATTTTGACCACATAATTTGATATGCTGATTTTATTTTCAATAATAACCATGACAAAATATTTTCCCAAAGAAGGGACTTCCATGCTGATGTACAATCTATATGTTTTTCTGACGGTTGAGAAAATTTTATATCATATATTGGGTAAACCGGTTTTTTTCCCCGTTATTTGTACGTTTTTATGAAAATAGCCCATCTGAGGCATTACACTACCCACTGAGTGGTGTATACCCCCCTGCACTTACCACTTTACAGCAAAAGACATGGTATGTTTTAAGTTGGTTTTGCAACCGTTGGATAAAAGACAGTCAATACAGAGATGTTCATGTTTTATCTTTTATTGCTCCATTTACAGAAGTGTTACAAACCTATTTCTTGACCTGACCTAAAATAGAAAATAGAAAATAAATAGAAAATAAAATAGAAATAGAAAATAAAATAGAAAATAAATCCAACTGTCCCAAAACTGGAAGAAAAAAATGGTGGATAGATTCTATAATAGCTCCTAAATACCGAAACATGTCACTATTTCAGTCAGTTTTTTAAAGAATCTAAATGTTTAAACTAGTTTCACTACAATGTACTAATTTGATGTATTCTCTTTGGCAGAAATTAGATCTTGGGCGGTTCAGAACCTTGAACATTCTGGTTGCCTGTCCAGCATTCTAACAACAAAACCAGTCGAAACTACGACGCGTGAATCGGTGACACCTAGAATTCCGTCCGTGTTTCTTTTTTTTTTCTTGACTTGACTTGTGGTCTAGCCTCGTTCTTCGGGTCATTGGTTACAAATGGCGCTGAAACGCATTATGGTACACGATTTATGTACCAATGGTAAAAGTTAAAACTTCTTACTTACATGTGGTAAATTGGCTATACCCATGTAATAATGCTAATTTGCATGACTCAATAATATTTCTCAAGTATTGCAGTTAAAATTTGTATTTTGTTCTATTTAATAGCCAGGTCGGTACAGAAAAGGAAGACGCTAAACCCCATTTCATTTCCATTATTACTTTTGATTTATGTCATAATTTTGATTTTAAAGCAGATCGTAATCAGTTCAATTTCGTAAACAGTTTGACATTTCACAAATATTACGCCGCATTATTAAAAATTATATGGTGGCTGATAGATACATGGGCAGAAATCCATGTAAACATTTCACACTTTCTGTAAATGCATTATTAGCATTACTACCTACTTTTTTATACGTTGTTGTTGTTATTATTGCTGTAAACATATCTGGTTCCATCTGGATCACTTCCAGTAAATCCTACAGGACACATGACATCATTCGTTGATCTTCTTGTAGACCTATCACCATTGACTTCATAATTACAGTTATTGACGCTGGAGATATATTTAGATCCGTCCGCCCGGGTGATATATCGGTTACCATATCTATCCATAGTATATTATGTGCTATTGTCGTTGGTATTTCTGTAATGTCGGATACCATTTTCGTCTCTCCAATACACGCTACCCTCTTGGTTCCTGTAAACAATTCGATCACCTTCTCGGTAATGTGTTTCACCGTAAGTATCTCTATAATACCGCCTACTTCAGCGATATCTATCCTGTGCATTCGCCCATCGATTTACGTGTATGTTGAACCGTCTGGGTAAACATGGTAGTTGCGTCCGTGTCCATTGCTGTTGAGGAGGATTCGGGCGCCCCTGCGACCGGCTGGGTATCTTCGGCCTGAAATTGTGTTAACCAAGGTACCGTCTCGCATTTCAGCATATAACCCACCATCGGGGTCGACGAGTATCGAACCCGTCGGAAGTGATTTTCGTGGTTTCTGGGTGGAGCAACCCCGTCTGCTGAGTACCCTGTTCCATGGTGACCAAACCTGCTTGGACCGTATTGAGGTCTGGTATATCCACCAACATCATTATTGCTATTTCCATCGTATGTTTGAGCTGTAGCTATGGCTATACAAATCGCGGTCAAAATCAACAGGTTCGTCATCTTGATTTCTAAAATTTAAGATTACAAAAACAAACATGATGAATATCTGAACTTGATATGTATTATACAGACGTCCACAAGAATATGTGCCAAGAGCAAAATGTTTGATATTAATTTATATTTAATTTTTATGGAAAGTGCTTATAGCTTTTATAAATTTCAGATCTGGCGTTGTACCAAATATATTTAGGGGAGTAAGTCTACTTAATGGAGTGGCGTTGTTTTGGTGTGTGTGTGTGCGTGGGGGGGGGGGGGGTTGTACATAGTTAGGGACTGTCGCCAAATTTCAACACTTGTGTCCAATCGAATATGGAATGTCAGCCAAAGTAATCTTTGCATACTCTGTTCAGTAGAAGGATGTTTTGCCTATTATTTTATAATATTAATATTTAAAACTATTCTAGGGTAAGTTATGTTATTTACTACACGTATCAAAGTTACACATTAATATTCTAATAATATTCAAAAGATCTTGTGTTAGGTTACTAATACAAGTTATTATGAACTAAATCATTTTCTAACTATCGTTTCATTTACAAAATTCATCACATATCACATATCTAATCAAAAAACTAAAAACATTGATGTCTTAAAAATCCTTACCGAAGATTTAAAATACAGGATGATTTTAAAAAACAAAGAAAATAGATTTATTAAACATGCATTATGCAAGAGCTAAATCTGCCTATTGCAGGTCTGTCTTTAGACCTGAAATGGTATATAAACTATTATTAACTATTATTAGACATTATTAACATGACAAGACCATAATCAACTATCGATGCAATCTGATGTCTCCGATTTTCATCAGATTTGAATACGATCTACCGTTCAACAGCCATTGATCATTAAACTCAAAAATGGATAATCGAGACTTTTTTTTATTTGACAATCCAGGCTACAGGTTTTTTTTTTTAAAAAATGGCTATTTCTCGTTTCGTTTTTTATAGTTCAAAATTTCGTTTTATTTGTCTGTACTACACTAGGATCTGGAAGAGTTGTTATAACCTGCGTTCTGGATAGCGTGGGGGGTTAGGCAATGAAACCATCTGTTACGGCGACTTCTTGGCGTGCAATACACGAACTGTGGGTAAACCAATAGAAACGTCAACGCTAATTGATTAATCAATTTCTGACGTCATATGGTCAAAAGCCGCTCGTACGACCCCTGACGCGACCTCCCAATACAACTGGTCAGATCTTCGTGTAATGTAGGCCACCGAAGGTATAAAAAAACGAAACGAAATATAAATCTATATTTTAATCAGATTGGGCTTAGGGTGAAGTAATTTGACTGAAAATTTCAGAATATTCCCGTTACATTATCCATTATTTAATTATTATAGTGAGAACTGTCAGTTCTTTATCTAATCTCCCATAATGTATCTGTAATACCTTGGTTCAGAGAAAAGCAATTTGGCTGAAATTCTTAGCTTTTTCTGTTTTCATTATCAATTTTGTAACTTTTATAGCGAAATCTGTCAGCTCTTTATCTAATCTTACCTAATGCCTCTTTAATAGAATATTACAATTTTTATAATATTATTTTCGAACTAAGCTTCGGTTATCATTTTTTTTTAAATAAAAAGTTCTATATAAAGCAATTAAACAGAAATAAGGTACAATACAATCATTGCATTTAAGATGTCAATATACAAAAGCCTAAAGGAAAATGCTCAAAAATTAGATTATAAGTAGAACTAGCAAATAAAAGATGAAAAAAAATATTTACGTACTTGGCTAAAATCCAAACAACTTCTGATACCAATGTCTGAGTCGGTTCCATTTTTAACCCGTAAAAAATAATTATTAATCATTCGCGACCTTGACCGATCGCGTCACCGATACGTCATCCGTAAAGCTGTTGTCAGTGCACAGAGTAAAAATACAGTGTTGATTTAAATTCAACTAAAACCCTCGTTATATATATATTTTTTCATACATCTTCTCGATATCAAAAAATGGTGAAAATCAGTTGTATTATTATTTAAGAAAATCACCGCCTTACCTTTCCTTACGACAAAATTTGAAGTTCTTAACGATTCATTTATCAACCAGCATCTATTTTTATAAAGGAATTGGAAATAGGGAGTGTTTTTATTATTAAGGAGTGCTAATGAACTGGCCATTGACGTAAATATTAGAACAAGGATAATGGTATTAATAATTATGGCTTTCTCACGTATAAATACTGATCATTAAAATTATCCCTCCCCTTAAAAGAAGTAAAAGCGAATTAAGTATACAGATTTTGTATATATTGTCATCACCATTAAGAACCATCTGTTGAATAGATTCCCCTCATTAAGATTCCTTGGCACGGTTTATCACCAACAAAAACGTGACTTCAACAATTGCTTTTTTTATGTAACTTTTGTTTAAATTATGTGGCTATTTGTTTAAATCGAAAGTAGAACATTCGTAGACAGCCTACATACAGATCAGGACTAACACGAAAATTGTTACCAGGTCAACGTCCACTTGTGTGCCTATGTGTTGTTCTAAGAGCCCTTGACAGAACTGGATAAAGAGTCGAACGATATGCAACAGTCCGTACAAAAATTCTCCCCACTGGCATGGACAAGGTTAACCGTATGTTTTTCCAAAATGACAGACATAGTGACACATTAACTTCCTTATATAACGTCAAAAAAGAATTTCAAAAGGGCATTATCTCTTTCACCAAGAAAACATATGGATTTGAATGCCATTTATGACCGATGGTATATTTTATATTATTCAAATCGACAAATTCTAGTTATGGCCACCTTTTTTAGTTTCCTTTCCCCCAAAGTCCAATAAATGACATTTCAGAGACCAAGTAAGCGCCCCCGTGAGACAAAGTCCCCCCAGGTCCAGTCCCCAAAAATTAAATACGATCTATACAAAACAGCATAAAAAACGTCAGTACGATTTCAAAATCAGAGAGGCACTTTAATCAAATCATTCTAGAAAACGACTTACTAAATGGATCAAAGCAATTTTTTGTGAACAGTATGTTGACACATTAGTGATTAATTCATCGCGTACAATTCCAAGACATTACGAGAAGGTTTAAAGTCTGTATACAGTCTATATATCAGTATCTGGTGTGTCCACCGCGAGTGTCAATAACAGCAGCGCGGCGTCTGTACAATGTACATGGAGTGGACCAGACGATTAATGAACGCCATTTGCACCTGGAACCACACTCCCAGAAAAGCCTGGCGCAATCCATCGGCTGTGTTTGGCCTCGGTACGACCTTATTAAGTCTCCTCTGAATTTCATCCCAAAGACGTTCAACCGGGTTTAAGTCCGGACCAAGGGCTGGTCAGTGCATAACGTTGACACCGTTCATAGAAAGTCCCGGGTAACTCTGGTGGTGTGGGCACGGGCGTTGTCATGCTAGAAAACGTTGTTTCGATGACATGCGAAATGTGGTATGACGTGGGGTCTGGGCGCTTGATCGATGTAGCGCATTGCTGTGATGCCGTCTCCTCTCCCTGGGCCAAGATTTTGGAACACCACAAGACCCATTCTCTGGCTCAGGCCGATTCCACCCCAAACCATTCTGCTTGGACCTCCCCATGAGTCTCGTTCCATGGCCAGAATAACGCTGGCCACGTCGACGCCATATTCTGGTCCTGCCATCTGCAGTTGATACGCAATACCGACTCTCATCTGTGAACAGAACAGTTCTCCATTGCCTGTGTCGCCAGTTCTGGTGTTGTTGGGTAAACTGTAGACGTTCACGTCGAGGGCGAGGGGTGAGGATCGGTCCACGGTAAGGTCTACGGCGATTTATTTTCTCTGGTGAGACGTTGGCGCACTGTATCGGTACTGGTGGGTCTTCCGTGTGTTCCCACTGTCTGACGTGCTGTCTCACATGCCTTTGTGAAGGGATTCTGCACGTGCTCTCGCAGAACATGGCGGTCTTGTCGCCTTGTGGTTACCCTTGGTCTACCAGTTCGGGGGCGATCATCCGTGGTGTTGGTGGCCCAAAAGCGTTGCTGAAGCCTGTAGATGGTCCGAACATTGACCTGGAAGTGATTGGCAACGGCTTGGCCCAGCGTCGAGACTTCCAAGCGAATGGTTCCTCTGAGCTGTCGTGAGTCGTGGCATGCTGCTGACGTTGTGGTGTGAATGATTCAACCAGGTATGGGGGTGCATTTTATTGGGCTGGTCCCGGTGAACAGCAAGTGCAGCATGAGTTACATAAAAATTATGGAGAACACATTACCATCTCAGAAGTCAGGTTGCGTTTTTGAGAACCGCCCCACCCATCCCTTTTCCCAGCTTCTTGATCCGCTACTGGCCCCTAGAAAACTCGCACCTGGGGCGCTTGGCTCCTGACTACGTCACTCGTATTAGGGGCATGTGCATCAGTCGGTCGCATTTTGCTGCCCGCCCCGACCCCCCTAAAAAAAAACCCAACCCAACAAAACTTTTATGTACGCCCCTGGACGGGAAGGGCGGGGCGGGGGCATGCGTGCGATTAAGATAAGGTCTGTCATTGAGTCAAGTGTGTTAGTCCCATATTTAAGTTAGTCTCGAACCTAGGCTATTTGGTGGAGTATTCGTAGCCTACGGTTTACTGCGGTGTAGCCACATTAGCTGCCGGTACTACTACGGTTGTTACCACGGTAAATCTCGGTATCACTGCGGTATCACCAGTGGGATACATAAGTGCAGATTGCCAATGACACCACTAGTGACCGAGTCGCCTTACAGGCTCCCCAACGAAAAGACTGGAAACCTCAACAAAACAACAACTAGAAACATGACTTCAAAAAAGCGTGCAGCCTATGGGAAGACTGGTCCCAAGAAAAGCGAGCCAGTCCTTTACCGAGTTACCGCAGCTCCCATGCACGAATGACACTTGCATGGAAAGCAGGAATATAGCTGTATATGTACATTACACCCACCACCCCCAATTATAATGCATGGCGTATGCTCATCTTCATTATTTATACGGGTTGGTGCTGAACAGTAAGGCATTAAACGCTATTTGATTTCTTTTCTCTTCATTAAAACTGTCACTCCCATTACAGTATTATTTAGTTTGGGCCATATATCTATTTTAGTGAAAATACTAAATATTTATAAAATATTTATAGATGCTTTGTTTCAGTTTAAATATTTCTTAGAACTTAAACCTCAAATCCTATCTGAAATAAAGGTTTACAGATATTCTGGTAGAACTATTTTTTGTGGAGAACTTATATTGGCCCTCGTCGTGAAATCTTGTTCAGTTTATCGAATAAATTGTTTAAACTAAATACTGTTATCAATAATTTTTGATATTTGCTATAAAGGGAAAAAACTCCTTGTACCGTTATTGGCGGCAGACCACCATTAATTTCCCCATTGACTTTAATGTTAATTCTGGCCTCTTTGCCCATCTCGAACTTTTCCCCAAATTTTCGTTGGGCTGAATGCTTTTCACTAGAGGCAGAGGAACAAATGGTCATGTCTTTGCAGTAAAATTTGTATGAGGTTGACCACCAAAATTTTGAGATACACACACTTGAAGAAGCATACTAAAAACAAGTAACTAATTACCATACATATCACCGTAACTAACCTGATAACCCTCAAAATCATGATTATTTACCAAAACCTGGCAGAAAATGTTAATTCAAACCCTCCTCGTCCATTCTAGACCAAAAGATCAACAAAAATGGGCATGCAAAAGGGGAGAAAAGATACAGAGAATTGCTATACAATTTGTGGGTACCGAGATGGTGAAGTTTAATGGTGGTCTGCCTCCTAATGGATTTCCCAAATTCTGCTGTTCCCTTAAAATGCTAAATCGCTATTCTTTGGCACCTAGAAATTTATTTTTATGCCAACTTCAGAATTCTTAGTATAAATATTTTGCAAGAGATTGATAGAGAACTGGGAAAATCAAAAGAGCTGATCTTCTTATCTTCATGTTCCAATGCTTCACATTGAATTTGAAAAACAAAATTAGTTAAAAACTGATTCAAGATTTATTGTTATAACTTGCTGAGGATGGCTCGGTGATTATGGTGTAACGGTGATATATTTCAATGATTGTGTATTTTTTTTTTAAATAAAAATTTGCAACCTCTACAAGGTCCACATGCTAAAAACATGATTTTTCGTACAAACGGGCACTAATCCATGAAGTTACAGTCCAATACGTAATATCAAAACCAGAGAGAAATTGTGACCTGTAGAGTGTACACAAACACAGACACGGACAGACAGGGGCGAAGACATAATACGCCCACATGAAAAAGTGGGCGAATAACAAGGGTATGTGTAATACTCTGCCTTACGCGACCACCACAATCATTTAGCACATTTAATTGCCGAGGGCAATAAATAAATAGTTTCAACCAATGTGTGGTTGTAAAACCAACTTTATTTAAAAATATCTCGGTTCATTAACATAGTTTATAAAACCACACAGAAATAATTATAGTAGTCATAGCAAGATTATTCCCCAGGTAACATATAAATAATTTTAGTAGTAATAGCAACATTACTCCCTGTTAATACATAGAAATAATCATAGTACTTATACTATTTCCTAGTAACATAAAATAATCATAGTTGTCATAGCAACATTATAATACATATAACAGTTATATTAGCCATAGCAACATTATTCCCTATTGACACGTAAAAATAATTGTAGTAATAATAGCAACATTATTCTCCGGCTCCAGAAACAGGAATCACAAAAATATTCATCAGAAACTTCAACAATTTTCCAACAAAAATAGTGCCAATAGATACCAAGGACTAAAGCCCAAACCCCAACACAAGTGTCTCTCCCTAGATGAAGACATTAGACATGGACATTGTTGTGAATAAAAGTATTTCTAATAGGTGTATACCTAATCAGTATGGTGCTTTGAGCAGGTTTGTTTGGTCTAAGAGGAGGCTAAAAGACAGTTTCTAAAAAAACAAACCCTATTTAACAATACCATGTAATTTAATGGGGGGGTTTTCTAGAAAATATAAATGAGTAGATTACAAATACTACATTAAAATTAGAAAGTCATGGCAAATTTTTTTTTATCAAAAAAATAAAGATAGCCATGCAAAGCACGGATATACACCAACACATCAGCTATGTCTGGGAAAATCGAAAGCCATAAACAGACGTTTATCCAAAAGAAAAACTTGGATGTTGACCAAATTTGATTGCCTTCAAGATATCTGATCTTTATTGCGTTCACAGGGTTTTTAGAAAAATGGGTTAACTGATTATTGATAGGTTTCATCCTCTCATGACCCCAATGATTCACACCAGATTTGAAGCAAATTCATTAAAAACTATTATGTTCGCAAGGTTTTTGGAAATGAGGGCACAGCTCTGGAATTGAACATCACAGAATGCTGAGTATCAATAGGGTTCATTGTCTCATGAACCCAATCATTCACACAAAATTTGAAACGTGCATTTTCGTAAGAAGGCAATGCTTCATACTAAATCTGAAAAAAATCCATTACAAACTGTGGTAGGTGTATCGAGTTCACAAGGTTTTCGGCAATAGGATGGTAGTCTGAAAGGTGATTACGGACAAATCATTTACGAAAATATATTCTTTCATAAAATTTTGATCACAATTGTGACTACGGACAAAAGCGACAACAAGAGTAGCAATCAATGAACTAATTATCAAAAATAATTTAATTGGTGTCTAGTTCTTCTAAGTGCTAAACATGTAGCAGTAATAAAATGATAACCATTCGGGTTGTAGGAAATCATTGAAAATCAATGCTTCTTCATCGCATGAACTTAAACAGTGCGTAATTCAAATCAATTGGCTACCGTTGTGTATAAATTCTGAATCGATGGGATAACAATATCCACTGCTAGATTTTTTTAACGTGATCAAGGGCAATAATTCCAAAAATAATTATCAGCTTCTTCACCTTGCGCGTACAATTAGCTTCCACAAGAATTTTCAAATTGTTCAAGGGTGATTACTCTGATGTTAATTATCAGAAATCAATAGACTTCTTTGCTATAAATTTCAAGGACCATAACTCTTGGCAGTAATTAGTAAAACATTTTGAAAATTAATAGACTTCTTCGTCTCATGAACTTTGAATTTATACACGGTGTTTAAGTGCTACTTATTTGAAAATTAATAGGCTTCTTCGTCTCATGAACTTAAACACTGCATTCAAGTGAATCGGATGACAATTTTAGTCTTTGGACCGTCCACAAGATTTAAAAAAGTGATCAAGGGCCATAACTCTGTCAGTAATAATCAGAAATCGTTAAAATTCATATATATATACAGTGTTTCTGGTCATGAGACAAAGAAGTCCTATTGAGTTATCACATGATAACAAGATTTTTTAAAACAGATATAGGGGGAAATCAGTGAAAGTCATTACACTCCTTTGTCTCATGACTAAAACTGTGTATAAAGTGAATAATAACTTTAGCTTCGAGCGTCAACAGGCAATTGTGGATCGACGGACGGATGGGGGTGATGACAATATATGTGTACGACCAGATTTCAATATGGGTGTATAATAAAGAAATAAAAATATTAAAAATTACCTAAAATGTAACTAACACATGCTCTTATCATAATACTGTTCATTCTTATAATGGGTATTTTAGGGAGCAACAATGCCTCTGTGAGTAATTAACAAGGGGCTGGCTCATTAACCAGGACATAAATAGACCAGGAGCCCAGGGGGTCAACCTAGCTGAAAAGTGTACCAATTTTCTCCTATATGGTATCAATGTATGTATATCTGGTATCATCAGAATGTAAGTCTGTCGAGTTTCTGGTGGTGGGTGTGGTATTCCACGCCCTAAATGCCATGACCCCCAACTAGACTAGATTAGCTCAAAAGTGTACCAAATGAAAATCGGACAGCAGTGTACCGTACATCTTCAGGTATTACAAAAACACTCTGACAGACATGTCTAGTGGTGGTGTATCCCCGGCAGACTTACATTCTGATGATACCAGATATACATACATTGATACCATATAGGAGAAAATTGGTACACTTTTCAGCTAGGTTAACCCCCTTTGTCTCTTTTAGAATCTGTCAACAACACCGGTCTACATTTCTTGTAGTTGAACCTTCTGCTATATTGCAATCTATGGTAATTGCCAGTAGTTACAAGTCGTTTTATTGTCGGATGACGTCATGTGATATATACAACACGCCCAGAGCCATCTTTATGTTTTGTGAAATCAAATGGGTGTTTCTGTTTTTAATCTGACTGAATCCAGCATTGATATTTTGATTACTTTTTTTCTCATTTATTATTTTAAATGTTAACGAATCAGTACATATTAGGTTGGATTAAGCCATAGGAAATTCGATAGCAAAGGGAGGAGAATTTTGACCAGCACAGCAGTGTTTTTGCTTACTCTTCATCAGATTCCAACTTTCAGGGGTTCTTTTGAATTTAAGTACACTCAAATGTGTACACGTTGGACCTCGGTTTTTTGGGTTCCATTCGATTGACTAGAAATTCCCAAGGTACCTCTCGGCACATGTAGTAATAAACAGTAACTGTATTCCATAGAATTATATCTATTGTCTCCTAATTATAGGTTTACATGATGTTGTGTCAAATGGTTGCCAGGTCCTATGATATTCTGAGTGTTAGTTGCCAAAAAAACAGGTCCTGATTTGAGATCTGATTTTCATAACTTTGATAGGATTAATTCCTGTATTCAACGGCTGACAGTTTACACTGTATCATTTAATTTTGTGTATCTAGCCCTAAATTCTTTCAAATTCATTTAATATCATATCTTTGTTTAAAAATCACCCAAATACTTCTAATTTGTACTTGTGTCCAGTTTAAAACTGATTCATTAATTTTGATAATGAGTGCCCAATTTACAAGTATTTAATTTATTAACCACTGTTCAAAAATCAACCAATATACATCAATAATCAATTGGGTTGTTTATTTTTTAACAGTGGTCAATAAATTAAAAGCTTGTAAATTGGACATTCATTATCAAAATTGAATGGTCCGCTTTAAGCAGGAAACAAGTACAAATTAGATGATTGTTGATGATTTTAATGATTTTTGCGAAGTTTTAAATAAAGATTTGATATTGAAAGAATGTGAAAGAAATTAATGCTAAATACACAAGATTAAATTATACCCGGGCTACAGTGCTATAAGCAAGATACATACCAGATTTCACTATAAAAAAGGTGACATTTGTGTCCACTGAAATCAGTGGTGTAGGACTCAACTATAACACTATGTTGATGTCCACTAACTAACACATATTACAAGTTACCCATACACAAGTGTTCATTATAGCATAGATGTTAGAGGTTTCACTGACTACACCCATGTAATAGTAAGAACCTGATATATTATACTCAAGGGTTTAATACACCCATGTTATACTGAAAACCTTACATTATTTATACATTATACCCATGGAATAGAGAAAACCATATATAATACACAGGTGCTTCATTATAATACTGACATTGATGTCTCTTGACGACAGTCATGTTATAGTGAGACTCAAATATTATACACTAGACTTTCACTATAACACTGATGTAAGTATTTAATTATTGCACACTTGTTATAAAGATACTCAAATATTTTACACAAAGATTCACTATAAATCTGTTGTCGATATCCACCGACTACATGCATGTTTTAACGAGATACATCCATTATACACTTGGGCTTCACTATACAAAAGATGTAAATTTAAAGACAATGGGGTATATTGTACATGATCAATCACAAGATGAAAATTAAACATATATTCGCATGATTCAAGTTAGACAATATTAATGATATTAATCATGAGTATTAATTCTTGATATGAAAATATATCAGACTAGAATATAGATTGGTATTATCATATTTAATCAACAGTTGGATGTTGGTTCTATCTTGAACAAAGACCATGAACCTCGAAGTTTGATACTTCAATATCTATCACTAATATTGTCATGCAAGATACACCCTGATAATCCAAGAGATCGACAGAAAACCGGGAAAATCGTTTGCGGTCATCCTCTCGCACTGTCCAATTGACTGCATCCTTTATCAAATTTAGAAAATTTCCAACAAAAGGGTGGTAACTCCAGAACTGAAGGTTGCGGAATAATGAATATCGATTGGGTTCGTCCTTTCATGAACCAAAATGTTTCAAACCAAATTTAAAAACGATTTGTTAAAAAAATTGTAACCTCTATCACATTCACAAAGTTTCCAGCTAAGAAGTCATAACTCTGGAGTAAAAGTTTGCTGAACGCTCATAATCAATAAGGCATGTTCTCTCATGAAAAATTTGTTAAAAACCACATCCTCTACTCCATAATTCCTGGACACAAGGTCTGGACAGGACGGAGGACATCATATGTCTGTCAACATGAAATTTTTTACTTTTAACAAACTTTGTCAACCCAGACCAAAATGATACTTAAAGATGCAGTAATCTTTAGCTAAATCTGCCTAATGCAGACCTTTCTTTAGGCCTCAAATGTTATATTAATCATTAATTAGACATTAATTTACATACTTGGCCCATAACAAACTCTCTAGAACTTCGGATGGTTTTGATTTTCAACATATTTAAATACAATTGGCAGTTAAAGATTAATTTAAAAATGAATAATCAAGACTTTGTTTATTATCGTAATGACGGTATCAATGACAACAAGACTACACAGTTCTGCAAATGATGATAACTCAGCTCACAGTGCAGCAATCTGACTGAAATTTTCAACATATTCTTTTATTCATCATTTTTTTTTTTTTTTTAACTATTATAGCATAAACTGTCAGCACTTTATCTAAATCTTAAATAATGCATCTTTAAAGCATACAATTAAATTAGAAAATTATACTTAACAGAATAATAAAACCTCAGTTATTATAAAATATTTGTACTGTTTGTCTGTGGAGCATGGATTTCTCTAAATCTACATTCATAACTACTAAAACAAGGCAACAGTAAGGCTAATGTCCCCTGCCTCAATCCCAAAATAAATAAATGACATTCAATAAATACTTGCACCGTTAGGTTTCAAGGCATCGACCAATTAAATTGCTCATCTCTGCTTAGCCTATGCTCAGTCAATACATTCACCTACTGATCATTAACATTTACACCATGTTTGAACATTCTATCTCAATTAGAAACATAGTTATTGTGTTCCAAAGTCTTGACTAATAAAATTGCTGATCTCTACTAAGCCCAAGCAGAAAATGATAAATCATTGTAGTAATGAGGCTATATGCCAAGTTTTGTTGTTGTTAGTTAGTTGTATTTTACGTCCGCTTCCAATTAGAAATAGAATGAAAGTCATCATGTTCCAAAGCTAGACCAATCTATTTGTTTTTCTGTGCTTAAGCCGAGCAGAAAATGCTCATTATCAGACTTAGTCAATAACCTTGGCATGAAATCAAGGTAATTTAAGAGTTATTGGTAATGTCCCATGCATTTGCCACAAATTTATAAATACTTTGGTTTCTTAACATAATTTTCATTTAATGGAGTGAAGCTCAATCATTGGTCAATATAAATGTAGATTGTAAATTATTATGGTAAAGTCATTATACAATTTAAAATGGGACATTATAATGACTGTCTTATTTCTCAATGAATCTATATCAATTCATCAATAAGTACACTGACAACCCTCACTCCATAATAAATGATCTCACCTTATTTCTTTAAATGCTTTGAATAAGCCTATTTCTCACAACACAGATGTTTAAATTTCTATGTGCCTCAAATGAATTATTGTTATTATTATGTTTTTAGCACTCTACAAATTAATAAGAATGGAACTATCTTAATATTTACACAGACAGAAAAAGAAAATAATGAGAGAGAGAGAATCACACTAAATGTAAAACATCTAATAATTTAACGAAGATGATATATCGACTAAGATATATCAATCGACCAAAATATACTGATCGACACAAATATTATACACAATAAGTTTAAAGTTTAAAATTAAATGTCTGATTATTATGCCTAGGTTACATGTCTCAAGGATCTTTCGTTTGTCATCAACTTCTCAACTCTTGACCCATGAAATCATCCTATATTTCATCATCATAGCAACAGTACTACTTTGGTTCCATAATTTATGTCCGTATAAAAAAAGCTGAGTTTGAAAACAACGCCCGAATTATTATCCAATCTGAATACACAATTATAAATACAATGCTGTATATCAACACAGCAATAAGTCTCAGTATATAGTAGAATGTTCACTATGCCAGTCTCAGAGTAATGTACACTTGTGTTGGTTTCTGCGGAGTGGTTGAGGTTGTAAAACAGCACGTACTCCTTCATCAAAAACCTGGAGGGAAAAAATTAAACATTGTTAACATAATCTTATATATATGCCTGACAACTTGATTTATTTACCCCTTTGAACATAAGCACATGGATTTCAAGCTGTGACATTACAGAGCGCCATCAACCATCCCTTATGTCAAAACAGGAACCAATTGTAGACATACACTTTCTTGCTGTCTAAAGGGTTTTAACCAATATACATGTGCAAATTAGTATTTATAATTTGCAATCTATTAAAATCAGATGTCAAATGCATATTATGTTTCTTAATATTTATCAGGTTTACTCCATTAATTTGACAGTTTCCTTGTAGGCAGTGTTCCAATCATGTGATCCCATTATACTACTCAAATTGTTTGTATTGGTAGACCGGGCTGCATAAGTGTACATAGTGAATGCTTCTGAATGGTTTATGACAATTTGAAATAGTCTAATATACATGTAAAAAGATAGCCACGTAAAGTATGGAAATACACCCACACATGAGCTACATGTATGCCTCAACAGCACTTGTCCAAAAGAAAGCTTGGATGTTGATCAAATTTGATACAGATTCTTCAAGAAATCTCATCTCTATTGTATTCACAAGCTTGAAAAAATATGTTAAAAACTTTAGCCTCGATTGTGCTTTAGGGAAAGGGGGACTCGGACTCCAGAAAAGGATGAGGACATTATCATGACCACAATGCTTCAAAACAAAAATAATCTGATGAAATTGCATTTTGATGGTTTTCAGTACTAAAAAGTCGCAGAATGCTGAATATTAACAGGATTAATCCTGTCATGACCCAATGCTTCTCCAGAAAATAATAAAATATAGCTACATGAAGCGTGAAGTTATGCCCACACAGCAGCAATGTCTCAAGTTATTGCATTCAGAACAATTTTGTGTAAGGGGGCATAACTCTGGAACAAAAGGTCGCAGGACACTGATTATCGATAAGGTTTGCCTCTCATGATCCCAAATGTTTGCCTTAGTGCATTTACAAGGTTTTCGGATAAAGGGGCATATTCTGGATCAGAAGGTCTGATGCACACCAAAATCTGAGATCTTTTGATTCTTAACATCTAATATGTAAAGTTTCATCTGAATCAGACAAAATTTGTCAAATTTTGTGTAATAGGCATGGGGGCATAATTCCAGAACGGACACGCACCAAAACCAAACTCATCTCAGATGTTTTGATTCTTAACACATATTTTAAGTTTCATCTAATCGAACAAAAATTGTTGCTTCTAGAGGGTCCACAAACTTTGTACATATTCATATTTTGCGTAATTCTGATGCGCACCAAAACAGAACTCATACAAGATCTTTAGATCCGTAACGTATAATATGATAAATTTCATCTAAATCGAACACAAATTGTGGCCTTGGTATACACGTATTAAAAGCCTTTTTACTATTTGCATAAAGGGGAGCGACCATTTTGATGTGAAGTTTCGATCTGATTTTCAGGAAATTCAAACTCAACCATGATTACGGTATAGTGTAATGGTGATATATTTAAACGGTTTTTAAAATCAAAAGCAAAACTAGAACTCCATAGGCTTTCACAACACTGAAACGTCACGGTGAGCATAATCGATGTTAAGCTCGATACCGAAGATGTAATTTAGAGTTTACGTAAGTTCTTTAAGGTATCTACCTAATTTCATTTCGTTAAGTTACTCCACTGTTTCGGTTGGATTTGGTTGATTACGGTGAAATAATACGCTGTTTTCAATTCTCGATCTCTTTTTTCTGCTACCCCAGATATTTCGGACTGTTGTATAAAGGTTTCATAGACAAGAATACCAATTAGACTCACTATAGAAGAAGTTGAAAAAAAAATTTAGGTGTACTTTCCAGAAAATGGCGTCTGAACTTTCTCGAAATTGGAAAAAAACAAAAAACACTGTTTATTTTTTCAGCTACCCCTGATAATTCCCACTGTTGTACAAAGGTTTCTTACACAAGAATCCAAATTAGACTCTCTATAGAAGAAGTTAGAAAAAAAAAATTAGGCAGACTTTTCGAGAATATAGCGTCTAAACTTGCTCGCAATTTTGAGAAATAGGCATCTAAAAAAAATAACATTGTTTTCAATTTTCAATATCCTTTTTGAGCTACCATTGACTTTGAGAAATAGGCGTCTAAACTTGCTCGAAATCATAAAATAAACATACTTTTCAAAGTCTCATAACTTTTTTCGTTTTCTGTAGAAACTTGGCGCTTTAGTCAACTTTAGTCCATCTAGTAGACGTTTTATTTGGCTTTGAATACTTTAATTAACTGTCCAATAAATAGCAAATTGATGCATTGCAATTTTTGCACGTGCACCTATTTTGTAGAATTTTGTCACCAAGTTGAGGTATACTTTGTGACTACTTCCGGTCAATAGAGAACCTCAAAAATACACTTAAGCACTAGTTCAGATGTCCCTCTGCTGAAGTTTCAGAAAAAGTTCAGACAGATTTGAAAAGTTATTAGATTTTGACTAATAAATCGCAAAAAAATCAACCAAAATCAATATCACTTATATTGTTTGAACCGGATAGATGTCAGCTGTCCAAAAATGTAATCAGAATTTAAAAATACAAAGAAATAAATTTTTTAGAAAATTTTCCAATTTTTACCCCAAAAAATGAGAATGACTAAGTTTCTAAATTCAACATTTTTGAACTGCTATCTGCTCAGAAATGTCTACGGCTATCCAAAAATGTAAATATCTGAAAAATCGGTTGAGAATTAACAGAATTATGGCCAGTTTTCCGTATGCGGACAAATTTTGAAATAGTTTTAAGCACTAATAACCACCACCCACTTTTCCAGCAAAAAATCAAATTTCAGACCTCTATCTCTAAGCCCCCCCCCCCCAAAATAATAATAATCTTAGTAATAACAATAGTGTTTCACCATTCACAGAGTCCACAAGCTAAAATCGTGATTTTTTGTACAATCAGGGGTAATAATCCAGTAGACGTGGTACAAGGGTTAATCAGCGAACTGGATGTATGAGATGTGTTGTTGACGTTTGGGAAAGTAGGACGAGGGGAAATGTGTAGGGAGTGAAGTGCTGTAAAGGGATAGTTAGATGTATTATGAATGGTTAGAGTGGCTGTGGTGTTACGGTGAAATACTATGCCGCCACCGTAACACCACAGCTTTATGATTTGTTAGACAGGAGTGATGTAATGGGTGTCAACAACTGGGTATGCTGGTACCGTCGCAACGTAGCCGTGAAATATATATTGTGGGGGGGAAGGGCGGAAACGGAAAAATATACAATGTTGTCAGTATGTGCCAGGCATGAGGCTGCGCAGACCGAGCGGCAGCTCGATAGGGAGTGTGTGGGAGGGTCACCCTCATAAATTTCAGTTTTCTGTAAGCAGTGAAAACACTATTTTGGCATTGTTTGCTGGGTTAAACCTAAAAATCACATTAATACACCTATTGCACGATATTGTGAAACTAGCTGACGAAGACAGCTCGACTCGTGGCTGCTCTGTCAGTATCTAACAAACGCATTTAGTTCGCGTACAACTTTTAAAAACCGAATGTCAGTATGGTATTTCTCACATAATTGGTTATCGCAAAAACAGAGTAAACTGAAAGCGAGTAATCTCGACTCAAACCTATAGTCTATAGCCCACTTACTACACTCGTCACTAGGCTTCCTATATTATTGTTTGTGGACGGTTTACTACTCAGTGATAAGCCTGCGCCGCAAAAAGAGGTCTCGCCTTTTATTATTAGTATAATGACTTCCTCATGTGCGGCAGGTTAGTTTGCTTCTAAAAACACTGTTTTCCGTTCCAAAATATACAAAAGTAATTTTCTACCAGATGACCATGGTTCTTTTCACCGAGACTAGATAATTTCTCTCGGTGTAAGGATATAGCTATGGATAAGTTCATACAAGGTCAATAAATCCGCGGTCACTTCGGGTCCCACTGTTGAGAAAATAAACCGATGGGTTTGTTTAGTAGCAAATCGAGCGTGAATCAACTGAGTTTGTACTGAAAATTTTTTGAGTGATATGTATGAACTGTCTTCACACATTCGGTTTATAATTAGCGATATACAGGTACAGTGGCAAGTGTTGTACTTCACAGACTGTTTACCTCCGAACTACCTCCGCACGAAATCCCCGATTTGGGTACTTGTTAAAAGAAAAAGAAATAGTACCTGTGCGCATGCCAGTAAAAAAAAACCTAAGAGTTCGCGCATAAAAATCCCCGAACGTACCAGGTGCCAGGTCATCTAGGAAGTTATTGTCTGGTACACGCAAATATCGAAAGGAACCAAGATCTTTTGTATATATACTATTCAAAAAAAGTAGGGGATATTTGATTTTTAAGTGTTATTAAAGTCACCTAATGAAACTGACGAAGAAACAAATGACAAAATGAAATGAAGTTCACATTCATCGATTTATTCCAAATGATCGTTAGACTAAGTAAGGCACAGACTGACCATTATAAGGGTAAAATGATACCCGGGGTCAAACAGCAAAGTTACCACAGCATCACAACCAAGTCAGTAACGGGTAAATCCTCCTCTGTTTGCCAAACAAGCATTGATCCGACGTGGCATACTCCTAATGAGACGTCTAAGGTCATTTTGGTCCAGATTGTCCCATCCCTGTTGCAACGCAGCAGCAAGTTCTTGGACATTGGCAGGACGTTGTTGACGTTGACGTAACCTCTGTCCAAGCATGTCCCAGACATGCTCGATGGGGGAGAGGTCGGGACTCAGTGCTGGCCAAGGTAATGTGGTGATGTTCTGTTGTTGGAGGTAACCTGTAACGATCCTGGCCCTGTGACATCTTGCGTTGTCATCCTGGAAGATGAAACGGCGGCCATGACGTCGTGCGAACGGCACAACATGGACTGCCAAGATGTTGTCCCGGTAGTACTGGCCTGTAACACGCCCTGCAACAACATGTAAAGCCGTTCTTCCAGCAACAGTGATGCCTCCCCACACCATAACAGAACCACCCCCAAATCGATCATGTCTGATGACGTTAACGTCTTGGAAGCGCTCGTTTCGACGACGCCACACCCTCCTACGTCTGTCCAAAAAATCAACAGTGAACCTTGACTCATCTGAAAACATCACATTGCTCCAGCGTCGATTATCCCAGTGTTGACGATCCCTACACCAACGACGTCTTGCCTGAATGTGATGATCTCTCAAACAAGGGATCACGCGAGGACGTCGGGCGCGAAGGTGACCCCTATGCAGTCGATTCCGAATCGTCTGGCCACTCACTCTCACACCAGTGTCTGTTTGAAGACGAGCGCTGATCTGATTTGCTGTGATGACCAAGGCCAAGGTACGGATAAATCGATCCTGGGCTTGAGTTGTCGCCCTTGGTCGACCTGAGCGTGGTCTGTCCTGTACAGATTGTGTATCACGGTATCTGGACCATAGCCTGCTTATGACAGACTGAGAAACATTCATCGTCCGCGCCACAACCGCCTGTGTTGTGCCGATCTGTAGCATGCCAAGGGCACGTAACCTTTCATTTTGGGTAAGCCGACGCATATCAAAATTTGTTTTCTGGTCACTAAAACAATTAAACTGATGTTTCCACCCTGGAATTCAATGCCACAATGACTGTAACATTCAAAGTCAGAGTCGTGCAAATCTTGGGTTGGACCCCCATGATGATCCCAAGCATCACCTGCATTCCATGCGGTAGCTATTGGTGCGTTTGGGCGTCACATGTAACTGGAAATGTTTCTTCTGTTAGGTTCTATAGTGACTTTTTTCGTAGTCATTTGCATATTTTAGTATTATGCCCCCAAAATCAAATATCCCCTACTTTTTTTGAATAGTATATATAAACATATATTTTAAGTCGGATAAAAATTGTGACCTGTAGGCGGTCTACAAACAACTTAATACGTAACATGAAAATGTGGACGTATAAAAACTATAGCATCTAGTAACTCTGGAACAGAATATCGAAGAACACAATCTTCAATTACTTTCAAACTCTTTTCTTTATTATCTTAGGGTGATCTTTACCACATTTCCAAGAAATCTATTCAGCCATTCTGAAGAAGAAGCCGATTTTGTAAGATAACTTATATTTATGGCCAAGCTTTAAATGGATTTAAACATCAGCAAGATTTAAAAATACAACGATAAAATGGACAATTGAGGTTGTCAGGTACCTTTGTTACGATAATGAACGATCTTAGCTTTATCTTCAAACATTCATAACTGAGCTCAGAATAAAGTAATTTGAATGAAATTTTCAATATATTCATTTTTCGTTATCTATTTTTGAACTATCAGTATTATAGCAAGAACGTCCTGCTCTAGCAGAAAATCAATACAGGCAGTAGTGTTTGCACTACTCTTCACGGAATTCAAACTGCCAAGCATTTTTCTTTTTACTTGTATGCCAATGTGTATATGGGAGGACCTCTTTGTTTTTATCCTGATGGTTCTTTTCAGTACATGCCAGGATAACTGAAGCTGGTGGTATATCCAAATCAGAATTTTGCATCAGGATAGTCTGGTGTAGATCTGTGGCATAGACATAGTATGGAATGAAATATAGCACGTATGTTAAAATACTAACCTGTTTAAGACCACGTTGTGTTAGAGCTGAGCATTCCATATATTTTATAGCTCTTATTTTATTGGACAATTTGATGCCCTGCTCACGTTTTATTGGGTTTAAACCCTGGGCTGCTAACTGACCAATCGCCTCCTTGTTTTCACGTAAATCTATTTTTGTACCTGGTTAAACAAAAAAATCTTAATTGTTAAAGGAGCTAAAAAAAGTAATGATTTAGGTTGATTTGATTAGGTTTGGGATATGCTGAAAAGATACCCACACACGTCTCAACAGCAGCTTATTTGAAAGTAAAACTTGAATGTTGACCAATTTTGACAATTGTTTATGATCCTTCAAAAAATCTAATTTATACAGTATTACATGCAATGTTCACAAACTTTTCCGATCACATAATCCATTCAAGAACTATGCATAGACACACAGAAGTTATATTAAGGTTAAAAAACCTGGCCATTCACCCATGTAGCTCCACACTTCAATAGAATTGGTCACGATGTTGTGTGTGTACAATAGTACAAAAAATTCCTGATAAAAATCAGAAAAGATTGTGACAAGTGTAAATAAGCCAAAACAGCAGAAGCTCTATCATGGATGTCATTAGAAGCTGGCAACCGGCAAATTTCGCCGTTTACATTAGGCCAATTTCCGGCTACCTTTCAGCTAAAAAAGATCAGCAATTTAATTTAAATAGAATAATTTGGCATTATATTAATAGAAACTAATTTAATTCCTAAACGCAAAGCACGCAGACGTATCAACTAACCAGTTTTTTCCGTGATACTCAAAGATTTACGACCTTTCTCCCTATCTCCCACACGGAGGTAACCCCCTAACTTCCGTTGTATAAATTGACCTCATGATTCTTATAAGTATATTGTAATCAATAGGTACATGAGCGTACCTAATAAAATAGAGACCTGTACTGACTGTACAAGGTCTGTTCCCTCACGCTCATTTTCCCTCATGGCTAGTAGTAAACGTCTATACGATTTTGATAGTTCTCCCGTGAACAGAAAACGTTTCATGCTACGTGACTTGAGCGTGGAATCGGAAGCCATTGGCATTGAGTGATTGACTGAAATTTAGCTGACTTTCAATCTGCGATTTTAGATTACTTTTTCGTTTAAATATATTACTAGCGGTTGTATTATAATGCTTTGATATCGATCTCAATATACGAAAATAGTCGGACTCAAAAGTTATAGAAATATAAGCGCTATTACTGTTTATGTGGGAGGCACTTGCGGGAAAATAAAACTCTGATGTCACGTTTCCAGGGATTTCCATTCACGCGATTACACCCATAATTAGAAAACGGGATTTATCGGTTTTGCAGACTGAAAATTTGCTAATCCCGAATAAATGCAGCCTGCCTTTTATCTGGTATCATGAAGATTAAAAATATTTTATATATTTTTCAAATTGTTACGATTTTATAAGTTTTAGCAAAGCCTAAACTAATATTCACAGATTTCAGTTTTAAAATTGGTAGACGTGCAATTCTATAATAAGGCTTATCTTAAGACTTTACTCAGATATGACTGAAAAGCACTTATTTGGATTATTAAAGTTTTTTTGGATAGATTTTTTATGTATATTTTCACAAAATGTTTTAAAAAAAACTTTCTGTCATTTAAAATATTGACCCGAAATGCACCTAACGCCATAACACACTCCCCACCCTTCGGTTTGCCCGCAGATTCAGGCCTGAGGCCCTAAACATTTGCTGCCCCTTACTTTAGCAAAATTTCCTGTTACTTGAAAAGTTAGTGACATCCCTGAGCTCTATGTATCAACAGCAATTTATCCAAAAGGAAAACTTGGATGTTGACCAAATTTGACAAGAAGGGATGCCTTCAAGAAATCTGATCTCTTGAAAAATTCTGTCAAGACCTGTTAATGTCAATCGAAACCATGTCACTTGACTCAATGACAGACCATACAATCTAACGTGCACCGTGTTAAACCATTAATGTTTGGGTGGCAAATGACAAGTTAATTTTGCAGAGAAGAGTGAACATCAAAAAATATGGCGAAAAGTTATCTAGAATTATATGGCTGCAATATGAAAAGATCATTCTAAGCTAAGCAAATACAAACACACAGTCTGCCAAATTTTTTCCAGATCATCTGGTATCTATTTTCTATTGCCGTCATTTTGCTATATCCGAAGTTATAGCATCTCCTATAATACGTAGAAAAATTCAGCAATAGTTTCATTGACATGTGCTTTTTTGATAAATATTATTGAATACAAAACAAAGGTAAGCTAACATGTTCAAAGAATATTAATCAGAGATTTGAGGCAGGGGATTTTCATTCCGATTCGTTGTTTCTGTCAAGGCAAATGCATAAATGACTTAAAATGGCTGGAAATTTCATAGTATTGATATAAAAGATGATCATCTTATCGATTACTAAAACATTGAGTTCTAGATTCTAGCATTCTACATCTCTAAATAAATATACAAGGTGCCCCCCATGAGGAGGATAGGTCCAAAGTGTACTTTTTGGACAAATATTGTCAACTGAGAGGAGGATTTACGGCGCCAGGTTTTATTATACAAGTTGTTTATATGGATATCTTTTCTGGGTGGTGATTGGGCATTTGAGGGAGAGTGGGGGTGGATATCTAAAATTGGGATGAAATGTGTGAGTGTTGATATAAATGATAACATCTCTAAATAAAGGTATAGGTACATGTAACTCTTTTGGACAACTGTTTTGCTATGCTGGTGTGTGTGGTTACCATAAACATGGATACTAGCAGATCAATCTAAACAATCAGTTGAAAATCTCTGTACAACCCCAGAAAGCGAGCTATCGACCCCGGTAGTAATTCGCCGTTAAGAAGGTAACCCCGCCGGGGATTAGAAATAGTTTATACTATAGTTTATTAAAATATTCATATAAAACCCTACCACATAGGTCCAATCTGTCTGAAGTGTTTAATGCGAACAAAACTAGTCACTAATACCCAGGATAACCAAGTCTTAATAGCCACTCTTATATTCTCTCTCACTTTCTGATAATGATCTCCTTTTGGCTAATTTTGTAATCAAATCGATCAGTTGTGTTTCCCTTTTTGCCTCGGAATCAACCCTTACTTTGACAAAAGATATTCTCTCGGCTAAAAAAACATTTACTCTCTCAACCACGAGAGATCTGTTGAAAGGAGCTACTTACTCAACAAAGACACATAATCGAAGTATAACAGGACAACTCATCCAGTTAATTCAACGAACAACTATTTCACCTCGGTCCATAAAAGAGATACACATACCAGTCGCCCCTTGGTCCAAATCTTGTGCGACCTTCGGTTATAGTTTTTTCACAACTAGTGGTCGGAACTAGAAACCAAACGCGGATGGTTCGGACCATCGTCTGTTCAAAGATGGCTGCCCCCAGGGACATGGTGATGTCATTTTCCTCTGCTTTAGACCTCGACCATAACCATAAAAAAAACCTTAAGCTCAAGGAACAGCTATACATCTCTCCATGGAGGATAATAAATCGCTGTGTTATATAGTTTAATAAACAAATAATACTTTCATGAAGTTAAATTTGCACGGTTCAAATTAATTTTAGAGCCAATAAAATTCCCTGTAATTTGACTTTACTTTTTGCATAGCGCAAGTATTGAAAGTATGTGCAATTTTTAGACTTACATAGATTCAGACATAACATACGAGACAAAAAATATCTGATCATAGGGGTAGCAACCATTTAAAATTATTCAAGCTTTCCTAAAATCATATACTTAACAAAAAAAAAAGATTTTTTAAAAATATTCTACACTTTGGTTTCATCGACACCGCCATCTTGGAAATACTCCGACAATGCCACAATAGCATGGTTCAGTATTTTCGGACTATGGTCTGGACTAAATGAAATTCAGATTCAGTTAGTTCGACCATAGTAAGGAAATCATGATAACCGAAGGTCGCCCAGACTGTCATATAATTAAAACATTTGGTACTGATGTAACCAGTATCTAAATATATTACCCTCCCCTCCCCTGGGTGAATTACACTGTATTACACATTCAAAACCTTACTATATCAAGGAATCAAAGACAAATCTAACCTTGAGCACCCCAACCCTTTGTTTTACTTTGTTACATGTTATGTATTTTAAAAGTCCATGATGTAATCATGTCTATAATGTCATACTTATAATGATGTCATAACTGACACTCATTTTGTATTTGTTTCTTCAGATGTTAGTTCTTTACAGCCAACCTGTGAAACATGTTCTTTTTATATTGTTTTCTATTTACTATTGAAAATGCGGGTATATAAAACATTACGTGGTGCAATTCAAAACGAACTGTAAATTTTACATGTGTGTTATATAGGGGAATATCAATTTTTCCTAATTCAAGGGACCAGATAGGGGATGCATGTTGTATATGGTGGCATGTTAGATGAGGTAGTTGACCAGGATTTTCAACTATGCATTATACTAACCAACAACGATTACTGGTGCATCAGGACAGTGATGTTTCACTTCAGGGTTCCATTTTGTCAAAACATTCTCGTAAGACGAGGGACTCACAACACTAAAGCATATTAAAAATACATCCGTCTGGAAAATAAAGAACAATATAACTTTTTTTTATTTTAACCAGTTCAGATTGTGTTGAGAAATGTGGACCAGTATCGATTCAAACTTAATATAAAGATATTTTGCCATGAAATAAAAGTTGTCCCAGGAGTCAGCATTTTAGCAGGTGTCCAACGGTCTAGATAGAGGGAGATTAACACTGATTTCCATCCAGGATCTCAACAAAAGTAGATGCTAGATTGTCTAGCACCTACTTTTGTTGAGATCCTGGATGGAAATCAGTGTTAATTTCCCGTCTAGCCCCTACTTTTGTTGAGATTCTGGATGGAAATCGGTGTTAATCTCCCTCTATCATTCTTTCTTCACTCTCTCATGAAGATTAACAAAGGTTGCCAAACTAGATACTATTGTTTAATTTCAATCCAAAGTTTAAAAGACCTATATATGCATTTAATGAATAAAGAAGTCCATTATGTAAATAATGTAATTATTTTGGTATAAATTGACACAAACCTGTGGATATGAAAGTGGTCGTAATCTATCGTAATCTTCCTGACCGGCAGTATCCCACAACCCTAAACTAACTGGAACACCATCTACCATCATATTAGCTGTGTAGTTATCAAACCTGTTGATTAAAAAATGGAATATCATGGAACATCTTCCGGATCACTAGAGTGAATCAAACATAGTTCACATAATAGCCTGTGAAATTAGATCGAAGGTGTATTTTGTAAGAATGTAATAGAAGTGAAATAAAATGAAATGGGGTTTAATGTCCTGCATTATGTACATGTAAAATTGTAAGAGGTAAATCTACTTATCACCGGTCTTATTATTGCAATATTTTATAAAATGTCAATAAACATGCATAAAAAGTTGGAAATACCACCAGAGTATTCACTAGACACTTTGTAGTCAATATTATTAAATCTTTTTAGAATAAATACAGTACCAAATTTACAAACAAAATTTAATCAGCTGATTCAAACATAGATCTATATATAGCCACGTAGATTTGCTAAACATGTTGGTCTATGTTGCTGTTTATTACAACTTTAATTTCCAATATATCGCCATATTTTATAAAATATCAATTAATTACAATTTACCACCTTTTAAATGTAAATAACCATGGATAAAAAGTATGGCCATTGCAATGGTTTCACTGGACACAATATTAGCGTGTTTTCTAGTCTGGAATTCTGTGCCAATCAGTGTTATTTTGAATCGGATATGCAAATGATATGCAAATGGTTGGCATTCAGGGAAGGGTTAACTGGTTCTTTGCTTGTAAATCAATTTGGGCGTTCTGGTTAAAAATAGACGTATAGGAAAGATTCAAGAGAGATGTCCATATATTTTTGATTATAGCTTAATTCTATTCATCACCTGTTTATTTATTACTCAAATGGTTTCTTGCTTAGCAGAATGTCAAAATAAAGAAAACAAAGTAACTAAAATGACTGACTATGAAGTTTTTCGTGGCAAGTATTGTGATTATTGTTTTACTGTAAAACTCATGTTTTTAGGAATGTGGATACGAGTAATTATTCAGCTTTTTGAATTGGTACAGACTTGAAGGTTGATGCATGCTGAGCATGTTATAAACAAAAGGATGTTTAATGATCAAAGAGGACAAGGGTCATAACTCTGGCAGTAATTATCAGAAATTCTACAGGCTTTTTCGCCTCATGACCTTAAACACTGTGCATAAATTTAAAGTCAATCGAATTATAGGTTAGGTCTCTATTATTGTTAAAATCATCATAAACATCAAAGTCAAAAGTAATTGAGACATAATTTGGTTCATTTTGACAGTGGTGCTTAACTATTTTCCAAGTGTATAAAATAAGTAAATCTACTTACACTGTTGGTACATATTCACCAGGAAAACTATCCGTTGTATATGATATTAACATGCATGTTTTACCAACAGTACCATCCCCGACAACAACACATTTTATAGGACGACCTTGAGCCATTTTATTACCTATAGTAAATAAAATATGTAAATAAGTAAATTACAGCTAATTAAAATAAAACTCTTAAAAAGATAGCCACACAAAGCATGATAGCACACACTCACAGCAGCTACTTCTTGACGGCAGCTTCTCTGAAAGGAAAAGCTGGATGTTGACCCAATTTGATAAGGATCATGCATGCCTGCAAGGCATCTGATCTCTATCATGTTCATAAATCCATTAAAATTGTAGCCTCTATCGAGTTCATATGGTTTTTGGAAATGGGGAATATGGAACATAAGGTCACAGTTCACTGAATGTTCGTCCTCTCATGAACCCAATGCTTCACACAAAATTTGAAAAAGATCTGTTAAAAACTGTGGCCTCCTACATATTCACAAAATTTCAGTCAAGGGGGCATAACATTGCAATGAAAGGTTTTGAAACACTGATTATCGATAGGGTTCATCTTTTCATTACCCCAATGCTTGAAACCAAATTTGAAATAAATCTGTTAATCCTTAAAATAAATTTGACAAAATTGTAGGCTCCAGAGGGTCCACAAACATTTTATGCATTTCACATGTTGCATAAAATTTTGCGTAAAAGGCAGGGAGCATATAAACTCCAGAATGGAAGAAGGTCTTGTGCACACCAAAAACGAACTCCTCTAAGGGCTTTTAATTCTTAAACACATAACAGTAGGATGTTAAACCCCATTTCATTTCATTTTCATTTCTCAAACACATATTTCAAATTTCATCTAAATCGTACAAAAATTGCTGCCTCTAGAGAGTACAAAACTTTTATTCATGATTCACATTTTTGTGTAAAAATCAGGTGGTATAGCAGAAGATATGATGTGCAACGATATCAAACTCATTTATGATCCCTTGATTCTTAACATATCTGCATTGCGACTATTTGCAAAAACCGGGGGGAGGAAATTTTGACAGGAAGTTTTGATCCTATTTTCAAGAACTTCAAACTCATTAGTGATTATGGTTTTTCATATAATCAGGAGCCTTAATCCAGGAAGTTATGGTCCGATATATGTCAAAATCAAACCAATCCAAGATCTTTGGGATATAAACATACATTTGTGAACAGACTTCAGGACAGAGAGATGCAACAAAATAACACGTCCACATGTAAAAGATAATGGTAGCGTGAAATAATAGAAAGTAAAGGGAACTTTATATGACCATAATGGGATTGACCAATTTGAATAATCTTTTGAAAAAAATATTCTTTTCAATCAATTTTGCTTTCTCTGAAAGTCTGTAATTGCCTTTTACTTTAGCTGGATTATTGTCGCTTTAATTAAGAACACAATAACTATAAGAATTACAATGTAGTGTGTTTGGTTTGATAAAGAAACATTCTGACTTACAAATTAATCTATTCTGAATCTGTACTATCTATTATCTACAAATCGTTTTCTTCTGTATCTGACCTTATTAGGTCAGAGTTCAAATTCTTCGCATTGAATATCTGACATTCCACACTTGATAAATATTCTTCAAGCCTAAAATAAAAAATAATCATTGACAGGTTGTATTATTTACATATAAAAAGCTCTTTCCTATTCATACCTTCATATAGAGCAGCTTATCAGAAAGGAAAACTTGGATGTTGAGTAAATTTGATGACTCCAGAAGTTTCATCAAAATCGGATCAAAATTGTGACCTCTAGAGGGTTCACAATCTAAGTATTAAATACTTTTACACTATTTGCGTACAAGGAGTGGCCTCTTTGTCAGACAGTTTTGGGTTGTAAACATACATTTTAAGTTTCATCAAAATCGGATAAAAATTGTGACCTCTAGAGTGTCCACAAGCTAAAAATGCAAATTTTCGTACAATCAGGGGCCATAATCCATGAAGTTATGGTCCAATACATTATACATACCAATATCGAAAGAAACAGAGATCTTTCGGAGATAAACTTATATTTCAAGTTTCATCAAAATCGGATAAAAATTGTGACCTGTAGAGTGTCCACAAACAAACGTATAAAAACTATAGTCTATATCGCAATCTCAAAATTTTTTGCAAAGGGGTGATAACTCCAGAACAACAAGCCAACAGTGATGTTGATGTCCCCCCAATGAAATCTAAATATAAATAGATCACACATATTAATTAATTGCACTTTTATCTTTTTGAAAAGTTTCAAGCAATCAAACTGATTATCTATATTTAGTCTAAGCAGAAAAAGTCTTCTTGATGAATAAAATTGCAGAAAATTCTCATCATCGAACTTAGTGAAGGTATTGAATAATGAATCTATACTCTTAGAACCAAAGTTAACGTATTCCAAAGCCTTGATCAATCAAATATCTCTGCTTAGCCTTAGTGGAAAATGCGCATGATCAAACACTTTCAAAGCATTCACCAAATAAACACCTATACCAAGTTTGAACATTCTACCTCAATTAGAAGAGAGTTATTGTGTTCCAAAGTCTCAACCAATTAGATTAAGTCTCTACTTTGCGTAAGCAGAATATTATGCTCATCATCGAAATTAGTCAAGGTATTGATGTAATGAAACTATACACTAAGTTTCACTACTCTTACTCAATTAGAATCAAAGTTATCAAGCTCCAAAGTCTCAACCAATCAAATTGTTTATTGCTCTGCTTATCCAGAGCCGAAAAATGGTCATTATCGAACTTAGTCGACACCAAAAACGTTGGAAAATATCAACTCAAGAGTATTTTAAAATCGTTCTTCATTATTTACCTCCAAACGGGATTTTGTGATTTTGGGTTAATTCTTTGAATACGTCCACAACAAGTTTTAAAATAAAACAAATCAAATTCAGCCACGTTCTAATCGCGATAGATGGTAGACCTGGATAATAGCATCTTAGAAGGAATTTCTTCTGATGTCATATCTAGATAGACGTGAATGATCCAGTGTGAAACTACTGCTGGACACGGTCATGATTGTTTACAGCGGATGACGTGAACGATGTATACGACTTCATAATTTATTCAAGAACTGATCTAGGCAAGGGAAACCGTCTCATTCGCTATAAATAGTTTTTTTTCTTTCGGCTTGTACCTCCATTAGTACCACAACAAACGGTCGGACTGTTATGTGTCCTCTGGGTTATTTTACACATGGAACAAGTGTGCAAAGTCTTAATAAGACTGGTGTTGAAAGTTAGTGTGTATCTTAGACTACTCAACGCCCTTAATCAAACATACATGTATTTCATATTTTGCATAATGGGTAAGGGTCATAACTCCAGAACAGAAGGTCCGATGCACACCAAATTTGAACCTAATCAAGAACTTTTGGTCCTTCACACTATGTAATTTAAATTTCTTTTAAATTGGATGAAAATTTTGATCTCTAGAGGGGAGCAGCCATTTTGACAAGAAGTTTCAATCAGATTTTCATGAAATTTGAACTTAACTGTAATTATGGTGTAGCGGAGATAAATTTTTAAGGTTTCTAAAATCGGATAAAAATTGTGACCACTAGGAGTAAGAGGTCCACAACCTAAAAACGTGATTTTTCGTACAATCAGCGGCGATAATCCCAGAAGTTACGGTCCGATATCTACCAATATTGAAAGGATTCAAGGGCTTTGGGATATAAACATACCTTTTAAGTTTCATCAAAATCGGATAAAAATTGTGACTAAACGAACAGTCAGCAGTCATAAAACATTATACATGCCAATACCGAAAGGAACAGAGATCTTTGGGATATAAACATATATTTTACGTTTCATCAAAATTAAATAAAAATTGTGACCTCTAGAGTGTCCACAACCTTGGTATTACATACTTTTACACTATTACGTAAAGTAGAGCAGCCATTTTGACGGGAAGTTTCAATCAAATTTTCAAATTCGAACTCAACCGTAATTGATATTTTTAAATCTCTATCATACTTTCAAGGGCCATAATTCAGGAAGTTACGATCAGATATGCCCGAATATTGAAAGGAACCGAGATCTTTGGGTTATATGTGTCAATATTAAAAGGAACCAAGATCTTTGCAATATAAACCTGTATCTAATCAGACTAATGATTCGTCAAAATTGGATAAAAGTTGTGATCTGTTAGGGTCCACAAACAAATGTGAATGGATGGACAGGGCGACGAAATAATGTGGGCGTATAAAATGGACTCTCTCAATTTGACCCTTGCACTCATTAGCCAGTATTTTTGTATTGTTTAACTGCTGATGGGATGATGTACAGTACACCCACAGCGAAATATCTACAAACAGGATTATCGTGTTGATTTTTCACAATAACTGACATAATATTCGCACAATAATAATTTGGTGTAATAGCTGCTATCGTGTAGCTCAATAAACCTCTGTGTCAAATTTCAGTCATATCTTAAATAACGTGGGGGTCCCCATTAGTTAATACAGATATGAGTTTAGATAATGTTAATATCGAATCATAAAACGCAAGTATTCATTTTTGTAACTAAAATAGTGAGTCTGATATATTAACGGTACACTCATATTTAAATTTTTCAAAAACTGCACAAAACCATTGTTATTTATTGACCGCTTTTCATGATAATTTCAAAATAAGCACCAAATAACCTCCTTAATTGTTTAGCATCAATATTTCTACTACCAGTGTATACTACCTCATTATTACATTAATGAAAAACTGACAGAATTGTATGGAATGAATCAGTTTTACTGATAAGTTGTTCTTGTTTTATTAAATAGCAAACAAAGCTTGATTGACCGATCACAGCCGTTCACATTTTTTTCATAATAAAGTAGCCTTGTATTGAGTGTTCATTGACATCAATGATTGACAATTTAACTTGAATTTTCCCTCAAACATCAAAGAACCGTATGACATTTTTTCACATGTACAGTAAGAACAACATCAGGATTATCAGTTAATCAGCTTTAACAATTCCGCTTTAATCATTGCCATTTTTAATATTTTCCGAAAATTATATACTATATTTATCGATATATACTACCTTCTATTGCAAGATTGTCGTAAGAACTTTTAATAAACTGTGATTGTCATGTAAATATTTCTTTTGACACTTTTGTGTTTTTCCTAGGTTATTTTCAAATAAATAACACTATTTATTCATTAAATACATTGTATTTACATAATATTAAAAAAAAAGATACAAAATTCTAATACAAAATCCAAAAACAAACAAACAAAAGCTTATATAAATTCATCTCCATAAGCAATTATTTACAAAATTATAAGTGCAGTGTTTAAAATTATAATTAAACAGGCATGCAAGAGCTAAATCTGCCTTTTGCAGGTCTTTCTTTAGGCCTGAAATGTTATCTAAATTATAAATAGACATTTATTAACACGACAAGACCATATTAACATGGGATACACTGGATGTGGGCGTGGCCTGTCTGTGTATTTGTTACCTCTAAGCGATCGCCATGATTCTTCTTCAAATTTAAAACAAGTATGGCGGTCGTTTAGGGTGTTACCTTTTTTTTATTTAATTATTTCTGTAGTTTTGTAATCAGAGTTCAGCTTTAAGAAGTGATAATATTCGGCGACGAAGCAATATCGAGCGGAGGACTCAACCAATGCTGTGTGAACAGAAGCAATGTCGAGTGCACAACTCAACCAATCCAATGACATGTCGACAACTCAACGAACATATTTTGATATTTGTAGACAACTTAATTAGACTTTTCATGTGGAGTAGTTTGAGTGCGGACAAGGCATGCATTCGTGGGTAAAAACTTAAATTATAGTCCTGTTTTTAAAGTACTTTTACACAAAGCTTGAAGAAATGACAATGTTAATGTGTATTGTACTACGGTACTATGTAGCGGCGGACAGCTAAGAATTAAGAGAATGATGGTTCGGAACGGGTTTGGGGTATTTCTCATAAATTTCCTGAATAGTTTAATAAAGGGTTGAACGGGAATTTAGTGGAGGACAAAACAGCAAAAAAAATATCGCTGAAATTCTAAAACTAAATTTCAAATTGCATTAGTATTACTAATTGTCTATTTGATTCTCAAAACCCTTTCTGTTGTTGCTCATTTTTTTTATCCTCGTAAGTTACGACGTAACAATAACCATAATCTCACATCTACAAAACTAGTCAGCACTCTAAAAATACATCAGGGCTTGGTCAACGGCTGAGTTTCCTACTCAAAGGTTAAAAATAAAACTAGTACTGACACTGTACAGTCGTAACAGTACCGGTAACCTAGAAAGTCTGGGAGGCCAAAACAGATTTTCAGAACGATAGGCTCTACTCCTGCAATTTATCTATGCCACATTTCGTCCATTAAAAGGGTAAATAAATGGATATACGCGAAGCTTAGATCAATTGGGAAATAAAATTCACCTTATTATGATCCATTGTAGTTGAATTCTACACGTTTTCCATAATAAAACACGTACAGGTAGACCTTCTTTCTTTATTTCGAGCAATGGATGACAGCAGCTGCCTCATCATCTCGCTATATCACAATAGTTCTCGCATGCAACGAGATTCAATTGATGCCTCGGTTATCAGGACACTCCAGTAAATCGGTCAGTTTATTATTACCTTTCATGCCAGTCCGTTTAGCAACTAGCAATCCATGAAAATCTGTTATATTTAAGTCGAAAGAATCAATTTTGATACGATTTATTATTTCCATTTTGTTTCAAGCTATCCATTTAATCTTTTAGAAATTGTCCACATTTTAAAGGGCCAATCTGCTTAATTGTGTGTTAAAAAGCCCTCAAAATCCTCTACCTTAGGGCCGAGCAACTAACTCAATATACGTGATACGTTTTCAAAAAAATTAAACCTGCCAGTCTTCATCTGGAAATGGACCCGGTATCCCAAGCTGCATTACACGATCATGTCTGGATAAACCCAAACTTTTATTTTATAAGACATCTACCTTTCGTTATCAAGTACGATACGTGGGCCATTGCACTGTCTAGACCCCTAAAGCAACGGCTACAGATTACCAGGTCACCCACAATTTTTTTTCCCGAAATCTTAAAAGGGTTATGTGTCCGGATAAGCGAATTTAACGTTCACGTCCAAACGACTCGATATTTTGAGCTGAAATTTTGAGACAAGGTCAATACACCATTCCTCTATATTTTGGCGCTTAAATTTCACACGTACACGGACTTTAATTTTGAAACTCTGTACTCTTTAACCCCCCCCCCCCGCCACAAAATCATGCTCCTTATAGTAAGGTCTAGATGTATATGATCACAAAAAAAAACCCAGTTCGAAATTCGTTCCTAAATGGGTCCAATTGGCAAAGGTCCAAAATGGCCGTCAGTTTTGACTGGAAAATGCTAATTTGTATCCAATTATCATAATATGATTGAGTTTGGTATCAAAATATATCTTTCCGGGGTAGTTGAATCCATTTCCATACACATTTTGGTGAATAATTATACCGCGGAGTCAATATTGGGAAATAATTCCAGATGGCGGTCAGTTTTGGTGGGAACATTCGACATTTACAAAATGACCATATTTGGTGTCAAAATATACGTTTTGAAGGTAGCGGATTCCATTTTCAACACATTTTCTCATTTTGGTAATTAAATGGTTCCCCTGGGGCAAAATATGTGGAAATCCCATTGGAGATTTGGGGATTAAGAGTAGGCCTAGTCGAGTCTGCCTCAGATCTAATACTATTGCATTCATCGAGCATCAACTAAATTTCATTTAGACTCTCTGGCCGAACATTGCTCACAGCGGAAGCAGCGTAGCAGGCATGACGAAAGGGGCCTCCCTCACCTCACCATGGATGTAGTGTCGTGGGTGTGTCCGATTTCGATCACCAACTTCAAAAATTGAGTCACGATGGCCAAACCTATTGAAGCACACAGCGAATTTATTTCACAAAATGAATCAAATGAGACACAGATGGATCCGATATGCAGTTAACCATTTGATAATGAACGGGTATTTGAGGCCGGCGATAATGAGCCGATTAAGATCCCTGGCCTGAGTTCAATAATGAGCGGAGATAACAATTTCAATGGCAGATAATTCAGAACAATAAAACTTGGTGTAAAATCATGACTAAGTCCGAATGGGGGAAGGCAGACCAAAGCTTGGGCACTTTAGGAGACGGGGCAGGGTCGCGAAAATTTGAGTTCTGTGGCACATGGTAGTATTGAAAGTAGACTCATGACAATCCCAAGAACGAGAAGACCATCAAGATACACTTTAAGCCAGGTCAAGGAAGTTATAACTGGTGACAGATTAAAGTCAATAGAGTATGCTAACCGGCAAAAACGACCCGTCGTCCGTGTTGTAATTTTCCTATATTCATTTAGATAAATACCGGTATATAAAACTAAGACAAATTATTTGATTCTGAATATTATGGAAACATTAATCCGGTTGTGAAATCTGTTCTGGAAGTCATCCGTGGAAATCAGGGTCTGATTGAGATTGTATGGGGCCCCTACATCATCATGAAAAACGGACATATTCTGTACGTACATTGAGTGCGATTGGTTTTTAAAATCTCTGGATTTGGTTGGAACAATGGAAGGGCATCAGAAAAAGGGGATACGGTGTTTTCTTTAGGGTGGGCATTTCCTTGAGTATTTTAAGTAACTCTGTCGAAATTCGAGGGCACATTTTCGGAAGGGAGGGCACATAGCCACCCCCGCTCCCTCCCCTATACGCTGGTAGAAAATCTAATCGACTTCGATCGTTATCAACCATTTCCAGTTTCTTTTGTGTTTTTGTGCATTTATGAGGGGAGGGAAGGCGATATTTTGTTTAGGTTACAAAGAGTGATGAACAATTTCAATGCTAGATGCTTTATAAATATGTTAGATGTGCAAGTAATTAAATGAGCTAAATCGCTAATATTTGGGACCTAGACATTGACACAAGTGGGTCGCAACGCACACAATAGTGTAATATGAATGTAAATAAAGTGATTTACATTCAATCGTTTCTGTTTTTACTGTAATTCCTAATCAGTTCTGTTCGGCGAAATACGTCAGAAGTCTCAGTCGAGTGGCAATCTCTAACGTCTGGTAATTCCAGTCTACACCGATATTATTTATTGCACATGCTCTCCAGATAAGAATATGGCGTTTGATATAACTTGTGGAAGATGTCTAGCCCTGTTTCTCGAGTTAGCTACTTTAATGAGTGTCATCTATTTAGGGACACCAACCTCAATGTTGTTTTGTAACATACAGTCGTGAATTGTCCTGTCTTGGCATGTCGAAAAATAGGTGTTGTAACAGCGGTCACCGATTATATCTGTTGTAATGGACCGCCTGCTAGTGTCTTTTACAGACCATGTAAAAGACAACGGTCCGCAAAAATGAATTTTGGCACCACGGATCGTCGAGACCTTGTGATACAGGCTCCTCCCCTTCAATAGCGTTACACCATCGCGTAATAGTGAAAGTTTGGATGGCCAAATGGTTAGCGCGTGCGCGCTGTACCATAAGGCCTGTCATTGAGGCAACTGGCGTGGTTTCGATTCTCCTGTTGTACGTGACAAGGAGTATGGTCCCTTGTCCAAACCTCGTGGGTTTTCTCCGGGTCCTCCGTTTTGCTCCCACTGCTAAAGACCCCTACGCGCAAGCGAATTATTGAAATAAAATTGAACCATATGTTACTCCCGAAATGACCCGGTTTGTGTCGAGTGGTCACTCTCTCTCTCTTTTGCGACCATGGGCCACGATAGTGGGTCTACCACCAGTGGTTCAAATTATTTACCTTAATATTGCCATGGTGAAGGCTGATAGTTGTCAATCAATCTGAAATCATAAATACATATAAAACGGCTGTGGGCAAGCTCCTCCCTAACAGTACACGGTAAAGGGGCGGAGCTGATCATTTGCCCTCAGGACATGAAACTAATGCGAAGTAAGGCAGAAATCAAGATGCATACCACGCCTTATAGTCTCTACTAAACACGCCTTAAAATCGGCGAATGTCGTTCTTTAGCAGCCACAGCTTTCCTACAAATGTTTAAAACATTTGTTTATATTTAATACGGATTAATTATTTTAGACATGTTCAAACATAGGCGCATATTTATCAAAAACTCTTGTTTCGTGACTATATTATTGGACAAAAAGAAATTTAACTAGAGATGTGCATACTGTCTGACATATTCATCGAAATTTTGGACTTTAAAGATGCATTATGCAAGAGCTAAATGGGACCATTGCAGGCCTTTCTTCAGGCCTTACATGTTATATAAATTTTAGAAATTTATTAACTTGACAAGACCATAACCAACTCTCGATGCCACTGGCTGCTCTAGATTTTCAACGGATTTAAACAAGATGAGCTGGATAATCGAGACTTTGTATACTATCGTAACAACGGTAGCAATGACAGTCTATGCGGCGCTATTCTCCAAACAGCCATAACGTCGCTCAGAATGAAGTAATTTGACTGAATTTTTCAAGATATTTCATTATCTAGTTTTACACAATGCATCTATGACCAGTTGGGAACTGCCGATTACAATTCCCGGCTGTTGTAGTGTTGGTTGAGGTATTTTATTTGTCCTTTCTTTATTATTAACCCTAGAATTTAACTCTTAAATAATAATGCTACCGCAAAAAGTTGTTTTAATACGAAAAATAACGTTAATATTTATGGCCCTGCGAAATTTTAAAAGTAGTTCTGAATATTTTTACAAAGGAAAAATAAACCAAAAAAAAAAAACAATTGTGCATATCTGCTGTCTCGTGTTGATTTTTCCGTGAGTGACGTCAGAGACGACAGACCACTTTACTCTGTGCGACAGACGTTGTGAATTTTCCTATAGTCCCAGATGCCGTGCCCACATTGTTCCCGAGGAAAACGTTTGTTAATTTTGACAGTGCAACTGCTGCGACTCGAGTGGCTTAGGCTACACTTTACAGGAAGCGACGTGCAACCGAGGTAAGTACTAAGGCTAGTCGGCCCTGGCCTAAGTTAAATTTAAAGTAGGCTGATAAAGTCCACTGACCAGTGAAATTTTAATAATATTCTTATGTCGATCAAGATATATAGCAGTTATTTTATCTTTCTATGTTAAAACTGTGCATAGTTGTCTGGTGAAACCGACACGCTTTCAAAATCTAGCACAGAAATGACTTATGTAACCATAGCAACGACATGTAAATAATAGAGCTAGGTAGCCTAAATACTAATGTAAATTAATATCCCCTTTTCGAAGCGTCTTCCGCGAAAGTACTAGGTGTAGGTCTATATGTCGATGATTTCGCAGTCGATCATAGATAGTCCTAGATGTAGGAAGTCCGTCAAATCATATATAATAATGGTATAAATTGATAACGAAAGGTAAATTTCACCTACACATTATTCTTATAAAATAAAAGTCTGGTTTTATCCAGACACCGTATAATACAGCTTGGGACACCGGTCTCCATATCCAGATGGAGATCGACGGATTTAAGTTGTTTGAAAACATGTCACATAATTATAGGTAGATGATTTTAAGGGATTTTAACACAAATTTATTCTTCAAAATATTATCGGGATTGGCCCTTTAAGCATGTTACAATTGTCGGGTGTTTCCGTAATTGTGGAATTCGAAAGTGTTTTTAACTTTATTTGTAACCAAATAATAAAAAAAATATTGAAATGCGTTACACAATGAACTAAGTAAATGATAAAATTAAACTTTTACTATAGCATTCCCCTCCATCAATACGTGTAAGGTTTGGCCAGGCCAATATAAGGATGACGAGCTCACATATCATAGAATTTAAAAATATACCTTTATTAATACAAGTTAACTATACTCAACTTTAAAAAGTTATTGTTATTATATACACCTCTACGATGAGAGCCAATCTAAAGACAAACTCCTGCTGGGAGGGGTCACTCTAAAGAAAAATTCTTATGTTGGGACCAATCTAAAGAAAACCCTGCCACTGTGGCCAATCTAAAGAAAAATTCTGCTGTAAGGGTTAATCCAAAGGAAAATCCAGCTGTGAGAGCCAAATCAGCCAATCTACAGAAAAACCTTGCAGTGGAAAACAATCTATAGAAAAGCCTACTATTGTGTCCAATCTAATGAAAAATCCTTCTATGGGGGCAATTCAAGGAGAAATACAACGCATCCAGACTAATATTCGTAGAATATTTTTCTGGGTGATAGAGACTAGTCAACACACAGCGTGGAATAGCAAGAGACAGACCACCATTAAATTTCATCATTCTCTCTCTGTCTCTTTTCTCCCTGTTTGCATGAATCGGAAGGATAACAGGGTTATCAGGTTGGTAATTACGGTGATTGTACGGCGAATATTTACATGTTTTTTGTATGCTTCAAGTTTGGGTATCTCAAAACTTTGGTGGTCAACCTCATGCAGATTTTAGTGCCAAGACATGACCATTTGTTCCTCTCCCTATAGTGAAAAGCATTCAGCCCAACGAAAATTTGAGGAAAAGTTGGAGGTGGGCAAAGAGGCCAGAATTAACATTGAAGTCACTGGAGAAATTACTGGTGGTCTGCCTCCAGCAAATGTTCCAATTATTTCCCTTGATATTTCATCGGTGAAGCCATTCGGCAAACCTCGACAGATTCTACACATCTAATAGGGTACCGGAATCTGCCGAGGTTTGCCGAGTGCGGTGAAGCCTGACAGCTGTCAATCATGAATACGTAAACCAACTGTGATGGCTAAGCTCCTCCCCAACTTTGTTGGCAACAGATAACTACCAAGGAAGGGTAATACATAGTCTTAATTATCCAGTCTGGATCTGGATATGTACGTTGCAGTCGTGATGATGCAAATGGGTAGCGGCCAGTTTGTATTCCAGTTGGACTGAAGCGATTTCTTTCAACTTTCGAAAAGATAAAAATCAAAGATAATTACTATGCCGAAAAATAAAGGAGGTGGCGGAAAATCAAAAGGAGCAGAAGGGGGGAAGGAAGTAAAGGAGAAAAAAGGAACAGGAACTGCAGTAAAAGTAAATAGAAAGAGGGGGCATAACAGTAACAGTAACAATGCTACTACTAGTACTAAGTTAAAGTACTAGTACTAGGCCTATTGAGTAGGCTACTACTAGTACTACTGAAATTAAAATTCAATTAAACTAATCATTTAAAATTTAAGTTAGGTTAGGATTGTTAGTATTTGTGTATAACCAATAACATGGTCTCTATTTTCAGTAATTTTCACAGGGAATAGGGAGACTCATGCAAAAACTTATATTATGACCTGTCCAACCTAAAACCTGGCGCACACTACGCGACGACATAGGCGATTTCGGTCGCCGAAGATGAAAAATAGAAAACTCGCCTAGTGTGCACACTCGATCACAAGCGATATTTCGTCGCCAGCGATGGTCGCCGATATCAGACTTGTTTGATATAATCGCCCAAGTCGTCGCTTCATCGGCAACAAATCGTGTAATGTGCTCACCTCGGCGACAAGTTAAGCGACAACGAAGAAAATAAATTCACCTATTAAACCAATCATTTCTGGTTATTCTTCTCATGTGACATAACGACACACGAGATTTCTCAGAATTTTTTTCTGTTGCATGTATAATATTATGTGACTCAGGTAATCTAATTTAGCCCTAACTAACTAATTGAAATTAAGTTTGGAATTCTGGCAAAGCTGTCGAATACATAGTAGGCAGAGTGGATTGTTCCGTCTATATAGCAATGTACTCAATAATAATATAGTCCTAGGATTCATAGATGGTAAATAGAATGTTTTTTTGCCCAGTACCTGTAGTGAGAAAACAGAGAGTGACCGTCGATCGCCCACCTGGGCTTATTGGTTGTCTCATCTTGGTTGTTTGTTTGGCAATGAGAGGATTGATTATATTTAGGATTCTCTGGAATATTTCTGGACTCATCCTCACGTAGCTTGTTTTTCTATACATGCAAGAGTCGCCAAATTTGAGCTAGTTACTTAGAATACTATAAACGTACTGCACTCGACGGGCGTTGTACTAAGAAGGCTACGCCACCGCCTGATCATCATGTATAAAACAATAATAATTGAAGTATTCAACGTGATGACTACTAAAATGAATTTACAGGTGTCACATGACGAAGCACATGACGGTGTTTTTTCCGTGATCTCCAAAGTCGTCGTGTAGTGTGCTCAATCCACTTTTATTGAGGCGATATTTGTCGCCAGACTTGTCGCTTAAGTTGTCGCATAGTGTGCGCCAGGCTTTAGGCCTAAGCTCTGTGTCCTCCGGTTTCCTCCCATTGCTAAAGACTCCTACTGCTACTAGCAAGCTGATTATTGAAATAAAATTGAACCATATGTTGTTCCCAAAGGGACCTATTATATATAGTTTGTGCCCAGTTGACCTACATATAATCCCATTTCTCCCTCACTAATTTTCCAGACTCTTGACTAGATGTATTGTATCGATCTTTTAATCCCAGTGTGGACTGAGAAGAACATTTGGTAGGATTTTCAAGTCGGGCCGTAGGAAATCACTTGTCAGGGGTGGCATCTGCGAGGCTGACAAGGAAAGTTTGCATTTTCCTTCGTAAGAGCTACAATTAAACCTTCCATGTGTATGTATGGCCTAATTATATCTTTGTTTTGAATTAAATATTTGAAATGGTCGCAGCAGTGCATTGAATAGAATTAAATTACTGTGACAAAACTCTAAAGCTTAAAAATTATTTTTCAGGTACGACATATATTATGTGAAAAACAGTCCAAGATATTAGAAGCCTTACAGAAATTAAAAGATGGTGGTAAATTTAATGAAGTTGCATCGAAGTATAGTGAAGACAAGGCTAGATCAGGGGTAGGTAGGCCTACCATCATTTTAAATCAGATGGTTACCTAGAAATGTAATCTAACTGAAATTAGATACGAATTTTGTTTCTTTAAATATCTCTGAATTTTGAATTAGGACCTGGTCCCAAAGCTATACATTTGTTGTTGTCGTTCTAGAGGGGGGGTGGCACGTACAACGCTTTAAAAAAACCCAAAAACTTACGCTCTGCCAATTCAAGTACGTTCCACGTGAAACTTAGCATGCTTATTCCTTGGAAAATTGTGCATTTTGATTGATGGACTTCAATTTATATGAAATTACAACAATTCCAAGATGTCGGTCATGACATCATGCTCAGTTCATGGCCCTTTTTACACTAAATTGTAATCTAGCCAACTTTCTACGTGTATTAATATTATTGAACATTCTACCATTAAGAGTTCTATCAGACAATCATATTCCAAATGTTTATAACCCCTAAACCACTCAGAATCATTGCCATATAAACTTTCACACTGATCAGCAGTGAATTTTCGCTAGGCCGCTACAATCACTGATAAGGATGACATTGATGCAACTTAATGAGCCAGAAATATTAACTTTTTTCCTGCGACAAATTAAATTCTAAAACATTTTTTTTATGTATTGGAAAAATAAATAAAGGCGTTTGACGTATTTGTAGATAAAAATTATTTCCTATTTAGTGTAAATAGGTATTAAAATGACTAAAAGGCAGCATTCTGCCTGAAGCAGTAACGTCTTATGTAAACAATGCACGCGCGATTCAGCCAATGATTGACACCGCGTGCTGTGACGGCACGTGTTAAGGCAGTCATCTTTGACAGAGATATTACTAGGCTGATGACCTTAAACACTGTGTATAAATTTAAAGTCAATTAGATAATAACTTTAGCCTCTAGAGTGTCCAGAAGATTTTTCAAAGTGATCAAGGGCCATAACTCTGGTTGTAATTATTGGAAATCATTGAAAATCACTGGGCTTTTTCTTCTCACAACCTTAAACACCCTGTATAAATTTAAAGTCAATCGGATATTAACTTTAGCCACCAGTGCATCCACAAGATTTTTCAAAGTGATCAAGCGCCATAACCCTGACAGTAATTAAAGGAAATCGTTGAAAATCAATAGGCTTCTTCGTCTCATGACCTTAAATAATGTGTATAAATTTAAAGTCAATCGGATATGAACTTTTGGACACCGGACCGACGAACGGGGGCAACTACAATATACGACCACATTTCAATGTGGGCTTATAAAAATGGAAGCCCTAAAAATAGTCTATTTGTGTTGCTTGTGGATCCCTAGTAAAACTAACAAAGGGAAGAAGTGCCACTTCATTTAAGTTTCCATGCAAGATTTGGACTCAACTATGTGTTAGGAACGAAATTTAAACAACACACGGAATATCACGTTTGTTTCCTTTTTTTAAGCAATGATGGATTGATGTCAGTCAGATTTAAAAATAGCCTACTTTAATAGATAACAGTCGATATTTCCTATTCTCTCACAGGCCAGGGGCTGCAGTGAAAGGTACCATATGTCATTTGTTGTAGAATAGGCCTGTTGACGATTGCACAATATTTTTGACATCCTGATTTAAATTTCAATCAAGGCGGCTACAAACTATAATGTATACCGACGGCCTTCAGAAGTATGGCGGGGTATTGGGTTCAAAATGTGATCTAGAGTAAAATGTAGAAAATCAAAAGTCATAAGTAGAAACCGTCACACGATAATATCCAAGTCTACTTTGTTGTATGCTCTCACTAATACTGTCGTTATGTTGTGTTGTCGAAAATTACTTACCAACTATCAGCTACCATAGTATTTGAGAAAATCTGCGTTAGAAAATCGTGAGTCATGTTAGTTTTATTTTTATGTTTTTAGGGTGACCTTGGTTGGATGACCCGAGGAAGTATGGTGGGACCATTTCAAGAAGCAGCTTTTAGTTTACAAAATAGTACAGTTGGTTCACCCATCTATACAGACCCACCCATAAAAACTGTTCACGGTTACCATATTATCATGGTGGAAGGAAAGAAATAATGTAAAAAATAAACTTGTATCAATGTATTTCATATGTGAATATATGTGGAGACTTTCTACATGTGTAATGTCAACAATTTATTTTATTCAAATTTTAAAAATAAAAAAGAAGTTGTGTAATTATTCAGTGAACTTATGGCTTATGTCGTCGTTTTAAGGAGAAGATTCAGTAGTACTGGTAAGCCTTGGATTTTGTGGGATGAATTTTAACTATGCCTTCTATTTCATTGATAATGTTATGGAATGCAATGGGTTTTATGTCCCATCAACACAATGCTTTAGTCATTTGGAGACAAATATGTGGTATCTTTTGGGTACGGGTGTAATTGAATGGCTAGGCACACGTTCCTTGATGCCTTGCAAGCACCACCAATTAAAAATAAAGCCCTTAAAATGTTTGGAGGTGTACGGAGTTGAGACATATTTACATGTTAAAATAAAATTAGAGAGACATATATAAAATAATACAGGCTTAAAAGCTTGAAAATAAGCTAATAAAACTATACAGTTGTCATTTATAAGCTTCTTTAAAATAATAGGTTTTAAGACCAGATTTAAAAATAGCAATACTCTCACTTGCATGTAAATAGTAGGGAAGTTTGTTCCATGGAAAAGGAGCATTAAAAGTAAATGTTCTTTCACCTATAGAAAACAATCTGAGCTTGGGCTGACCAAGAATTAATTCATCATGTTCTTAGCAGTTCAGACAAATATGGTAAAGCTAGGTTATTTAAACATTTATAAGTAAAGAGTACAATCTTAAAATCTATCCTAAAAGAAACCGGGAACCAGTGTAAATTAAACAAGCAGTTGCCATGCAAGATACACCCACCGAGATGGACAAAAGAACAAGCTAAAAAAAAAAAAATGATTTTCATAAGGGGCCATAATCCTGGATGTTACGGTCTAACAAGTGTCAATATCAAACAATCTGATATGGACACAGCTCACCAATTATTCCTACGCCGTCACCCACAAAACTAGGGCCAAAGCTATTTTTAGTCTTTCTCTCACTTTTCCTTTTTCCTACTTTTGCATGGCGATTTTTGGTGTAGAATTGAAGAAAAGGGTTTGAAAATACATTTTCTGCCAAGTTTTGGTGAATATTCATGATTTTGTGGCAGATGGATACGAGAGTTGGGAGGGTGGTTAGGTTGAAATGTAGAGCTGAAAATTGCATGTTTACTGGTCTTCCAGTTTGTGTATCTCAAGTTTTCCATGATGAACCTCATACGTGCTTTTGAGCTAGCGGTTGCCACATGTTGCTCCATCAGTGGTAGAAAGTGTTCAGAATTAACATAAAAGTCAATGGGGAAATCATTAGTGATATGTGGCCTGTCTGTGTGTGACAAGGCTGTGACTGATATGACTTAATTTTGAAAATATGAAGACTAAATTCTCAGAAAATATGTATAAGGTATTTTGACAATAGAAAAAATAAAAAAAGTTAAAATAAAGAAAAAAAAAGAAACTTTGGAGGAAAATTGTGCTTTTACTGCAAATTTGTAATTTTTCAGTTATTTAATTTCTAACAGTAAGAAAAATATTTTAATGCCCAATATTGGCTTATTCAGCCTTAGAAAGCACAGATAAAGTGAACACTATTGTAATTTCACAAAATTCTGTCTAAAAATCAGGTATATTCACAGAAAATCTCCAGATTCCCCCATTTCGATGTAGAAATTAATCCTTTTATGACTACTCAAATGAGTCAAAATGTCTAAAAAAAATGCCTTTATTTTTATTGTTAATATAACTTAGATGGGATCTATAAGTTTGTCAGTTTTAGAAAATGTTTCAGCTTTCCTACATAAATTTGAAAACTGGTAACACTGTGTTGATAATGTACAACAGTTCGGTTTGTAAAAAATGTTCAAAACAGGGGCTGGCTCACTATTTTACCCAGGACAAGCATTGTTTTTCTTTGAAACATTCAATTCTTACATTTCCTTCATGTAGAAAGCAATATTCAAGTCTTTCTAGACATTTTTCACTCCGCCATTGCATTAAGAGAGGCTATAAATGCCCCACCCCACCCATTTTTATTAATATGTTTTGAGAGATTTAATTGCACCTCTGTTGACAGAGACAAACTTAGAACCGTGGGGCATTTCGAGCCAGTGAGACTACACCCTGATATAAAACTTAGGATTTGTGGTGTTTGTTGCATTTATGTTGCTTATAGAACAATAAAAATTTAATTTTGCTCCTTTTCAGGCCTCCTTTATGTTGTCAACTCTGTCATAACTACTTCTTTGACTTCATTTTTTTACGCCCACATTGGTCGTATATTGTCGTCGCCCCCGTCCATCGGTCCGGCGTCCACAATTGCTTGTGGACGCTCTAGAGGCTAAAGTTAATATCCGATTGACTTTAAATTTATACACAGTGTTTAAGGTCATGAGACGAAGAAGCCTATTGATTTTCAGCGATTTCCAATAATTACTGCCAGAGTTATGGCCCTTGATCACTTCAAAAAATCTTGTGGACGCTCTAGAGGTCAAAGTTAATATCCGATTGACTTCAAATTTATACACAGTGTTTAAGGTCATGAGACGAAGAAGCCTATGTATTTTCAGCGATTTCGGATAATTACTGCCAGAGTTATGGCCCTTGATCACTTTGAAAAATCTTTTGGATGCTGTAGAGGCTAAAATTAATATCCGATTGACTTCAGATTGGTACACAGAGTTTAAGGTCTTGAGACGAACAAGTATATTGATTTTCAATGAATTTTTATGACTTGAACAGCTAAATCCATGATGTTAAAAGTTTTGTATACTAAACATTAGCTTGGGACAGAACTTTATAAAAACCAAACAAATTCTAACGGTTTTCTGATAATTACTTAATGAGTTGTTACTCCTAATAAGATTTTAATGTATTATAAATGTTTCATTACCGAAAAAAGTAAACATATGCGACAACTCTTGTTGACTGCCCGGACGATATAGCTGCTGTGGGCGTATGTTTCGTTGCCTGGCAACCTATCTTTATCTGATTTTGGCGAAACTTGAAATACAGGTCTATCTCGCAAAAATCATGGTTCCTTTCGATATCGGCATGTATCGGACCATAACTTCATGGATTATGGCCCCTGATTGTTTGAAAAATCACGTTGTTAGCTTGTGGACACTCTAAGAGGCCACAATCGTGATCCGATTTTGATGAAACTTGAAATATATGTTTATAACCCAAAGATCTTGGTTCCTTTTGATATTCACGCATATCAGATCTTAACTTCCTAACTTATGGTCCTTGATTGTTCTATATCTATCTCTTGCAAAATGTGGGAGTATCTTGCCTGGCAGCTGCTGGTTCTGTGTGCATATTGTCCACAGATTATAAAAATATATTTTAAAAAAAGTGGAAAATTATTGGTATTTTGAAAGATGCTACATGTAAATTTTGTACATTTTTCATGATGTGACAGTAAAAAATTATATTTTTGAAAAAAAAATCCAAAATTATGAGTGTTTTCTATGTAGTCTGTTTGTAACTTGTCTAATTTTTTCACAGAACTCAAATACTGCCTTTAATAAGAAATTTTTTAAAATTTTAGCACAAAAGGCCCATAGACCTGAGATGCACCACTGTACATAAAGTAGCATGTATACTTAAAGATACATTATTGGAGATTAGATAAAGAGCTGGCAGTTCTAACTATAATAGTTAAAAACTAGATAATGCAAAGGGTATTTGCTGGAACTTTCAGTCAAACTGATCCACTCTGGACCAAGAATTTAGCGATTGAATTTTCGGCCTAGCCTCGTTTATCATTACTAAAGTTGGTATGATAAAAAACATAGTCTGGATTATCCATTTCATGATTTAATCATGAATGAAGGTTGAGCAGCAAATCGGATCCAAATCCAGTAAATATTGCAGGATAGCGATGACATCGAGAGTTGATTATGGTCTTGATAAGTTAATTAATGTCTAATTATTAATTTAGATAACATTTCAGGTCTAAAAAAGTTTCACCCCTATATAGAATACAGGTCACCAAATACTCCTACGCCGTCACCCACAAAACAAGGGTCAAAGCTATTTTTAGTCTTTCTCTCCCTTTTTTTTTTCCCCCTTTTGCATGGCGATTTTTGTGGACTTTTTGGTGTAGAATCAAAGAAAGGGGTTTGAAAATACATTTTCTGTCAGGTTTTGGTGAATATTCATGATTTTGAGGCGGAAGGATATGAGAGATGAGCGGTTGGTTAGTTTGAAATGTAGGGCCGAAAATTACATGTTTAATGGTCTTTACTTCCAGATTGTGTATCTCGAGTTTTCCATATGATGAACCTCATACGTGCTTTTGACGAAGCAGTTGTCACATGTTGCTCCATCTGTGGTAGAAAGCATTCTACCCAACAAACATTTATGACCAGCAGCAGCCAGGCAGGATACGCCCACATTTTTCAAGGGATGGATAGAGAACAAGCTAAACAAAAAGTGATTTTTCGTAACATCAAGGGCCATAATTCAGGAAAGTACGATCAGATATGTGCGAATATCGACAGGAACCAAGATCTTTGGGTTATAAACATACATTTCAAGTTTCATTAACTCTAGAGAGTCCACAACCTTGATATACCATGTTTTTACACTATAAGCGTACGAGGGCCGGACATTTTGTCCGGCAGTTTTGGTCCGATTTTCACGAACTTTTCATGCGATCAAGGGCCATAATTCAGGAAGTTACGATCTGATATTTTTTGAATATTGAAAGGAACCAAGACCTTTGTGATATAAGCATAAATTTAAGGTTGCATCAAAATCGGAAAAAAATTGTGGCCTCTAGAGGGTCTACAACCTTGATATACCACATATTTACACCATTTGCTTTATACGAGGGGCGGCCATTTTGTCCGTCAGTTTTGGTCCGATTTTCACGAAATTCAAACTCAACTATCATTACGGTGTAACGGTGATATATTCTCACGTTTTTTTTCAGGCCATAATTCAGGAAGTTACGATCGCAAATATCGAAAGGAACCAAGATCTGTGGGTTATGAACATGTATTTCAAGTTTCATCAAAATTGTGACCTCTAGAGGGTCCACAACCTTGATATACCATATTTTTACACTGTGTGCGTTCGAGGGGCGGCCATTTTGTCCGGCAGTTTTGGTCTGATTTTCACGAAATTCGAACTCAATTGTCAATAAGGTGTAACAGTGATATATTCAAACGTTTTTTAAATCGAAATAACATTGTAACCTCCATAGGGTCCACAAGCTAAAAAACATGATTTTACGTACAATCAGGAGCCATAATTCAGGAAGTTCTGATATGCGCGAATATCGAAAGGAACCAGGATCTTTGGGTTATAAACTTACATTTCAAATTTCAACCTCATACGTGCTTTTGACGAAGCAGTTGTCACATGTTGCTCCATCTGTGGTAGAAAGCATTCTACCCAACAAACATTTATGACCAGCAGCAGCCAGGCAGGATACGCCCACATTTTTCAAGGGATGGATAGAGAACAAGCTAAACAAAAAGTGATTTTTCGTAACATCAAGGGCCATAATTCAGGAAAGTACGATCAGATATGTGCGAATATCGACAGGAACCAAGATCTTTGGGTTATAAACATACATTTCAAGTTTCATTAACTCTAGAGAGTCCACAACCTTGATATACCATGTTTTTACACTATTAGCGTACGAGGGCCGGACATTTTGTCCGGCAGTTTTGGTCCGATTTTCACGAACTTTTCATGCGATCAAGGGCCATAATTCAGGAAGTTACGATCTGATATTTTTTGAATATTGAAAGGAACCAAGACCTTTGTGATATAAGCATAAATTTAAGGTTGCATCAAAATCGGAAAAAAATTGTGGCCTCTAGAGGGTCTACAACCTTGATATACCACATATTTACACCATTTGCTTTATACGAGGGGCGGCCATTTTGTCCGTCAGTTTTGGTCCGATTTTCACGAAATTCAAACTCAACTATCATTACGGTGTAACGGTGATATATTCTCACGTTTTTTTTCAGGCCATAATTCAGGAAGTTACGATCGCAAATATCGAAAGGAACCAAGATCTGTGGGTTATGAACATGTATTTCAAGTTTCATCAAAATTGTGACCTCTAGAGGGTCCACAACCTTGATATACCATATTTTTACACTGTGTGCGTTCGAGGGGCGGCCATTTTGTCCGGCAGTTTTGGTCTGATTTTCACGAAATTCGAACTCAATTGTCAATAAGGTGTAACAGTGATATATTCAAACGTTTTTTAAATCGAAATAACATTGTAACCTCCATAGGGTCCACAAGCTAAAAAACATGATTTTACGTACAATCAGGAGCCATAATTCAGGAAGTTCTGATATGCGCGAATATCGAAAGGAACCAAGATCTTTGGGTTATAAACTTACATTTCAAATTTCAACAAAATCAGATAAAAATTGTGACCTCTATTGACTATAGGGTCCACAAGCTAAAAATGAAGTTACGGTCCGATACATGCCAATATCGAAAAGAACCGAGATCTTAGGAAGATAAACCTATATTTCAAGTCTCGTTGAAATTGAATAAAAATTGTGACCTGTAGAGTGTCCACAAACAATATACGTCCACATGAAAATGTGGGCATATAAAAAAGTTAGAGCCGGTCTACGAGAATTAACATTAAAGTAAAAATGGGGAAATCATTAGTGATCTGTGGCCATATGTATAGGATATTAGCCTACCCGAGGGAGAGAAGGTTTATATCCGTCATATACAAAGTCATAGTTTTAATATTTTAGAGGCATTTAGTAACTGGATAGAGCAATACACAAAAACACATACTTATGGAAAAACAGCTACTTATTTATTTGGTCGACGTTTCGAAGAGTATTCTCTCAACGTTATCAAGCTAATACAGTAATACAAGAATTATGAGATCAATATATACAGAAAAACTATAACAACAATTCATGAAACGATACAGGACAACAACAAGATCAAAGGGGGTTATTCTACAAAAACCAATTAAGTGTTAAGTGTAGCCATTGAGTAAATTTTAAGTGGCGATGATGATAGATACAATACTACCGACAGAATGGAATAGTACCTACAATACAATTATGGTATACCATTGTTTGTTTAGATAATGGTAATTAACTTGAAGCAAATACCCATTCACATGGTAAATCTTCATTCCAGCCATGCAGCAAAAGACCACTTCTTAAGGTGGTAATAAAGAATGATCTGTTATTTTTTCACCCAGAAAATCTTTCTTCTAGCGTCATCTAGCGTCATTCTCTACCTTTGTCCGCTTCATTATCAATCAAAATGTGTATATTTGGATCATTGTTTGCGAGGAGAATGATTGGGATGTCTATTTCGCCCGAGCAAGAACGCAAAATACAATTTGTTTCAGCTCCTCCATTAATTTGCAATGCGAAGAGGAGTAGGTAAGCTATTTTGGTGTCCTCGTGGTTTGTTGTCAGTTCTAGGATATTCTCGACACTTTCAATACTAACCTTGATATTTTTTTTTGATCCAATCAAGATTAGTATTGAATGTGTCGAGAATATCTCGGCCTACATGTTTTCAGTGGAAATGACCATCTGTCTTTCTTTTTCCTAAGTTCTAACAATTTTTTAAAGAGCTGAGACGTAATTGCTGGTTTAGAAAAAATGTGTGTACCATGTACAGCGAAAGGCGACTTACATCAGCAGATGACACTAGAAGAAAGATTTTCTGGAGGAATTTTAATTGTGATGAAAAATAACAAACCCTTCTTTCTTTATTACCATCTTGCCTAAGTATAGTCTTTTGCTGTACATTAAACGCAACAATATGATCAAACAAGATGACCCTGCGGTACAAGGCTGGAATGAAGATTTACAATGTGAATGGGTATCTGAAGCATATCCAAAGGATATATGCGAGCTGCTGATTAGCCATCAAGAAGATATCTGACGAAATTGGTACTGAACGAAAAAGGCGATCAGATTAAAATACGGATGTATATTTCGTTTCGTTTTTTTTATACTTTCGATGGCTTACACTACATGAAAATCTGACAAGTTGTACTGGGAGGTCGAGTCAGGGGGCATACGAGCGGCTTTTGACCATATGGCGTCAGGCATTGATTAATCAATCAGCGTTGACGTTTCTAGGGGTTTACCCACAGTTCCGTGCAGAGCACACCAAGAACTCGCCGTAACAGACAGCTTCTTTGGCTAATTCGTCACATCAACTAGACCAGCTGTTATATAACAACTCTTCCAGATCCTAGTGTTGTGAAGACAAGTAAAAACGAAATTTTGAACTAAAAAAGGAAACGATCATAGCATGTGTGTTTTAATCAGATTGAACGAAAAAGCTAACGAGGAAATACTTTTCAGGTCAATTTTGAACCAAGTGGTTTCTGTCCCCAAATTACATTTGACCCCGCTCCCCGACCCATACAATGGGAATCTTTAGAGATGTGCAGCGGAATTAAAAAGTAATGTTTTTACCAAGCTCTAAGAAAATCATAATTTAAATCAACGCGAACTCATTTCCAGCCAATTTTATGCCCCACCCCTCTCATTACACGCTCACCTGCTACCCCCACCCCACCTCCCCACAAATCAAAACAGTTGGCTAGGGGCATCATGTACACTTCTTTAGAGATGAACAGTCCTAGAAATTTCTGTTTTATTAACATAATAATCATTTATGTCAACATAATGACATTTCCACCTAATTGTAGACATTGGACACCAATTCTCGAAAACGCCCCCTCAAACGCCTGATCACCACCCAGATTCGGAATCTACGCAAAAAGCTGGTCTAGAAAAACATGGTCTCATAAATTCACAGCTTTGGTGGCGACCCTCCCCCCCTTCAGCCACCGGACTATGAGTACATAGTTTTATTCTCTGTAGGATTTCACTTCTGGTCAATTCACTAACAAAATGTAATTTGCACTCGTAACATTTTTGTGACAAAATGTGATTTCCAATACCGATTCATTGCACATTGTTAAAATAATAGTTTACAATATCCGATTGAAAACTATTAAAACTGAAATTTAAAAAGAATTCTACCAAAACATCTCTTCCTGCAAAGACTATCATTTATTATGTAGACATAATATTTTCATAATTATAATATTTCGACAAAAATTACCTATGACAACTAAGATTTAGAGTAGTGGCGCTCTTAACTTGCCTTCAAGTTAGAATTTCGTGATTTTTGGCACTGGGCTTGGAGGATATTCCATAACTTACACAAACAGATTCATGCTTTTTTGGCGTTTGCGGTTATTCCATAAATAATATGTAAAATACCGATTTAAGGTAACACACTTAGTTCAGTGGGAAAATTAAGTATTTTCTTAACTTTAAGAAAACCTTTGAATACGGTACCTGTGTTCTCCCTGGATTTGTTCTTTTTCCAGGTCGTTTTTGTTTTTACGACATCAAACCAAATAACCTTGTTTACATTTCCCTACTTCCGGCACATGGCTACATTTGACATTGAGACTGTTTACCGGTAGTCCGACTGTATTAAAATTTAGAGACCCATTTGACGATTTGTTCCAAGAAGAAGTACCAACGATGTTGGCGGTGCGGAAATCGAGGAAACTGATAGACATTGGAATAAGAGTAAAACAGGTGAATTTTGTTCAGAGATGGATCGATACTGTAAGTGACTGAATCGTGCGATTAGGCAGAGTGCCACTGCCAGGATTAATTCGGTAGCACGATTAACGATATCATAGTATATTAATAAAAATAATATGTAACAGGCATTGCCACGGCCGCAGATCTTATTAAATTTTAGGGGGGGGGGGGGGCGGAGATGGCGGGCGGCAGGCGCGAACCGTTCTGCGGGTGGTCGGGGGGGCCTCCCCCATAACATTTTGAAAGGAGGATGCCTGAAAACGCTATCTGAGACCATTTCTGAGCATTCTGCAGAGATGAACGTACCGAGAATAAATTGTCGTTTTTGAGCGAGAATAATCAATAACTACACAAATAAGGGATGAGGAATATTCTTTATTTTATCATAATGAATAATTCCAGCCGACAGGCCATCATCAAATACCAACATATTATAATATTGTCAATAAAATATGTAGTTTAAACTCGTTGAGTGTAATTCTAAAAATATTAAATTTCTATAATCGTTCGTTTCAATTTAAACCATATATTTTTTAAAATTAGGATGCCTCAAAATGCTATCTGAGACCATTTCTAGGCATTGTACATCGGCATGTTCGGAAATATAGGCTACATTTCCCGGGCTGAAAATAAGACTTTTTAAATTTTATCGATGCATTTTTCTGGGGGGGACGAGGCATATGAAAACTCCCCCCCGTGAAAATCCAGGAGGGACGCGTCCCCCCCGGGATCTTCGGCCTTGGGCATTGCCCAAGTAGAGTAAAGCTGATGTGAACCATCATAATTAAAGATAGGTTCCCAGAAAAGTATTTATCGGGTGGTCATTTCCAATAAAAGTATGGCAATTTTGGTATATATGGTCGGAAAGAAGAAATATCCAATCTTACTAGAAAAATACTGGATGCCTTGAAAAACACTCATTGAGCGCATACAGGACAAAACTGTAAGGGTTTCCCTAAACGACAGCCCAGCGATTAGGAGTGTCTGCACGCGTGACGTCAAAGGTCGCACGCGGAGATTGAATGCTTGATGTACATGTTGATAAACTTTATGAAGAGTTAGACGTACAACAGTTTCTGAGTTAAAAACCATGGGAAAAAAAAATTGGGCAGTGGATAATACGAGACTTTAATTAGGCTTTGATATTTGTAATAAATAGTTTAGCGATTAAAGACAACATCATCTTGTATACAATGAAATCTCCTCCGACTTCGTCCCAGTTGCTAGGTACTGAGAGAGGTAAGTCACGTGACACAAACATGACCTCTTTTGATCGATTTTTTTTTATAGTAAGGGTATTCCTTGGCAATTGCAATATTTTGAGAAGGATTTGAAGCAAAATTATGATCAATTAATTGGTTTGAATATGTTTTTAGTCCAAATATATTATCAAATCTCCCAGTTTGTACGCGGGAATGTATCTTTAAGTTTCTCAAGTGATACAAGTAATGTTAAATAATCTCGTTTTTCCGAATTGATTTTAATTTAGATCTAAATTGTATGATTAATTTTGTTTCAAAAAAAAAAAGAACATTAAAGTGTGATAATTATGATTAAATGTGTCATAAAAATATTTCTATGAGACGCGTAATCTCGCTTCAATGGCGAGATTTGGTAAGTTGGCATGCACATTGTCATTTTTGCGCAGTGTATCCGGTTCCGGTCTGAATTTGTTTTTAATCAACAGTCTGTGGTGACAGTTTTAGTTACGCTCCTGTGTTACCAGAAAAGAGCTTTGCTCAAGCACTGCGCTTTGTGCGATGCTTTAGAGCTTTGCTCTATATAATAATTTATATCTATATTTGATAATATATAGGCCTAACTGTTGTGTATACCAGATTGGCATTTTTAATTCAAAATCGTAACGTTTCTATACGCCGACATTTTCATGTGGACGTATTTTGCCGTCGCTCCTGACCGTCCGTCCACAATTTGTTTGTGGACACTCTTGCAGTCTTGGCCAGGTCACAAATTAAAATACCAGTATATGTTTATATCCCAAAGATCTCTGTTCCTTTTGATATTAGCGCATATTGGACCATAACTTTATGCATTATGGCCCCTGGCCTGATTGTACAAAAAATCATGTTTTTAACTTGTGGAGTCTCTAGAGAGGTCACAATCTCTATCTGATTTTGATCCCAAAATCTTGCTTCTTTTTGATATTGTTGCATGTCAGACCATGACATCCTGGATTATGACTCTTTTATGAAATTTATATGCATCAGAGGCGGATTCAAGGGGGGGGCGCGAGGTTTCAACAGTGCCCTTTTTTACTGCTGAAAGTGCCTTTTCTCAGACCCAAATATGTCCGTTCACAATCCGTTGCAGGGATCCCAAATGACTCAAACCATCGATTCAAACACACCAATTCTTGTTGTTTAGCTAACGGTGCCCTAATTCTATATTTAGCTGCTGTGGGCGTATGTTTTATTGCCTAACAAACCTATCTCAAAAAATTCAGATAGCCCTGTTACCAATTCTAAGAGCAGTAAGCAGCAGCACAATGACAGGTTGTACGTGGCAAGGAGTGGAGTCACCTGTCCAACCTCGTGGGTTTTCTCCGGGTCATCCGGTTTCCTCCCACTGCTAAAGACCCCTACGCGCAAGCGAATTATTGAAATAAAATTGAACCATGTGTTAGTCCCGAAATGACCTAGTTTGTGTTGAGTGGACATTAAACCCCATTTCTCTCTCTCTCTCAATGACAGGTTTAATTCCTTCTGTTTGTTTATTTCAGATTTATCCACCTACATTTACAGCACAGACAGTATTATATTCAACTAGAAAACTTGGAGTATGTAATAGATTGACTATTATGTTTATTATTTAAAGGATAAGACATTAAAATGAAATGTCAATCTGATCTGATTTAATTTTGTATTTTGATTTTTTTTTTGTAATATGACCGATAGTCTGACATCATATAAAATATAATCTTCAAAACTAATAATAAAACTCTAATCTAAATTAGAATATAACTTGTTATACTGATAATCTAAATGTTACAGTATCATATAGAATATAACTAGTTATTACTGATAATCTAATCTTACCATAGCATGTAAACTAAATATTTATACTGATAATCTAAATCTAAATACAACAAGTTATACTGATAATCTAAATCTTACCATATCATGTTAAATACAAATGAAGAGCCCCGGGGAAGAACGATCTAAGTCACTTTTTCAACGAACCCCAGTTAATGGCGCCATCTGGTAGCAAATTGTATAAGCTTTCTGTGGAACAATCAATTTCAGGTAAAAACGATCGGAGTCACATCGAACCAAGGCCCTTCTGAAATGGCCTCCAGGACGGCAGGACAAATACGTCCATCGTACCCTTTATTTGACCTTAATTTGGAAATCAGTTGTTGTACTGGTAATTATGATTTGTATTAAACATCATTTTGAAGTTGTAATTATAAACCCACTCGTTATTCTGGTCACCCAAGCATACTTGTCCAAATGTCTGTTTTGCCTTTTATGCGAAAAGACAAAAATGTTACTTAGATCGTTCTTCCCCTGGACTCTTCAGATAGTTACATGTACTTTAAATATAAATATACTGATAATCTAACTTACTGTATTGTATGAAATATGACTAGTTATTCTGATAATCTTAATGTTTCTATACACGGGCTGGCTGAACAGTTCTAAGCCTGAAATGGATAGATCAATTGGGTTGAAAAAAACTTTTGCCACCAACAAGTACAATCATTGAATGAATTATAAACATAAGAACTGCAACTGTAGTCTTATTATTTTTCTCCTGCGAACCTACCTGTTGAAATCACCAGAAATGGAAAAACTGACTATAGAGCAGTCATCAGTTACCTGCAACTGAAAGGACTAACCCCAACACAGATACATGCCGACATGGTCTCAACTTTAGGGGATGATGCCCATTCCTTTACCACAGTAAAGGAGTGGGCTGCGGAACTTAAGCGTTCAAGAAAAACATTACTTGGGTGCATGACGTGGTGATGGCTGATCGATGATTGACCACTCAACATATTGCCAGTTTTGTGGGCATCTCTCATGAGAGGGTTGCACATTATCGCGAACGAGTTAGGAATGACAAAAGCGTCTGGTTTTCAAGTGGACGTATTATGCTGTCCATGCAGACTCCGGACGTTCATTTGCATGGGCCAAAAATCTGAGGTCCCATGTACACACACCTAAAAAAAAACCTTGACAGTTGGAATTCCGGATAAAATTTCCCTCATATCATATGGTCTATGCCCGTCTTCATTAGCCCAGTCAAACCAGAACAGTAGGACGCTAAACCCCATTTCATTTCATTTGGAACAAATTGGACCTTAACTTCTGCATTACTGTCCCTGACAAACTGACCTGGAGTTACAAACCTTTGAAGAAAACCCACTAAGACTGCAGTCGATTTCTTGCAAAATCAAAATGTGGGCAGATCTTGTGTGACAATTGCTTGTCATATTATTTCTACAAGTTCTATGATTTTTATTGCCATTGTTTATTTTGTATGATATTTCAGGAAGTAGCCGCAAATGTTGAAGATATTCGTAATATTGGTATTTCTGCTCACATTGATTCAGGAAAGACAACTCTAACAGAAAGATTATTATTCTATACTGGAAGATTGGGAGAGATGCATGAGGTAAACTATGTATATATTCAGGCTTTACTTTTTGTATTTATTTCACACAGTATGCATGAAGTATTGCTTTATAAACATTGATATACAACTTCATCAATAAAAAATTCCTAGTTGTATATGAGAGGTACATGTACCATACATAGTGCTTTGATCATTTGTAGATCCACCAGCCCACTATGCTATTATCGGCCTTGATGTCGGTGTTGGCCGAGAAAGTTCCACAGAATTTTTCGGCGTGGTTCCTCCTTGTCAGTGATGCTGGGCAAAGGAAAACACATTGGCGTGCACATAAAGGAACACAAGTTAACAGTTGGAATTCGAAATAAGAGTAGGTGGAGTAAGTCCACTTTCTGTGCAAAATTTCCCTTATAGCACACTGCCTGACTCCATTAGCCCAGTCGGTGTAGAACATAGGATGTTTAAACTCCATTTCATTTCCATGTCGGCCTACTGTACATTCATTCATCGATCTACGAAGGGAAAAAAACACAGACGCTAGAAAATATGTTTGTGTGGCAATTGACAGCAAACATCAACAAATGTTGCAAGAAGTTATCTTGAATTGAATGACTGCGATAAAAGATCATTCTCACCGATTATCAGCTGATCTAAACAGTTTTGTCATTTACTGGTAGTATCTAGAAGTTTAATAGTTCCGAGTACTCCCTACATTATGCGGATTTATATCCCCAGATAATCTTGGAAAATGAATAGAAATAATTCAGTGATTATCTTCACAGATAGGGATAACCATTATCAAATACAAAACAAAGGTACACACTGCTGTTTGAACCGTCATAAATTTCAAACAAATTTCTTTGATTATGAACAAACTACTTAATTATGGTTAGTAAAAAATTGCCTATGTGTTTGGAATCACCTCCGGTTGTTGAAATTCATTGTACAATTAAATATACGAAAGAATAAAAATTCACCAGATTATAGAGTCTTCAGAAGTGAACAATTTTTATAAACCAGAACCAAGTCAAAATTCCTACATCAGATGTTTTAAGTTGGCAGCTGAAAATTGATTTGAATGTTAACGAACAAGGTGACTGAAAATGAAAATTAATATCTTCTTTCAAAATGGAGAGAAATATTCATGTTCTGGAAAATCCAAAGGCCTCTGATATTTACTGAAGTTTCCGTAAACATTTTCAATGCAATTTTGAAGGCATTTATTTTTCAGAAAATATCAAATTTTTCACTGCTTAATCCATGCTAGTATATGTACTGGGATTGATTATTTAACATTAAAATACCAACTCTAGATAATCTCCTTGCTTGCATTCAATCGGATTTAAAACTGGTCCATCAATTTGGTTCACAGGCAAACAAATTTGCAATAGATCAAGATTCTGTAGCACTAAAATCATGAATAGTCTTTGAATGCTTCCCTGTTGGCTATCAATAACTTTCACTGTCAGTGTTATGAAATCTTATGGGTATATGCTTCTTTGCCTGGCAACCTATATTATATTACAGGTACGAGGTAAAGATCTAGTCGGAGCAAAGATGGATTTTATGGAATTAGAACGACAGCGTGGAATAACGATACAATCAGCTGCTACGTATATCGACTGGAATAATACAAATATCAACATTATTGATACACCAGGTACGTTACATCTTGACTCTTTCACCGTCAATTTTGTGTCATTTTTTTGTTTAAAACTGGAGATTTTATATAGTGCAGCTTCAAATATTTTTGTCAGAAATATCTGACCTCTTTCGTACTCCGATAGCTTTTATGAATGAGGTCAGAAACTAGATAGCCCCTGCTTTTTATGCAAAATGTAAAATATGTTTGAAGTTTGTAGACCCTCCAGGGGCTAAAATTTTTGTCTGATTCCGATGTTAGGGATGAGTTAGATTTGGTGCCCATCAAAGCTCAACTCAAATTTGATGTTAAGCATTGGGACAATGAGAGGGATGAGCCCAATGCTCCTGGTCCATCTGGTGCAAAATGTTAGCATATCTAACATGGCAACTGCTTGCTTCTCATTCATGCATATGGCTTCTTGAAAATAAATTTTACAATACAAGAACACTAAATTAAACTTAATCGCTCAAAAGATTGGTAAAACATCAGTGCTGTCTCGAAAAGTATCTATCCACTATACGTCAAATAGCGATTCGTCGGACCACGGACCGCCATGACACGTTAATAATCAGTCTACCAGTACTCTGCCTTTTTAAAATTTATTCCAATAAGAAAATCAAAAAATTGCAATATAAGCGTGGATGCCCTCAAGGGAGGTCAAATGGTTTAACCAGTACATGTTCATTCATCAGACAACCTCTTGGGTTATCTCCAGGCCCTCCAGTTTCCTCCCATTGTGAAAGACCCATACGCACAAGCAAACTATTGTAAATAAACTGAACCATATTAGTTTGTGCAGGAGAACTGCACTACATGCTAAACAAAGCTGTGGACAAGACAAATTACACAGACATTGCAAGAAATAAACAACACATATCAATTCAAGTGAATGGATCCTGTGTTAGTCCCGAAATGACTTAGTTTGTGTTGAGGGGACGTTAAACGTTAAACCCCATTTCTCACTCACTTTATCCGAAAATAAAACTTTGATGTTGACCAAATTTGTTATTTTGACAAAGGAACAAAGGTATAACTTCGGAACTGATAGTTGCAGAATAACGAATTTGAAATGAATCAGTCAAAAACTATAGCCTGTATCATTTTTATACGCCCACATTTTCATGTGGACGTATTATGTCGTCGCCCCTGTCCATCCGGACGTCCGTCCGTCCGTCCACAATTGTTTGTGGACTCTCTACAGATCACAATTCTTATCCGATTTTGACGAAACTTGAAATATAGGTTTATCCCAAAAAGATCTCGGCTACTTTCGATATTGGCATGTATCGGATCGAAACTTCATGGATTACGGCCCCTGATTGTACGAAAAATCACGTTTTTAGCTTGTGGACCATATAGAGGTCACAATTTTTATCCGATTTTGTTGAAACTTGAAATGTAAGTTTATAATTTAAAGATCTCGGTTCCTTTCGATATTCGCACATATCGGACCGTAACTTCCTGAATTATGGCCCCTGAAAAATCGCGTTTTTAGCTTGTGGACCCTATAGAGGTCATCATTTTTATCCGATTTAAAAAACCGTATTACTATATCACCGTTACACCCTAAGGAAGACTGAGTTCGAATTTCGTAAAAATCGGCCAAAAAATGACAGACAAAATGGCCGCCGTTCGTTCTCAAATAGCGTAAAAATATGGTATATCAAGGTTGTGGACCCTGTACAGGCCACAATTTTTATCCGATTTTGTTGAAAATTGAAAGTTTATAACCCAAAGATCTCAATTCCTTTCGATATTCGCACATATCGGACCGTAATTTTCTAAATTATGGCCCTTGATTGTAGGAAAAATCACTTCCTTTTTAGCTTGTTCCCTATCATCTCTCGAAAATGTGGGCGTATCCTGCCTGGCAGCCGCTGGTTTACAAGCCCACACCGAAATGTGGGCATATAAAAATCTGTATGCACAATTTGTCAAGATTGATAGAATATTGAACAGGAGCAGAAATGGTAATTTCTTCCATAGGATCTCATCACAGATTAACTGCCCTAATAAAACATAAGAAATAGGACTAAATATATGTTGGGTTTTTTTTTACAAGGTCATGTAGATTTTACAGTAGAGGTTGAGAGAGCATTACGGGTTCTAGATGGCGCTGTTCTTGTATTGTGTGCTGTTGGTGGAGTACAGAGTCAGACATTCACCGTTAATCGCCAGATGAAACGTTATCAAGTACCATGTATAGCTTTTATAAATAAACTTGACAGAATGGGTTCAAATCCTGCTCGAGTTCTATCACAACTAAGGTAAAACATTTACTGTATTGTGTGTTACAAAATAAAATAAGTTGAGGTAACCAGGTTTAGATTATGTCATGGATTCCATGATGTGGTAAGTTTTTTATCCGGCCACTTTTTATGCAGACATATTATTCCGTCGCCCCCATCCGTCCATGTGTCCGTTCACATTTACATTTGTTTGTGGACATTCTGCATCACACAATTTTTATCTGATTGCTTTCGATATTGGCATGTATCTTGCCATAACTTCCCGGATTATGGTCCCTGATTGTACAGAAAATCGCCTTTTTAGTTGTGGACCCTCTAAAGGTCGAAATGACGGTCATAATCGAATTTCGTGAAAATCAGACCAAAACTGCCGGACAAAATGGCCGCCCCTCGTATGCAAATAGTGTAAATATATGGTATATCAAGGATGTGGACCCTCTAGAGGCCACAATTTTGTTCCGATTTTGATGCAACTTTAAATTTATGTTTATATCACAAAGATCTTGGTTCCTTTTGATATTGGCATGTATCGGATCGAAACTTCATTTTTTTTATACGCCTACATTTTCATGTGGATATATATTGTCGTCACCCCTGTCTTAAACTGTAATGACGCTTGAGTTCGAATTTCTTGTATGCAAATAGTGTAAAAATATGGTATATCAAGGTTGTGGACCCTCTAAAGGTCATAATTTTGATCCTATTTTTATGAAACTTGAAATTCATTTTTATAGCTACTTTATAAATCTTGGTTCTTTTTAAAATTCACGCATATTGGATCATAACTTCCTGCATTATGGCCCTTGATTCTTCGATAAGTCACGTTTTTAGCTTGTGGTCCCTATAGAGGTAAGAATTTTGATCCGATTTATAAAATCATTTGAATATATCACCGTTACACCCCAATGATGGCTGAGTCCAAATCGGACCAAAACTGCCGAACAAAATGGCCGTCCCTCGTACGCAAATAGTGTAAATATATGGTATATCAAGGTTGTGGACCCTCTAGAGACCACAATTTTGATCCGATTTTTATGAAACCGAAAGATCTTGGTTCCGTTAGATATTCGCGCATATATCGGATCATAACTTCATAAATTATGGCCCTTGAATATACGTTAAATCGCATTTTTAGCTTGTGGTCCCTCTATCACAAATTTTATCCGATTTAAAAATTGTTTGAATATATCATCATTACACAGTAATGATGGTTGAGTTTGAATTTCGTGAAAATCAGACTAAAACTGCCGGACAAAATGGCCACCCCTCGTACGCAAATAGTGTAAATATATGGTATATCAAGGTTGTGGACCCTCTAGAAGTCACAATTTTGATCCGATTTTGATCAAAACTTGAAATATATCTTTATAACCAAATTATCTTGGTCACTGTCGATAATCACGCATATCTGATCGTAACTTCGTGATTTATGGCCCTTGATTGTACGAAAGAGAGAGAGAGATGGAGTTTAATATTCACTTGACACAAACTAGGTCATTTTCGGACTAACATGGTTTGATTTTATTTCAATAATTTGCTTACGCGTAGGGGTCTTTAGCAATGTTAGGAAACCGGAGAACCCAGAGAAAACTCATGAGGTTGGACAGGCGACCCTATTCCTTGTCACGTACAAACAGGGAATCGAATACATGCCAGTTGACTCAATGACACTCCTTATGATACAGCACAGACGTGCTAACCATTGTATGCAAATAGTGTAAAAGTATGTAATACCAAGGTTGTGGAATCTCTAGAAGTCACAATTTTTATCCGATTTTGATGAAACTTAAAACATGTCTTTATATCCAAATATCTCAGTCCTTTTCAATATTCGCGCATTTCAGACCCTAACTTCCTGAATTATGGCCCCTGATTGTAAGAAAAATCGCTTTTCTTTTTTTAGCTCGTTCTCTATCCATCTTGCAAAATGTGGGCGTATCTTGCCTGGCAACTGCTGGTTTAGCTTGTTCTCTGTTCATCTCTTGCAAGATGTGTGTGTATCTTGCATGGCAACCGTTTGTTAACTCTTCAGATTGATTGGACTAGTTTTGTTAATTGTATTGGTTAGTTTTGTTCAGATGTCCAATCAGTCTGAAGAGTTCAATTTGAGTTCTGATACTCAAAATAACCTTAATCCTAATAACCAATTTTACCTCTTATATTTTCTCTACTAGTGATTGTTAATTTTGTGACCAAATAAGTCAGTCAAGATTTGATTTTTGCCTACTTTGACTGAAGATATTCTACCGGCTAAAAGCATCTACTCTCTCAACAACGTTTTTTTGCGGGAGAGACGATATAACCAAACTGGTCCAACACCATTGTCTTGTTGAATGGACCAACCTATTCAAAAGGATGACACTCAAGTTTATTTAACAGACTACAATTTCACCTTGGTCCATAAAGAGAGACGCATACTTGTCGCCTCCCACATAATTAGTTTCAAAATTTGAGGGATTTGAAGCTTGAATAGATGACCTAATTATACATTTAATTATTTGTTCTTTTTTAGAACCAAGTTAAGTCATAATGCAGCGTTTTTACAACTGCCTATCGGGCTAGAATCTGATCATGAAGGAGTGATAGATTTAATACAACAGAAAGCTATTTATTTTAAGGAACCATATGGGTAAGTAATTAAAACTGCTGACCTTCTTTTGCATTTTTCAACAAATTTTTCATGGTTTAATAAATCCTAAAATTGATTATTTAAAGTTTAATTAAGAAAAACAAAACTAAAATTTCAACAGAGATTATCTATGACAGATATTCTATGACAGGTTGTACGGTCTTGTTCAAATTGTCTGCCTTTAGAGGATGTCAAATTTTGCAAAATCTACAATTTATCATATCTTACTAAATACTAAATGAATACTAGAGATCAACTTTCACAATTTAATTTCTACTGTGTTGGACATAATTCATAGCCCTGTAAATAAGAAAAAAGATAGCCACAAAAAATATTGGGGTCATAAGACTGTTCCAGAGTTGCTATGGTTTTTAACAGAATTTCTTCAAATTTTAATATTCAGCACTCTGTGACGTTCTGTTCGAGAGTTATCTTCCTTATGCTGAAAACCTTATTAACGTGGCACATCATTTGAGTATCCATCCCATTACTACTCAGCGATCCTCGATGTTCTGCTCAAAAAGTTAACTCCCCATTAGCAATAACCTTCTCAACATGATAGAGTCGGCAGTTTTTATACGCCCACATTTTCATGTGGACATATTATGCCTTCGCCACTGTCCCTCCGGACGTCTGTATGCCTGTAAATCTGGACATTGGTTTGTGGACACTCTATAGGTCACAAATTTTATCCATTATTCACTAAACTTAAAATATATGTTTATATCCCAAAGATCTCAGTTTTTTTTGATATGGCAGCATGTATCAGACTGTAACTTCATGAATTATTGGTCCTGATTGTAAAAAAAATCACCTTTTTAGAGGTTACAATTTGTATCCAATTGTGATCAAATTAACATATATGATTATATCCCAAAGATCTCTGTTCCTTTCGATATTGACGAGTGTTGAATTGTAATTCTTGGGAGTATTGCCCCTGGTAGTGCCAAATATCAGGTTTTTAGCTTGTGGTCTGTTCAAATATATGTTCATTAAACCACAATCACGGTTGAGTTCAAATTTCAGACCTAAACTTCCTGTCAAAATGGCTGGTCCCATTTACGCAAACGTGGTAAAGCATGTAATAAATGTTCCAAGGTTGTGTACCCTCCAGAGGTCACAATGTTTGTCTAATATTGATGAAGCTTGAAATATGTTATCTATCAAAAGAACTTAGATGAGTTCGGTTTTGGTGTGCATCAGACCTTCGATTCCATAGTTATGCTCCCTGCCTTTTTACGTAAAATTTGAAATATGTACAAAGTTTGGATCAGAAGATCTCGGATGAGTTTGATCGAACCTTCTGTTTTGGGGTTATGTCCCTTTTTTCCAAAACATTGTGAATTTTATAGACCCTATATCTTTTAACAATTTTTTTTCAAATTCGGTGTCAAGCATTGGGGTCAAGAGAGCAAAAATCCTATCGATAATCAGATTTCTGCTACCTTTTTGAGTTATTTCCTCGGATCAGAACAATAGGATGTTAAACCCCACTTGATATCATCCTTAGCCAAAAACTTTGTGAATGATATAGGTTAGGGCCTACAGTTTTTAACAGATCTTTTTCAAATTTTAATATGATTACATTTTCTTCCCCATCATAGCCTTTGCCTAAAACATGCACTATTAAACATTTCATAATACAGCCTGGATTATAAATTCACATTGTTGTATTACACAACAAATAGATTTATATTTAGATAAGTAAAATAGCTATTAGCCTTCTTCATGACACCTTGTTACTTTGAACATCTCTATATATGCAAAATGACATATTTTACAGGTTAAATATTGCTGAAGATGAAATTCCACAAAATATGAGAACAGAAGCAGACCACAAAAGACAAGAAATGATTGGTTAGTTAATATATATAGATTTTGAACAATCTAGAGGTCACAATTTTTATCTGATTGTGATGGGATTTATGTCAGGTTTTATAGATGACCAATTGAATTAATAAACTGCAAAATAGATCAATTTGCGGCATCTACAAGCAGTAGGCAGAATATTTGATTTTTGACCATAAATTTGTATTCTAAATGGCCCAATATACCATTTAGGAAAACGATTTTCATTTCGGAACGGCTGTATCAAAAGAGATGCCCTTAACAGGGGTTCTATTATACACTCATAGGTATCAACGATACAATTTTGGTTTCCATATTTCTTATTCCACACTATTATGTTTTATTTTGGATATTCGAATTATCCGTTATTTGATATGTCAAGTTTGAAACGCTATAGCTGCAGCTTGGCAGGTTATAAAATAATTTGTGATAAAGTTTCTAAAAGGTTGTGTCAGGAACTTCATATGTGTGGGCTAAGCAACTTAATGTTTTCATTGTCTGATACGTACAATAAATAAGGGGGTGGTGTAAATCTCCTCCAGAGCAAGACTTGAGATTTTCCTGTGCTACTATTACTCTGGAAGTGCATGAATCTAAAAAGGTAAATACTGGTTCTTAAATCTGGTGAACCAGATAAATATAATCTTCTCCTCTATGTATCGGATCAGACGAGTCGACTTGTAAGATAATAAAACAAAGCAAATTATTATAAAACAAATGATGCAGCCAAATATGATGTCGATTTTCACATATTTTCTGACGGCAATTGTCCCAATTTCGATGATAATACCTCTGACATCAAGGTCATAACAGAACTCCCAGTAGTGATACAAACTTTCAGGAAACACAGGCAAATCGAAATGTGAAAGAAATTTAATGAATTGATATATAAAGAAAATAGATGGCTAAACAAAGTGTAGAAATATGCCTATACATCAACTATTTCTCCAAAACAAAGATAGCCATTGACATAAGCTTATCCAAAAAAGAAAACCTCTATCGCTTCCACAATTTTTTTCTGGCATAAAACATCCCTGGAACTGAAAAATACTTCTGTTAAAAACTGCATCCATTATCACCGTAACAAGCCAACTGTTAAAAACTGCATCCTCTATCGCACTGACAAGCCAATTGTTGATGAACTGACATGTCGGTAGCAACGACATAATATGTCCATTTAGAAATGTGGACGTATAAGAATTAATTTCCAATGACTTATATAAAAGAATCCTTGACAGTTAGAATTAAAATAAGAGGTAGGCCACAGCACACTGCATGACGTATGCATGTCTGCATGAGCCGAGTTGGTACAGAAAAGTAGAACTTTAAACCCCATCTCATTTTAGAGAAAACAATTGCAAGTCTCTGTCTAAATGGTTAAATACAGCATGAGAGTTAAAATGCAGTAACCATAAAATAGTCAATTAGCTACGCATTTCCATAAAACAGCGGACTGTAAATGTATATTTAGAGGAAGCATCTCTGTTCTGACCCCATGTGACTGGCACTTGTTGAGAAACAAGAGACCATCTTTAAAAAATTAAATATTCAGTAATTAAGAAAATATAATAATTCAATACCATTAAATTCATCCAATTTGTATGCTTAAATCAGTTTTACATGATAGAAAAGGGAGAGAGAAAAAGCAGTTAGATCTGTAGCCAAACAGTCGCATGTTTGATCCTCACTAAAGCTGTGTGATGATTTGTTGTGTCAATCCATGTTTTTTAATTTTTAGAGTGTATAGCCAATGTTGATGAAACTCTAGGAGAAATTTTTCTAGATGAACGATTACCGACAGAACAAGATATTAAAGTAAGCATATCTCTCTTATGTATCTGTTGTGAAAACACATATTAATGATAAATAGCTGAAACAGTAATATTCTTGTATAGAAAATTCCTGACTTTCAGATGTATTTAGTACTCTGTCCGTATGAAACCCTATCGATATTCAGCATTCCGCGACTTTCCATTCTAGAGTTATGTCCCCTTTTCTAAAAAAGGCTATATTTTTTAATAGATCTTTTTCATATTCAACTTGAAGCACTGGTGTAGAAATATTGTCGTTGCGACATTGTTTTCAAATTTATAGACAAGGAATAGAGAAAAATGATGGCATTATATTCTATTAATTAATGGCTTTGGCAAGTTGAGGGATTCAAACATATTGTCTAATATGTACTTAAATCAAAATGAGCGAATGAATGACAGATTGTTATATAAAAAACGGTCATAATGTGGTAAACATTCAATTCTAAGTTGATAACATATATCTTGTGGGAAATTTCTGTGGTAAGTTTCCACTATCCATATAAGTATGGGTTTCAACGTCATTAGGCTAATTGACCAATCTCTTTAATTATTTACATCATATTTGACCAATTGAATAATTGAACGTCAAAAACCAAAGCTACAAAACTATCATATTTGTGAGAATTTGTCAGACAGCAGCTTGATTCTAGAAGGGAAAAGATATAACCATTTCTATCAGCAGATTCGCCCCAGCGAGTCTGGCTGGATAGGGTTTGAGAGAATGACGTTATTCTATTATGCATTGTACCATATGTAAGCAGCTTGATATATAAAATGTAAAAACAAACTGTTGCATTGTTATAACTACTGAGAAGACAAACGTCTTAACTAACTGAGATAGACAAGAAGAAGTGAATACACAAAGTGAAGGGGAAGCAAAGACAACAAGTGGAAATACTAGACGATCACAAGGCTACTAAAATATGTAGTAAGAAAAGATGCATGGGTCATACGCCGGAGGTGGCGACGGTTTTATCATGTCATCCGCTCTCCAAGTCTGACAGGAATACCCAAGGTACTACACTGGGTCATCGATGCATATCGATATTCATAATCCTTCCCCTTTGCTGAATACTGTGTGAATGCGATATAGGCTATAGGTTTTAACAATTTTTTTCCAAATTTGGTTGGAAGCTATGGGGTCATAAGAGATTAGATCTAGCTAGGATCCTTATCAAATATGCTCAATATCCAAGTTTTTCTTTCGGATAAGCTGTAGTTGAGATAAAATTGTTGTGTGGCTATCATTAAATTTAAGCCAGGATATTAATTATCTACCTGTTTTCTTAATTTGAATACATTTAGCGTAGACTAAGCTGTGAAAATTAGAAATGGTCCAAAAAATATAAATAATGATTAGCAGCTTTAATTGTAAAGTGTGGTGTAGTTTACTTGCTCATTCTTGAAGAATCATTTTCACTGATTGTAAATTTACAGGCAGCAATAAGAAGATCGTGTGTAGCAAGGAATTTTACACCAGTTTTACTAGGTACAGCATTAAAAAACAAAGGTGTACAGCCCTTGTTAGATGGCATCGTGGATTTCCTTCCCAATCCTTCAGAAGTTACAAATTATTGTCTTGATAATTCTAAAGGGTAAGACACGTATAATATTTTGTAGTAACTTTATTTATGATGTAATCATAATAATAATGCATTTATAGAATGCCTAACATGATGACCTGCCCATCTGGGCTTTTAATTTTTGTATGAATTGTTGATATTAATGATATTAGCAATTGACACACACTACAGAGGTTCCGTGTTGGCCAGCTATATATGAAAGTCCTTGATTTGAAATCCCATTTTTGTATGTAACAAGATGTAAGGTCGTCTTACTAACCGAGGTCCTATGTATCCTTGACAGTTGGAATTCGATATAATAGTAGGCTGTAGTGCCGCTGTTGGACAAAATTTCCCTCATAGCACACTGTATGCCCATCTTCATTAGCCCAGTTGGAGCAGAACAGTAGGACATTAAACCCCATTTCATTTCATTTCATTTAAGAACGTGCAGGAATTGATAAAGTTTGGGATTTCACTTATTTTTTGTCCATTTGCTTACTTAGTGCCCAAACATACGAATATAAAATATTAGACTGGTTGATCCACCCTAAGTCATAGAAATGCTGAGATGGGTTTTCCGGTTTTGAACAAAAAAAATAATATATCTTCACTTGTTTTTTTACAACTAACTTCAGTACTTTATATCTCATTGATGCGAAATGTCAACTTATCCAAACTTTGCACTCATATAGTACACTCTCTTCTACAATATTTTCATAATTATATAACCCTCTCTTCACTTCACAATGGCTGGACACCACACCCAACCTTGTATTAGTGTAAGACAACACACAAAGTTTGTATGGAAGACCAAACAGCTCTTTATTCGGTGTTCTTAGCCCTTATTTCTTAAGTCATAGTACTTAATTCTTATGTCTTCATTTGTTGTTGTATTTTGACATTTGTACACTAAAATTAACATTTGTATCTTAAAATCAATATTTGTTTTACAAATTAGACATTTGTCATATCAGATTTGTAAAATGTATATTTTTCACATCATATTCAATAATAAATTAAGGATAATTAATAGTTTGACAAAGCAACATAAGATGGCTACATAAATTCATAATATATAAGCAATATCATATCTCCAGTAATATTTATCCAAACGTGGGCATATTATGTCATCACCCCGTGGGTCGGTCAGAGCCTAGAGTTTTTTGACAGATTTTCAAATTTGGTGTGAAGCATCGCAGACACAAGAGGACGAATCGCTTTGATTTTCAGCGTTCCGCAAATTTTCGAAAACCTAGAAGTTATAGTTTTCGATGGATCTCACGGCAAAAGTTCCAATTGCCACCTAGTTGGCCATAATATTGTCACAAGAGCGTCATTGACTCTCGCCTTGACTTACACGAACAAGGTATCATCTTTGAGTGCCAATTAATAATTATATGTAATCGTTACAATAAAGTTCACATTTTTCTTAATTACTACCTTAGTTATTATTTTGACTGACCAAATATATTAAATCGTGCATTACCAAATTCTGCTATTTAAGATAATAAAATTGTTAAAATGGTAGTTTACTGGCTGTCAACTATCTGCATAAAAAGATCATTCTTTGCGATAATGATTTATTGTCACTCATGGGTATTGATACTTTTTCACTCTTTTCCAGTTTCTAATGAAGCTTCTGAAGTTATATTTCTGTTTGTCACTGTTACATGTTTATTTATTTGGTTTACATAGATTAAGTTGACCGTAATGGGGCCCTCTGATTTCACTGTGGGCCCACTACACCAACACTACATTGAATCAAACTTAAGTTCATCAAAATTTCCTGACGATGGCACAGTTAATGTTAGTGAAAGTACCGCTACTTCTTCCACTAGTGCTAGAAACATTGGAGCAATATTCGAATCAACCATGAGCATGGAATGCCAAATTAGTAATATAACAGGCTATATATACCATCTGCACAATATATCAAAGATTAAATAATCTGTATTTTCTGATGATGCATTAAAAACTCTAATCAATTCTCTAGTAAGATGAATTGGATAATTTCAATTCTGTTATCTTGTGTACCTTTAAAATTTTAAATAAGCTACAGATGCTTCAAAATTTCGAAACAGGACTTATTTCTCAAACTTCTTACCTTGATTGACCGTTTAACTCCTGTCATATTTAATATTCTTGGTCTACTGCTTGAGCGAAAGACTTGGACTGGAGCAGCTCATTAGCTGGAAGACTCAGCACATTATCATTATTAAATATTGTGAATGCACTGTTGCTGTACTTGCACTGCAGCTCTGAAACAAACTTCCTCTTGATATGATACAAATCACATTAGTTTCTGCTTTTAAATCAAAAGTTAAGATGTATCTGACAGTGATATACGACTGAGAGCCTGGTAAGAAACAGTGTCTAGTCATCTGGATAGAACAAAAAACAAAAGTCTTGTGTACACTTTGGCTTACATATAAAAGAACACTTGACAGTTGTTGACAGTTGGAATTTGTAATAAGAGTAGACTGTAGCACCACTGTCCAGGCAAAATTTCCCTTATAGCATACTGCATGATGTAAGCCTGTCTCCATTTAACACGTTAATCCCAATTAATTTAATTGCATTTAATTTCAAATAATAAACTGATTAGACATAATGGTCAAAATGTTTGTTAGCTTGGTAAATCATTGACTATCACTTGTGATTATTTGACTGTTCAGATTCATACTTGTTCAGCAACGATATAAGATGTGTTACTTGTTTTTGTTCTTGTAGAATTGATAAACCAGAACGTGTTGTGTTAAATCCAGAAAGGCAACATACAAATCCTTTTGTAGGATTAGCATTTAAACTGGAGGTGAGTATAAATAATACAATTAAAATATTAAAAATATGTCCGTTTGGGGTCTGACTTTATACTTACTTATATCATTGATTGATGAATATATTTGTCCAAAAAAGCCTGTGAACAAGATACAGTTTCTGTTGAGACATAACCACTGTGTGGGCGTATCTCCATGCTTTGTGTGGCTATCTTTTGAAATTTGTCTTGCTTGGAAAAGGTTTAAAAATTTATATTTTCAATAATATCGTAATTTCCAGTTAGCTTATGGTCATGTTCTTTCTTTTTGAAAGTACTTTATTTAAATTGCCAAACTTGATCCTCATTTGTAGCAATTCTATAACTTATCATGTATTTTTTATACGCCCACATTTTCATGTGGATGTCTATTGATGTCGCCCCTATCCGTCCGTCTGTCCGTCCACAATATGTTTGTGGACACTCTACAGGTCACAATCTTGGTTCCTTTTGATATTTGCACATATCCGATTGTAACTTCCTTAATTATTGCCCATGATTGTACGAAAAACCGCGTTTTTAGCTTGTGGTCCCTCTAGAGGTCACAATTTTTATCCGATTTAAAAAAGCATTTATATGTATCACCGTTACACCATAATAACGGTTGATTTTGATTTTTGTGAAAATCGTTTGAATATATTAACGGACAAAATTCCCGCCCCTCCTACGCTTATAGTGTAAATATATGATAATGATATATCAAAGTTGTGGACCCTATAGAAGTCACAATTTCGATCTGATTTTGATGAAACTTGAAATACATGTTTATAGCCCAAAGATCTCTGTTCCTTTCGATATTTGCATATATCGGATAGTAACTTCCTGAATTATGGCCCTTGATTGTATGAAAAATGGTGTTTTTAGCTTGTGGTCCCTCTAGAGGTAACAAATTTTATCCGATTTAAAAAAAAAACATTTAAATGTATCACCGTTAAACCCTAATGACGGTTGAGTTCGATTTTAGCTTGTTCTCTATCCATCTCTTGCAAAATGTGGGCATATCTTGCCTGGCAACCACTGGTTATATATTATTTTTTGCAGGCAGGTCGATTTGGTCAATTGACGTATCTGCGTATATATCAGGGTGGATTAAAGAAGGGTGATGTCATCTACAACACAAGGACTCAGTCTAAAACAAAAGTTTCACGATTAGTCCGTATGAACGCTGATGAGATGGAAGATGTAAGTGAAGTATTTGCAGGAGATATTGCTGCCTTATTTGGTATTGATTGTGCCAGCGGTGATACCTTTGTTAATAAAGGCAATATGCATCTTTCTATGGTGAGTTTATTTAATACATTAGAAATGGTAGTGAATAATAATACCGGTACTGATAATATTGCGCAATATCCATGCATGAGCATGTTCAACGAATATAACTGATACATAGTGAATGCTTTCTTAAAGAAAAAAGCGTTTGAGTCTGGATCTAAACACAACAACATCTGGAGAGTTCTATATTTCCAGTGGCAGATCATTCCACTTTATTGGGGTTGAGTGGGAAAAAGTCCTTTGACCAAAACAGGCTGTTTTAGGCTTTGGCAATAAAAGGAGATTTTCATCTACAGATCTTATAAGGTCATATCAGGAGTGTATGATTGTAAGAGATCACTCAATGGGACTGTACCATTTAAACATTGAAATCTATAAGCTTAACAGTTTTAAATTTGATTCTGTAACTAACAGGAAGAAAATGGAGTTGTTTGAGAATAGGAGTTATGTGAATGTTTTTGTTGGGGGTGGTAACAAGAGAAGATGGAGCACTGGCCAGTAATCTATTCTGGAAAGAATCAACGGGGCACCAGTATCTTGTGATTCATTATCTGGTATAAATGAACATGACAAAGGTTTATGTAGCATAGATCAAACAATGGAAGCTCTCGTTGAGACAGATACCACATAGGTTACATAGTCTGGTTATGAACACCCCCCCCCCCTATTTTATTCATTCTTGTTAATTTAACATTTTGTATTTCAGGAATCTATGTTTGTTGCAGAACCTGTTATATCGATGTCTATAAAACCAGCCAAGCAAGCTGACATTGATAACTTTTCTAAAGGTATCGCAAGATTTACTAAAGAAGATCCGACATTCCGTGTACATTGGGATAATGAAAATAAAGAAACAATTGCATCTGGTATGGGTGAACTTCATCTTGATATATATTCTCAGGTAAATGGTTGTATTAAACAGATAAATTTGATCTGTCTACATATAAAATCAATCCTATTTTGTTTCATTTTTTATACTTCAAAATTTTGTTTTGCTTGTCTTTACTACACTAGGATCAGAAAGAGTTGTTATATAACCTGTGTTCTGGTTGATGTAAAACAAAATATAGATCTGTATTTTGATCAGATTGATTTAAAATATTAATTGGTTCAGTGAGTCAGATGCTGAGTCATTAAGTAGTATTTTTCAGAATGGTATCTCCTGGTCAGTGGTGCAGGATGGTGGGCCTGGCCCAAAACGGATGCTAGACAAAAAAACACAAGGTCTGGTGTACACATTGGCGTGCACGTAAAAGAACCAATGACATTTGGAATTCGGTGACGAGTAGTCAAAAACATCACTTTTTGGGGCAAAATGTCCCCTCATAGCACACTGCATGATGTCTTTTAGCTGAGTTGATGCACACTGCATGATGTCTTTTAACTGAGTTGATGCAAAAAACGTGAAGTTAAATCATAATCAATACCCAGTGTTGAGATACATTGGGAAACTGACAAAAATCAAAACTAAAGTAAAGAATTTGAGTCAATTTCACTAATAATTAATCTTTCAAATCGAAAATGGATGCTTATGCAATTGCAAGTATTGCTTTTCTATTTTTCACTCAGATTAGTATCTTGATTCATGTTTATATCTAAATTTTTAACAGAGATTGGAAAGAGAGTTTGGAGCTAAATGTGTTTTAGGAAAACCCAAAGTTGCTTTTAGAGAATGTTTGTTACACACTGTTGAGTAAGTATGTGAAGAGAAGAACTTATTGAACATCTATATACAGTACATAATTACAAGACCCCATTTCATTCTATCATATCTGAATATTTTATCATTGTGTAGACCAGAAGAGGCTAGTCATATTATTGTGTATCAAAAGGAGTAAAATCACCTATGGTTGATGCAGACATTGGTAGGGTGACCCATGTACTCACAGAAATACAGTCCACCGCTGATAGTTCGAGACTACCACTGAATAGCAGTAAAATTAAGCTTCTTGGTTATTACAGCAGATTTAGATTTTTTAAATCGCTTTATCATTAACTGTACCGTTAAGAGCGGCATCTTTTGGTTTAGTACAAATAATATCTCTGAATCACTCGGGTTAGACAGGAACATGATACTAGCAGTAGTTTCATTTTACTTTTACAAGCTTCTTAAAACGATTGTTGAGCTACCTAACGTGCTTATTTCTAAATTCAATTTCTTGTTCTAGCTTTCTGTTATGTTTCGTAAAAAAGTAGTCTTGATTATCCCGACCTGTCAATCAGACGTAGAATGGTCGATAGGCTGGTTAATCGAGACTAATTTCAAAACAAGGGCACGTAACCTATCTTTTACTCAAAAGTGTCTGGATGTTATGGACGACTCTTGGAACCAGTTTTCAGTCTATTATTTATACATGATTAATGGTCATAGCTTATTAAGTACAACATGATCGTTTTTTTAGTGACTATAATTGTGTGAAACTGATTTGAGGCTTGGCATATATATAAATATTGTGGCGTAATTGTCGAGATATATGGAGATATTTATTTATGGTGGGTCACCCTAACATTGGCAAAATTCTGACTGCAAATATCGCCATTCGGATATCAAAACTCCAAACATATTGACTGTACTAATCTTGATTATTGTTGAGTATTCTGGGATTAATCCGAGGCAATCAATAATGGGTGTTGACAAAATGAAGCAAGCACAGTGAAGAAATGAGAATTGTTTTATAAGCGATTATGAAACATGAATGAAAATGAGTGTAAAATGATATGCATTCAAACCATTAGTTTTTTTAATTGAACACATGAATATATAAATATAATAATACCTCACTCGCTCATATATGAATTGATTTATTTAAAGGTTTGATTATCTTCACAAGAAACAGTCTGGAGGTCAAGGTCAGTTTGCCCGAATCATCGGTAAAATTGAGGTAAGGAAAATGAAAATAAAAAAGCTTTTGTTGATGTAATATAGTTGGGAAAATTTCTATAAATCTGTTACCAGTTTTCAGTTTGAAGGTGGTTCTAAAATAATTTGGTCTGCCATAATCCTAAACATGATTAACATTCTAACTCATATTTTCTTTTCTTTTTTATAAGGATCAATAAGTTTTGTTTTAAATTTCAAATTTTGTAAATTAGGCCATACAAAAATATTTTGGTTCTTAGATAATCCTGCATCACTTAAAAGGAGCCACATGACCTGTTTCAGAAAAAAAAAAAAAGTCTCATTAATTATCATACACATGTTTTACCCAAGATTCCACATCAAAATGTGAGGTATTGTTTCTTTTGTGGGTTTGTTTCATCCTGTTTATATTTAAAAATATATTTATAGATGTTGTTTGTAGATTTGATGTGCATTAAAACTTTTTTAAATTTAAGCCATTACCTGCAGAAGATAATACGAAATTGTCATTTGAAGATCAAACAACCGGTACAAATATACCGAAACAATTTATATCATCAATTGAAAAGGTAGGTTACAGCCTAAACTATATATACCAACAGTAGAAAAGTTGGTTAACAAGCAGAGCAGTTTATATCATTATGCTCACCATTATATGTTGTTAGTCAGGATGTTTTCCTGAAAATAAGCACTGTGAGTGGGAGGAAACACAGCTAAGGGAGTCAAGACTCTTGGAAATGTCCCTAAACTACTTTCTTTTACTGCCCCATGAACATTAGTAAGACAAAAACATTAAAACAAATAAATTTTAAATATAATTTAAACATATTTTATGCAAGAGCTAAATCTGTCTATTGCAGGTCTTTCTTTAGGCCTGAAATGTTATCTAAACTATTAGACATTAATTATGAGCCGATTTACTGCATAACTTTCCTTCACGATTAAATGGATAATCGAGACTATGCTGTTTATTGTACTAACTTTAGTAATGATGATTGAGGCTAGGCGGAAATTTCAACAGCTTAGTTCTCGGTTCATAGTGGATTAATTTGAATAAAATTTTCAGCAAATTGCCTTTACATTATCTAGTTTTTAACTATTATAGTGAGAACTGCCAACTCGTTATCGAATCATCCATAATGTATCTTTAATGATGGGTTGAACACTTTTTAGATTGAAAGTTTTTTGGGGGGTACTTTTTTATAAGCCCACACATAGTTTTAGTATACATTATATAGTGTGAAGCTTGATGGTCACGAGCTGACGAACTCTATTGATATTCAGTGTTTCGTGACCTTCCACGTGCCCCCTTTTCCGTAAACATTGTTAACACGATAGAAGCTTTAGGGGTTCATGGGAGTATAAACTACGAAGCATATGGATATTCAACACTTACTCCCCTTTGCCAAAAACTTTCTTACCGTTTTAGAAGGACACAGTTTTTAACAATTTGTTTTTCAAATTTTCTTTCAAAGCATTGGTGTGATAAAGAGGACTAACTCTATCGATGACTTTCTGCTCTGGAGTTTCCCAACCTGACATTCGAACACCCCCATAGTTAATGTGATGGAAGCTAAAGGGGGATTATTCCTCATTCTTATTTTTCAATCAATATTTCTGCATGAGTGCAATCTATAACTTAGGATATATGCAAATCTTGTCAAATGTGTATTATAATATTTATAAAAAATTTTTTACTATAGGGGTTTCGAAAAGCGTGTGAGAAAGGTGGTTTGTCTGGACAGAAAGTGGCAGGTCTTAAGTTTATAATACAAGATGGTGTTACCCATCCAGTAGATTCCAGCGATCTTGCATTCTCTACAGCAGCTGAAATGGCTGTCAAAGAAAGTATGTATTATTTTTTTAAATTCGTGGAATAGTCTGACATTGGTCTCTCTTTATCACTATACAGTTATTGTGATTTCTGATAGTAAAGTTACTTACTTACCACTTTAAAACCTTTTGATAAACTAGACTAGCTAGTTGGTTAAATTTTGTTTCCCTTATTTTTACCAGTATAGATGGCCATAACATATACATTGATTGATCGGGTTTAACAAATTTTGCATCAAATTGCTTTATGGTATGACTACCCCCTTTTATTGTAGAGGGTCTTAAATCAGTATTTGCCATTTATTCTGGTCTTTCGTAAGGTATAATATGAGAAAATGTCAGACTGGTAAAATTTTCCTATTGATGGCCTTAAGCAAATATAGTATGTTATGGCCTTATCTATGCATGCACCAAATACGGTAGTATAATTTGTGTTTTATCTTATAGTATATTTAGATCCAGTATGGAATATATTAGAACCGATCATGATGGTTGAGGTTAACACTCCAGCAGATTTTCAGGGTTCTGTTATGAATAGTTTAACAAAACGGCATGCTGTTATCACTGGTACAGACGCATTAGACGAATATTTTACTCTATATTGTGAAGTAAGTATATTTGATGTCCATTACTCCTTCCCTTATAATTCTGGTAATCACTCTGCAGATCAGAGTTTGGGAGGAAAGACCCTATCAAAAGTCAAAGTTGTTCGAGTTAATGAAAGATTTTGTTCAAACTTGCTGAAAGATACATTAGTTAAGAGTTTAATAAAGAGTTGGTCATTCTTGCTATTATAATTCAAAAATAGATGATAAAAAATGAAAATATTGAAAATTTCATTCAAATTACTTCATTCTCAGTCAAGTTATCATTGTTTGTAGTTTTGACAAGATGTGTGCACAGTGGTAACCCGGGCACAGGTATAATCAGGACTTAGCCTCGCTTTCCCATTTTTCAATTAAATTTTTAAATGGTGAACCGTTTTAATCTTGTTAAAATCTTGAGTATCTGATGCCATCAAGAGTCGATTATGGTCTTGTTTTGTTAATATATGTCTAATTAATAGTTTATATAACATTACATGCATAAAAAAGACCTGCAATAGGCAGATTTAGCTCTTGCATAATGTATATTTAATTTTTTTGGCTAGTACGAGGAGAAATCTAGAGTTATTCCGCTTGTCACCAAAGCAGGGCTTCCACTTCCGGTCATTTTTGATAATGCACGAAAACTTTTCAAAGTAAATTCATATTTCATGTTTTTTATTCATGGTAGGGTATTGTGAATTCACGTGTCTATACTACTTTGTCACCATGGGGTGCACAAAAAAAATATATATTTGACTTAAAAATGAAATATTAGTAAGGCTCATGATAATTATTTAATAATTAAATATTCCGTTTTGGCTACTTAAATAACGAAATAGTTGAATTGGTCGGAGAAAAACCATTTCAGTAGCTCACACGTAATTAACACGTGCTCTATAGAAAACACACTGACCTGGATAATTTTGAGTTGTAATACAATAACTTTGAAATGAAGATAAATATATAATTATACATGACCAAAGCATGGGTTCCAACCTGTGTATATATGATGCATATCATTAACACTAGCTTATTTTTCTAAACCCAATTTTTTAAAACATGGTTATGATTGACCCCTGCCGTGTATAATTTAAAATTCAACGTATTATTTAAATTAGTAAACAATTTCCGTTATTTATCATGGCCCTTGTTTCATTTTGTAGAACCTTGTGAATGCTCGAACTACAGAATTTATCTTCCGATCTGTATGAAATTTATATGCTTGATTTAATTGTAAATCAAGAAGCCTACCAAATTTTAAAAATTTCAGTTAATTACTTTTAGACATAAAAGTAATCCAGACTTTGCGATTTAACATCAGGAAAAGAAATCGGCAAAGGATAATCACGTGACAAACAAGAATGCATGGAGTAGTTTTCTTCTAATTAAAATGTTTTGAGAGAGATTTAGAAGCACATATCGATAAATTAGTTGGAATACGACTTTAGTACAATTACAGCTAATTACTACCATAGTTATGATCCTCATTTCACTTTGTAGAACATTCGCTCGAACAACAAATTATTTGATCTGTATAAAATTGACATCAGTGTTTTGTAAATGCTCCCATTGTAAATGTTGACTGCTTGGGCTTATGTTTTGCATAGCCTAGAAACCTATCTTTTAAAAGAAATAGTCAATGTTTTCGTAGACTTTCCCTTGTTGTCATTTTGAGTGAAGCCTGTATCCCTACAGGCATGGGACGGTACAGGGCAGTGGACACTTACATTCACTAGATTTGATGGGACTTTTATCTTAGTTCATAATGAAATTTTTGTGTTTATTTTATTAGGTTCCATTAAATGATATGTTTGGCTATGCTACAGAATTACGATCGTTAACACAAGGTAAAGGAGAGTTTACAATGGAATATAGCCGCTATTGTCCAGCTTTACCCGATACTCAAGAAGAATTAATACAAACTTATCAACAGGATACGGAGCAATCACACACAAAGAAAAAAAAGAAAAATTAAAAGTCACATATTGAAAAACTTTCACTCATTTTGGTACGTCCACCCTGTCCGTTGGTCTGTCAGCTTTTGGCTCATTATCGCTAAATATAGGCTACAGATCTTTTTAAAATTTGGACCATGACAGGACGAAACCTATCAATGTCCTGTGACCTTCCATTCTGGAGTTACCCCCCCTCTGGAAAATGCGATAGAGGCTACAGTTGGTTTTTCCTCACTTATGAATATGCCACAGCAAGCTTAGCTGTAGCTCAAGTACAATATATTAAGTTGTGTTGTCCCTCATTTTATCACAAAACAACTTTGGGAAGATGTTTGGAACCCATGAAATGAAAAGCAGTTTCTATGCAATCATAAATGTAATATAAAGAAGTAGTATGCATTATGTGAATATGTTTGTTATATTTTGTAAATGAAATGAAACTGTATTTATTTGTAAAATAATCTGATGTAATTTTAGAATAATAAATTGATATACCAGTATATTTAGTGATTTAATACACCCACACTAAAATGGACTCTATCGGCAGCGATTTCCAATAATTACTGCCAGGATAAAGTTATCATCCGATTGACTGTTTAAGGTTATGAGATGAAATATCATACTTGTGTTCTACCCATAACAGTGCATATAAAATAAAAAAGATGTTATTCTGGAAAGAAATAGTACTTTATGTATGGTTTAATGGTCGAGAGCGAGACATTAATGTATTGATAGCGCACGAGGCGTTAGCCGAGTATTGTTTCAATATATTACGCAATGTCTTTAGCTCAAGACCATTAAACAACTTAAAATACAGACACTATCCTGCACGTGCTTTTCAACGAAATACATCACGCTAGTCCAATATTTCATCTAATATAGATAATGTACGATTGGCAAGTTGCACGTACATTATTGGAAATAATGGTAGGCCAGACGCCAACATCAAATGATGACATCACATCGGTATTTTAATGCTACATAATATGGCCTGTGAATAGAATACATTACAGAGAGTATCATTTGGTATGTTACACTATTAAGGGTATTTTACAACTTCAAAGCCAAATTTGTCAGTTTTGCTGAAAATACCGAACTTAAATTAACTGTTATTTATTCCAATATCCAACTCAAAAAGATATGCAGCTACTGTGCCAAGTTTTGATCCAATCTTCATGAATATATACCATCAAAATTACCCAGACACTAGAATCACTTGACTTGTAATCCAAGATCTTTTGATTGAACTTAATCATAATTGGACAAATATTGTAGCCTCTAGAGGGTCCACAACCTTGGTATACGTATTACATGTGTTTACACTATTCGCATAAAGGAGAGCGACCCTTTTGAAGGGAAATTCAATTCAAAATCAATCATGATTTTGGTGTAACAGTGATATATTTAAACAGCTTTCAAGATAGAGGGTCCACAAGCTAAAAAAAGCATCCCTACTACATGTAGAAGTCGAGTGTAAGGAAAACTGAACTACTGTCATAGTTACCATTAAAGGACAATATTGGTGCCAGTCATTATCACATATGTGATAGAACTGGTTAAACACGTTCCAAATATTATTTTATCACAGAGATAATTGCTACGATAGATGAGTAATCAATGTTTCAACAATTGGAAGTGACGATCGCAAAAGGAAAACACCAGTTACCCCTTTATATAACTGAATGAAGTGACAGGTGATAACAGATACATGTGCGAATTCCTGCTCACTAATAATTCCTTCGAAGACCAAAAGTTGTGTTATGGGACTGTGAAAGGATATCTGATGAATAACATTTAGTAATTGAACATATTAACATAAGGTACAATTTTATAGATGCACAATTACTGAGTTTATTACTATGTGACATTTCAATCAAATGATACAAATGTAGGAATGATCGTCTTGTATGGAATTAGCTTAGACTATGGCCTAATTGTGTATTGATTGTATGGTCACATAACCACCGGATTTGTAACAGGTTTGTACAGGTTAAATACTAGTCCTTCTACGACATGATCCTTCTTACATTTCTTTATATAAAAATAAATATTTAACAAGCAGATAAAAACCAATGATATTGAACATACATGTACAGTACAAATGATAAAAACTGTATAGTATAATCAAAAGACCAATGTATTAATTCCATATCCAATATTTAAATAAATAGAAATTATCAACCTCTACAAGACATATAAATAATAACACAAATTTTTGTATTACTAATTTATATACTCTTCTCGCCACATTGCTGTGGTCATACCTTGTGTGTCTAAACCCATTGAAGTCGGATTTGACGGTGTCCGCGTATTTTAAAACAGCAGCTCTAACGGGACGTACTCCGGTTTCACGTAGGTGTTTACGGACTGTCTGGTCTGAGCTCCTAAGTCGTCCAAGAATTGATGCTGCAGTGGACCTCGCAAATGACGTAACCAAGGCAGGCGAGGTCACTTTTGTTTGGCCTGGGCTTGGTTGGTCACTTGTTGAACTTCGCTGTCGGTACCTATCCCAAAGGCGAGAGATGGTACTCTGGGAAACATTCAGCCGTCTGGCTACATCTGTCTGGGATTCACCTGCTTGTAACCGACTGATCGTGTTGTTGCATTGGTCTTCATTCAGATGTGGCATCACTTGGCTCATTCAAGTCACAATTAGTGACCCTACATTTAAAACCAATAATGAATTTCTTTTATCCTTACTTAATAACATTAAAAACAAGTAAGATTTATGGAAACATCGATCCCTGTTAAATAAAAAAAATGATGAAAAATGGGCTATGCGTTTCTTTTTTTGAAGAGTATGTTTTATACATTGATTTGTTTTGTGGAGTGACAATCTGTCTTCCTAGAAAATTTGAGGTCTATAAAGCTAATGTTGAGATATAATTGATTTTGGGTTTAGTGTAAAAGGAGGAAAACCTCATAAATACATATTCATCTCTCTAATTTCTATGTCGTGGCATCATATTTTGTGTTTTCTTCATCCATGAAACCTGGAATATAATACTTTTATCTCCCAGCTATACTCAATAATCCACAATTTTACTGAACAGCACACGTCATTAGATACACTTTGGTCCTACATGTATATTGTTTGTTTCAAGTAAGTTAGGATGTCATATCAGCTACAACGGCCAAAATTCACTTTGGTCAAAACAGCCAGAATTTGGTCATAACGGCTAAATATTGAGTCTTTGGGAACAATTCTCTCCTTCACATTACACACATTAGAATAGAAAATTAAACCTAACCACATGTTAGTCTCAAAATATCCAAAATATTGTTTTACTTTCTAATTCCATTCTGTAACAATCACATAGAAATTCACTAGAAGAACTTTTCCAAACGTTTTATTGGAAATTCAAGAAGGTGGAACTACCAGTTTACAAGTCTCGGTCATTCCTGCCTATATTGTTCCTGTTTTAATTATAATTAATTTTATTAGTCTGAAATGCACAGCAGCCATGGTGTGTATATAGTGACTATCTGTGTATACAGTTAAGGTAATGACTTATTGAAAATGTCATTTTCTTCCAAGATATCTCTGTATGACCTTTGACAGGGTGAACTGATATGGTATTATCTTGTTGAAACTATATTTATTGTAGTCCAAGAAAAGACAATATAGACTGGAATGATCGAGAATACATATCTTCTACATTAAAGCACTATCAAGTCAAAGTGTCGGTAAATTCAGATGAACTAACATAATCATCAGAGTTACTGCCCTTAATATCGTTTAAATCTTTAGACATGACAGTAAAAGTACTGTTCACAAATGAGTCACTTTGTGTTTCATCTTGATTTGGTTCACTATTTGTGTTATTATGCATGTGTATATCACTAGACGATGCGTTAATCGAGAAGTCTGACGTTAAAAATAAAGGGTTTTTACTTGTTTCTATGCTGTTAGTTTGAAATTCACCTTTATTGTCATAGGAATCTTGGTGGAGAAGTTGCTTATGTTCTAGAACAGATTTTGAATGGTACTCAAATTCACTGATTTGCCTATCAAGGGGAAGATAACTCTCATTAATTTCAGTATCTAGAGAATTCAGCAAGGTCGATTGATCCTGTTGAGTATTGCCCGACGCTGAGCTTGATCCAGTCATACTTCGTGATCCATCTTTCACTGAAGAACTAACTGTTGTCTGCCCGCCAGAAACTGATGGTGTTAATGAATGAGTTGTAGTATGATCACTGGAAAAAAAAAAAAGCAATATGGTTATTCTATTAATTTAATTATTTTTTCTCTAAGACTGTCCGCCAACGCTTGCATGAAATTTCATTCTACCCATGGATATCTTGCTCAAGATGGTATCTTACCTACGTTATTTGTTTAAGATTATTGCCACCTGATGCACTGACGAGTATAATAATTCTACTTCAATACTGCCTTCACACATATACACAAACCAGATATAATTTTCATTTTTTGCAGTTTATACCATTTCAATATAAGAAAACAAGAGATCCTTAAATGGGCAATATCGAACATACAGTGGACTGTCACATCCTACATCGTACGGGATCGTTAAAATTAAAGAGCATGACGGAATACTCAATACCGAAAGTATTATTGTACCTTCGAATACCGGAAGTTAGCTCCAATTATGTATCGTTAAACTGTGTTTAACGCTACAATTGATACAGTCTAAGACTCCTTACGCAAGTTTAAATAGGTTCAAACGCACAATTGTCAACACATATCATTACACTACAGTTGTTATTGAAATAAGTAATTCTATCACAAATAGTAAAGACTGGACCACTAAAATAGTTACCGAACAGTTTTTCTTTGTGGTAATGCGTTCTACATTTTCAAAGCGATTTTTCTTATAATGTGAAAGCCACCATGACAACAGCCAGTTGAAATAAGTTTGGTAGGCGAGAAATTTCGCGTAGCAGTTGGGTTTCATATGCGGTAAGGCTTCACCTTTATTTCAATGGGAATTGATTTATTATATGTTAAGGTATGTGCAGTACAGTTTGGGATCAGTTTATGTGGGAAATTAAGGGAGCTATAGGCCAGTAACATTTTTTGTAGTCATTTGACTAAAAAAAAAACTTGCGCAAAGGAACTGCATAGAACTACCCACTACTGTGGCTGGAGTAAGACGGAAGACATCACTAGTGGAACCATTTCTAACCAGAAGTATAATCTTCTTCGGTTGTATGTATTTGGTGGCAAAAATTTAATATTCACGTTACTATAGCACTCGCATTTTTATCTCACAATGATCGGTTGGGTAATGCTCTAAAAAAACAAACGGTTTCATCACAATTAAAAATGTTTTCCAGAGAATAACCCTCAATAATAGACGGAATGCATATGCAGAATGGTACCGAGATCAACACTCGCACTTTGCCACTAACTTTAAAGGTTCATTCGACAAACCATCGGCAGACTCCGGTACCCTAGATTCGTAGAATTGGCTGAGGTGCCAAATGTTTAAAAGGCTCTGATGTTGAAAACACTTGTGCGGCATTATGTTGATATCAAGGTAATCAACAAAGACCGACACAAGCATTAATCTCATCGATAATTGATTGGTGATTGCTTGCCAATCTTTTGTAAGTGAACACTGACGCATTGAAGGCCGGATTATATAAAGTTAATACAATGCAAATCATGTGACGGGACCGCTGATTGATGTTGTAATTCGGAATATTCAGAATACGAATTACTCAAAACTTTTTGGGTTGAAGTAATAAGAAAATAAATCGGGACATGAAAATGATGACGGATTTCACAGAATGTCGTAGTTTTCAGAAGTCGGATGTGACAGAGTCCACTGTACATGTTTCTCCTATAGGAAGTGTTCGACAACATAAGTTATATAATAAAATCTACTTATATCCAAAAATAAATATACAAATAAAGTAAAATTCTGGAAATATGAAAATGCATCAATGACTCAAATGTGATCCTTTGAATTGAATCCAATATTCAAATAGATTTCGAATAATGCTAAGAATATTTGAATACTAAAATCAGCATCTAGTGATAACTAATTCAATGCATACTTACCATTTAACCCCTAACCGTAATTCTAATAAAGATTTTAAATTAGGTAACGTTAATCTTAAATCACTTGTACCTAAACCACAATAAAAACGTAACTGAAATAAGAAAAAAGGATGACTAGAACAGGAGACGATCAAATACATAAAATTATGTCCCACAATTAATTTTATAATCATTTCCATTTGATTAATTATTCATACAATCCTAATATAAAATGAAGCACACAAATGAGATAGTTAAACAATACACAGAACAAACTGTACATGTATGAGTTCATGTTTACTGCCTGAGATGTTACCTGCCAACCAATCCCTGCCTTAAAATAAGGGAATTTAAAGAATTTAAACTCAAAAGACATTACATACAGTCACTCTATAGGTTTTGTCTGAAAAAGCAGTTGTCAAAATATGTCATAAATAAAACTACATTAAACCACCTGACAGTGATGAAAAATATAGCTACCGTACAAGTTATATGAAACAGAATGACAAATAAAGCGATTAGTTGCAATAAACCATCAGACAATATTTTTACACACTGTTTTTGTAAATCTTAATAACCTACTGCTGAATGAATAATTAAATAGAACAAACCTGACTTATATTTTTATTCAATAAAAATACACCATAATTAAACTGGAATTTCTCTTTTCCTTTACCATACAGTGGAAAACTGAAAACAAAAAAAGTCAAATTTGTATCTCTTTTTTAATTTGTTTGCTCATCCTCTCATTTTCCCAATACTTCACATCAAAGTTGAAAAATATCTGTTAAAACTACAGCCTCTATCATAATCATAAGATTTTTCGGAAAGGGGGCACAACTTTGGTGTGAAAGGATTTGTCCTTTTATGACTAAAATGCTTCACACCAAATTTGAAAAGAATCTGTCAGAAACTGTAGTCTCTAACAGGTTCACAAGTCAATTGTTGATGGAGGCACATATGCACAGTGGGACGACCTATATAATATGCCAACACTAATATGTAGGTGCAAAAAAATCAGTTAAAAAATGGGCCTTTATCGCGTTCACAGGGTTTTTCGGAAAAAGGGTAACTTAAAGGGACATTTCTCGCTATAATAGTTAAAAAATAGAAAACAGAATATGAAAACAGAATATGCTGAAAATTTCAGTTAATATTAGCGATTCAATTTTAGGCTAGCCTCGAACATCATTACTAACGTTGGTACAATAATAAATAAGTCTTGATTATCCATTTTTATATTAAATTATCCATCACAAAAAGTATTCAAATCCAGAGTTGATTATGATCTGGATAAGTTAATTAATGTCAATTAATAATTTAGGTAACATTTCAGGTCTAAAAAAAGACCTGCAATAGGCAGATTTAGCTCTTGCATAAAGCATGTTTAAGAACAGAAGGTCACAGAATTCTGAATATGGATATATTTCATCCCCTCATGATCCCAATGCTTCACACTAAATTTGAAATAAATATGTTAAACAAAAATCAAACTCATTTACATTTGAACATTAATCAAAATAAAAAAACAATTGTGACCTGTAGAGGGTCCACAAGCTATATGCATTAACTAAATTCACTTACATATCATGAAAGGGTAGTTGGCCATACCGATCCAGAAGTCAACCTAACACAGTCACTTCATTTCCATAAATTGTCTTTGTCTATGTGCTGTAGTCAATCTAAATTATCCAATAATAAAATTGTTGGTTTTATCAAGAACTATCGGGCTTCCAAAACAGATTGCCTGTTGATTGGTTGAAATTTGAACTCTAATAGCTAATCAAATAGCTTCAACCCATTTGCTGGGTTAAATGTTCATTTAAGATCGCCAAATCGTTATTCCAAGATTTTGTCAATTGTTATAATGTATATTTACAATCTGCTAAACTTGATAACACGGTCATACATTAACAAATCCCGCCTTTAAAAAAAAAGAAGCATCACTTACTCTCTGTCTTTCTCTGTTAATTTAACATGAATATGATCTCGTATTTGTGATCGTGAACCACGGAATTCCATGATGTAACGTAGAGGTAGAGATAGAATCTGAGAGATCATTAACGTCAGGTGACATGTGTAACCTAGTGCCACAGCAATCATCATCTCATCTTGTCCTAAAATAAAATTTAAATTTTGTCATTATAAATTACTATAAAACCATCTTCACATTGTTAACCAATTCTGAGATGATCCATTAAGAATTGCGGCCTGTAGGTGATGTGGCAATGGACTGGGCGGGAGGGGACATGCAACAAAATCAATTAGGGTATAACTAAGTTTGCCAAGTTCCATGATGATCCATTCAGAATTAATGCCTGTATGTGATACAGGCAAATATTGTGAGTGGCTATGGCCCTGGAAGTCGGGCATGCACCCAAAACAATAGGGATCATCCTTCGGGTAAAGGAATAAGTATGCCAAGATGATCCATTAAGAATTGTGGCCTGTGAGCAATACACAGACACAACACCCACCCAACGACACAGGGCGACATTATCTATTACCTACCTTGATAACTTTCTGAATTAGGTAATCTTACGGCACAAATATACATCTCTTGTTTCTCAGACTGAAATAAAGAAGATAGCTATACAAAGCATGGAAATATGCCTATACAGCAACTATCTCAACAGTAGCTTATATGAAAGAAAAACTTGGATATTGACCAAATTTGATAAGGATTAAGCTATTGGACCTTTTAAGAAATCTAACCTCTATCTATTCACAAGCTTTTCCTGACACATAATATTCCTCTAGAACAGAAATTCCTAGATTGCTGAACAAAAATCAATAGGGTTCATCCTTTCCAGAATGGTCTGCCATGGATGGAGCGTTGAATATTGATAGGATTCATCATCTTATAACCCATGTTAACATGGTTTTCAGAAATGGGGAGTTATGTCTGGAATAGAAGGTCACGGAAAACTGAACATACCTATTTGACAAAGAAGACTGACATAGAGTTACTGTATTTACCTCTATTATAGGAAAGACTGATGTAGCTAGATCACCAATCAGCTGTTTTCTACGTATTAATAATTGAGCGCTCTCTTTGATCCATTTCTCCCGTTGTTGATTATACGTCTGCCGTTCCTCATCTAATTTATTTCTAGAAATATTTAAATTATTTTTATTCTCTTTTAACTTTTCATCTGAAATACATGAAGTGTAAACATTGTCAAAATATATAAACATTAATATTGTCAAAATTCTATGTATTTTGAATTAAATTCTGTCAAGTTAACTTCATGGATGACAGGCAATAGAAACCAACAGAAATCAGTGCTGAAAGGTGTTCCTTAGATAGTAATCTTGATAAAAGTTTGGATAGAATCATTATTGAGAGCATTATTGACGTTCTAACTCATGATGTCAATTGGCAAACTACTGCCTTCAGGTAATGCCAGTACTGGTAGCATATTTTCGATTGCTTCATTGTATTTGGTATTAGGTTTTCTCTTTTTATACGCCCACATTAGGTTGGTCCTTATTTTGCAAAATTTTGAAAAGTTAAGGGGCTACCCTCAATTTATGTTGGAATCAGTGTTGGGATTTCAAATTTTTTCTTGTCAGACATTTTACCAAAAATAAAGGGGCATAACTCTTATAGTAATTTAAGCATGCAGTTTCAGATGCACCTCGTTATTTTTCATATTTAATTCCCTTACAGTATTCAAATTTATATCAGTAATATTCGTTTCATCGTAATACGATAAAATGAAAGACCATTGTTATTACTAAAATTATTATTATTAAGCTTTCATATTTCATATTAAAACTTATTGTTTCTGTTAAAAGTACCAAGTTTTACGAAAGAACTGACGATGCATAGTTGTAACTTTGTTGTTTTTTGACCTATTTTACTAATTCTTTTTTCTTTGAGCACCTTGACAAAATTCATTTTCACCTGCAATTTCTCATTTCAAAAATTCGTCCCAGAAGTATAGACCAACTTGACAACTTCCTTAATATCTGCGCGATTTGGAATGTAAGTAGATCTTACTGATGCGACTTGAAAGATGTCATTAGAAATTTCTTAACTTATCTCCCCTTGTAGAAATTAAGGATCAAAGTTTTCAAATAAATTGACATAATATAGGTCAGATTGCCTTGTACTATCCAAGACATTACTGATGCGTACACAAAATATGATTTCTATCGATTGAACCGCAAGTGCCACCATCTTAAAACATGAAAAAGCCCTAAAGATTTTGAAATATTTTAATGACAGACATGGGAGTAACATTTTCTGAATCCTTGAAGGAATGCCTGAAAAAAAACCCGTTAAGAGCAGGATTTTGATATAGGTCAACTGATGATCTCCATTTTGAATTGAATATGAAAAATAGTGAAAAATCAACATTAACGGGCTTGTAAATAAACACAAGAGGATGTAGTTTGTTGAATTCGTCTCCTATTTCTGAAATTAATACATAAGGTCGAATTTTTAGTATTTGAAAAATTCAAAATTTCAAATTTCCACTTTGACATTTTTCGTGCCAACAAAGTTGTATACGAGTGAAAAATCCACATTAACGACTTGGAAATACTTGGAACAGGCCATAGTTACCTGAATTTGTCTCCTATTTAATAAAAGCTTATATTTTAGCTTATAACGTCGTGAGTTTTTGACCGATTTTAATAATTATTTTTTCTTGTTGAGATTCTTTATATAACCCATGACATGTGGCAGGGAGTGACCCTGAATATGCAAGCTTACATATCTGCCTGGGCAGATCTAGTTATTATTATTATTTACCGTGGGAGCTTATTTCTCGGTACCTGTAACAGATACCAATCTGGTACCTAATTTTCTATGGGGAAACTAGGTGGTGATTAATTATGTGATTAACTATTTCTGAAACTTCTGCGCAGACCGGAAGTGGCTGAAATTTGTGCAGTGCCCCAAAATTAAAAATCTGCCGTAGTTTTTGTCAATTCTTTACCTATTTTCAAACAAGAGACATTTTCGGAATCCCTGAACCTTTTCCTAAACAATAGCAATATCACATTTTGAAATTTCGAAACTTCTTCGTTGACTTCTATCATTCAAAAATGGAAAACACATTGTTTACGAGACAATTTTTGTTATTGTTCAGAATTTTCAAATTTGACCTACTTTTTAGGATAGCTGAAGTCAATCCTATTATAGTAATATAAGTGTCATTCAGAATTATTGCCCTTTATTTTTCTACTTTTTTTGTAAATTTTCTGTCATTTTGTAAGATTCATTTTGTTTTTATGGTCAAATGGTTGTTTCTGAAACTTCTGGAACATGAAACCACACGCCCAATCAAACGGATGAAACAAATTAAGGTATCGTTGGGTCAAACGGTAATTGGACTACTGTATGATACCCACTTTATACAGATACAATGATCAGATTTCAAAATATGGCTGGTCCAAAAAGATAGGTTGCCAGGCAACGAAACATACACCCACAGCAGCTAAATCTTACGGGCAGTCAACAAGAGTTGTCGCATATTTTTACTTTTTTCGGTAATAAAACATTTATAATACATTAAAATCTGATTAAGAGTAACAACTCATTAAGTAATTATCAGAAAACCATTAGAATTTGTTTGGTTTATATAAAGTTCTGCCCCATGCTAATGTTTAGTATACAAAACTTTTAACATCGTGGATTTAGCTGTTCAAGTCATAAAGATTCATTGAAACTCAATATACTTGTTCCTCTCAAGACCTTAAACACTGTGTATAAGTTTAAAGTCAATCGGATATTAACTTGTGTTCTTGAATGTGTCCAATTTAACAGCAAATTTATTATTATTATGTAACATACTAAGAAGCTAACTATACTTTTTGGGCACCAACCACCACCGCCCCCCCAGTCAAAAATTTGCCCGTACGCCTATGCTCATGACCTTAAACAATGTGTATAAATTTAAAGTCAATCCGATATTAACTTTGACCTCTAGAGCATCGACAAGATTTTTTGAAGTGATCAAGGTGCAATAACTCTGACAGTAATTATCGAAAATCGCTGAAAATCAATAGGATTCTTCATCTCGTGACCTTAAACAATGTGTATAAATTTAAAGTCAATCGGATATTAACTTTAGCCTATAGAGCGTCCACAAGCAATTGTGGACGCCGGACCGCCGGACTAAAGTGTCGTTGGATAGTCCTATGGATGGTCTATCTTATGACATCCAATTTATACGAATCCGACAATTACGAAATAAATCATGGTCCGCCGAAAATCTCGTATTTTCCAATTTGCAGCCTTTTGAGACACTTTTATGTCTTAAATGTCTGTTCCTCAGAGTCCTATCAGTGTTCTACTGTGTGCATCCAAAAGTAAAAGCCTAGAAATAGTATAATTGTCCAAAAAGGACCTCAATCTTTGAAAAAATTTGAAAAATCATTAGGTTACTGAAAATGCTCCATTGCCCAAACCATTTATCAAAACTATCCCAATAATGATCCGTGAACCGGTAGTACAGTGGACTCTGTCACATCCCCACATCGTACGGGATCGTTACAATATTTCGGATCACACAGCGTGTGGGAATACCGAGCTTTCTCCAAAACCGGAAATACTGTAACTTCGAAAACCGGAAGTATTTGGCCAATTGAATACTTCACAGCTAATTCCTTCTGCGCAGGTCGTGGAACTTTCTCGAAATCTGCTATAAGTTGCCGCTTTACATCTAATGTCAAATCTGTTCGGGCACGCTTTGCAGGACGTTCAGACATTTTGAATACAATAATGTATAAATAATAATGATTCTTCAATCAAACTATTTTTATAATATAATGTCGCGCTATTTGACATGAGTAACTAAAATCAAATACCAAGCGCACTCTTACAAGAGATTATAAATTGTAAAATAATCAACCAAAAATTTATAACATTATCAAAGTAATCAACACAGACCGGCACTTGCGAGTTTTATTCGCACTGATAATTGATTGGTGATTGCTTGTTAATCTTTTCTGGCTTCACACCCATTGAGTTTTAATCTCACCGATAATTGGATGCTTCACACCCACCGTACGGATTATACGGTGTCGATTCAATGGAAATTATGTGACAGGACGACTGATTGATGTCAGAATCCGGAACATACAGAATGCAGATTTACCACTGATTTTTTGGCTGAAGTAATAAGGAAATAAATCGGGACATGAAAATCGTGTCGGATGTCACAGCAATCCGGAGTGATCAGACATCGGATGTGACAGAGTCCACTGTAGTTGAAAATATCCAATATTTTGAAAAAATGATGTTTTTTTTATTCAAAAACGTGATTTCTCCATCGGATATAAACCGATCAAAACAGCTAAAGTATCATTGAATAGCCCGGTGAATGGACTCTCATATGATTTCTTCCGTTCTGTTTCCTGAAAGCCGGTTCAGCACTGCCAAGCAGGTCTAGTTTTTATTATTATTGTACATTTTTATAGCACACAACTTCCAGTGCTCACGTGCACTTTACAAAATATGGTAAAGAAAATTAAATTGACAAATAAAATAAATAAACTAAAATTCAAATAAAAGACATACATGTAAGCATTGAAATGCATTTTGATAACAACACTTTTTTATGTGTATAACCAAAAGTTTGTATTTGTCTTTTAGCCAAGAATACGGTGCCTTTAATATCATAATTACAGAAAATAGTGAGAAATCCCATTGTGTTTTAGGACTTACATCGTGATCTGATTGTATTATGCTGTCTATCAAACGTATCTTTGTCAGTCTGCAGTTTCGTCGTCTGCCAAATCAACTCATTACCTAACTGGTTTACTTTCAGTAATAATTCTTCTCGCTTTGCTAACTGAAAATAAAATCAAAACCATGCATATATATTTACAAAAACTTGAAAATAAACAGTTGAAAATCAACAGCTTGACAATGTTAATTTTTTTTACCTTTGTATGGTAAATCTGCATTTATTGCCAAACTTTGATTTAACCTCTCAATAATGGAAACAAAAAGACAGAATCTTAGTAGTCAAAGACCAGTGACACCCCTACTCATAGCTCATTTTCAATTTAGTGGTTGATTTAGGAGGTATATCTCCCAATATTCTATAATCAATTAAATACTACTTTCAGATTCTTAGAATGCCAGATCTTGTGGGGACATAGTTCACTAAACACACAAGTGACAAACTAGGTCATTTCGGGACTAACAGATGAAAATATGAGAATGCATCATTTCAATTAAATAAAAAGGTTTGAATATTCTAAATCATTCTTCGAGTAACTAATAATAATATAGATCTTTTCCATGATTAGTTTTTTTAAGAACAAATACTGACCTTCTCGTCTAGTTGTTGTGCTGCTATTAATTTATCTTGTATGTGTTGATGTACTCGTCGTACAGAAGCTTGGGTCTGTTTTACAGCTCTTAGTATGGTATGGATTCTGGTCAAAAACAAAGAAATATTAAAAGACAGCCACACGAAGCAGGTGATACGAAAGGAAAATTGGCATGTTGACCAAATTTTCCTTAAAGAAATCTGATCTCTATCATTTTCACTAGATTTTCCGAAAGTGAAAGTAATAGAAAATGTTTAAAATCAACAGTGTGCATCCTCTCCGATCTCAATGTTTCATACCAAATTGAAATATAGTATCGCAAATCGTGGAAATGAGAGAGAGAGAGAGAGAGAGAGAGAGAGAGAGAGAGAGAGATGGGGTTTAATGTCCACTTGACACAAACTAGGTCATTTTGGGACTAACATACATGTATGATTTAATTTTATTTCAATAATTTGCTTGCGTGTAGGGGTCTTTAGCAGTCAGAGGAAACCAGAAAATTGTGGAAATACACCCACACAGCAGCAATGTTGACCCAATTTGATATTTCAGCAAAGGGGGTGGGGTGGTTGTAACTCTGGAACTGAAAGTTGCAGAATGTTGAATATCGAGAGAGTCTGTCCTCCAATGTCAATAATACTTCACAACAAATTTAAAAGAACCTGAAAACAACTTTAACCGCATGAGGGTCCACAAGATTTTGAAAAGTGATCAAGGGCAATAACTCTGAAAGTAACTAAAGACTTCTTCATTTCATGAACATAAAAACTGTGTGTAAAAATAAAGCCACAAGATTGCTAAAACAAATATCAAGGGCAATAACTGGCAGAAATAATTAGAAATCATAGAAAATCAATAGGCTTCTCTAAGTCTATCGGACAATTTTAGCCTCTACAACCATCCACAAGATTTTTCTAGGTGATCACTGATAAAGTATAACAAATAAAAGTTTTATTTCAGTTGCCGTACGCGCTGCTATTTATAAGTACCGGTAATACAAGACTCTCATAAGGGTTGTAAAAGGGACAGAATAAACAGTACAAAATCCTTACCGGTCTCCTTTATTTTTTAAATCCTGATTGAGAGTTCGGTTCTCTCAATGCCATTTCTGCGCACGTGCAGACAGACATTAACGTACAACAGTCCACCCGATAAACCTTTTCATTGGAATAGGGAATAAGCCAATTGCATGATGTTCAAAATCATAGAATTGGAGAACACAGTCAGTCGTCGCGGAGATCCCTCTTCGATCTGTTTTCAATGTGTGCTGATCACAAACTAGAACAATACCTAAATTAGGCTATTAAATTTTTTATTTAAATTGTTTCTGATAAGTATTAACAAATTTATTAACTATATGAAATAAACAATGGTCCTCACAACAGTTATTTGTCTATCACGATTCTCGACAATAAAACCAAAGAAAATTGCATACCGGGTTGGTATGAAGCGTCTTGTGCTGTTATGTCACTTAACATGAAATAGTTCCAAATCTTACTACTTCTGGCATGCATTTTTTTTTGTGCGTTTTATCTAGTTCACTGCTGGTACTGTCTGGACACTATCATAATGAGTAAAAGTCTTGGAAAAGGCAGGAAAATATCACATGGTTTAAGTGTGATTGGAATGAAAGATGAAAGTGGGGATGTCACGTGATTATTATCAGTAGATGCCGATAAAAATTTAGAAATAATTTAGTTATTTGTATTGTTATGCTAGGCTACTTAAAAAATTTAGACATAATTTATATCAATAAATAATAACTTATAATATAGATCATACTAACAACAAATGAGTTTCCATTAGATGGTTTTATTTTTAACTATACTTCTAGAAATCGCGAGAGAATGTCACGTGATTGCCACTGTTAACAGACAGGTCAGGTAGCTATCGCATGAACCATTCACATACAGGTGCCGATAACTCTAGGGAATTATAGCGTATTCAACACTTAAAATATGATAATCTCGACTTTATTTATTAATGATACAGCAAATAATTAAGTTCATAATAGATAGACTGTATTTGTGATTGCGTAGGAAGCGTGAACCAATTCTATTACTTCAAAAACACAGCGTTCGTTTTGATTTCTGAGGTAAAATAGTACCATGCATTTCCCGACAAATGACATATATCTACATAGATTATCATGCCATTTGAAACATTTTAATGTGTTATAGTTTTATATCCATCACTATCGGTAATTGTATCTGTATCGGCCAAAATATATTTCACAGTCGATATCTGATATCGGCCCATCACTCCTTTTTTTAGAAATTGAATGTAAATCAATACATTAATATGTGCTCTTAGATGCATTTTTGTCTATTCTTATGTTCCAAAGAATAAAGCTTTACACCCTTTAACTTATGAACAATGAGTTTATGAAATAAATCAAAAGGAGAATGATTATTTTAAGATAAACCCCTATATGTATCTTGACATGTTTATGAAAATAGTTTTGTCATTTCTGATGAGAGAAACAAAATCATATAATAATAGGTCATGGATGAAATTCATTTTTACCAGCAAGATATTGAAATTAAATTTACATTTTGATTTAGATTATCCAACTGTCATAGTTACCTTGTTAAAGAGTTGGAATTGTAAGAACGTCTCTGGTTGGCTAAATAAACATGCAACATTTTAACGGCTAACTGTTTTTTATTTTCTACCTCTTCTTCCTGAAATATTTTAAATAATAAATGATTGTTGTCAACAAGGCTGTTTGTTTTAGAGTAATCTGTAGCAAGCTCTAACAATCTTAAATATATTTATGTGCCTGATGAAACAACAAATATCCACAAAACCTACACAGAGCAAACTATCTGATTGGCTTATACACTGTAGACATTAGTTTCAAATGGCAAGTAACTGTTCTAGCCAACATAACAATATCTCAGTACAGTGTTTTATGTCCCAAAATTTTGCCCATCAGACATCATTAGTTCAGGTTGCAGGCCAGAACTGGGTGAATAGAAATCACTGTCACTTTCAGGAAATAGGATTAATATAAACTACCATTTCCTCTTTAATATGAACAGACTTCAGCGACAATTTTTTTTTGATAATTTGTTATAACACATAGTAGTTCCTAATTTTCTCACATAACTACTTTATCAATACTATTAGAGATACTTTAGGCCAGTCATCCTCTCAACATTATATTCACTACATCTTCTTGCTGTCTGATTCAGCATTTTGCAGTCAGACTTTTGCCAATTCAAATCGACATATACAGCACAATCTGATTAAAACACAGATCCGATTTTGTTTCGTTTTTTCATAGTTCAAGATTTCGATTTACTTGTTATTACTACATTAGGATCTGGAAGAGTTATCATTGACGTGTTCTGGATGATGTAAGGGATTAGCCAATGAAACGGTCTGTTAAGGTGAGCTTTTGGTGTGAGGTGCACGGAACTGTGGGTAATCCACTAGAAACATGACTGCTGATTGGTTAATCAAATGGCTGATGTCATTGGGTCAAAAGCCGCTCATATGACCTCTGACGTGACCTCCCCAAACAACTGATCAAATCTTCATGTAGTGTTGGCCATCAAAAGTATAAAAAACGAAACGAAATATAGATCTGTATTTTAATCAGATTGTGTCCGGCATATATGACCGAAACAGAATCACTACTCAGTAAATCAATGGAGAATATTGATCTATCCAAAAATTAGTTACACTAAACTATCCTAACTTTTTCTATTGTTGTCTAGTAGACACTTAAAATATGATTGCTAATTACACATGAAAGTCCACACCAACAGAAATGACGTTATTTGTAAAATGTGGTAAACAAATTCAAATATGTCTTGGAGCCACTGGTGGCTTAGTGAGTAAGATACTGGCTCATAACCTGGAAGTCCTGGATTCTTTCCCGGTGTTGACCAAGAAAGTTCCTCTGGATTTTCCAGCCTGGTTTCCTCTCGCCAGTGTTGCATCGATGGTCTGGCAAGGAACAGCATCTAGTTGATAGGATGGGACATAAAACGAAGAACTCATAACAACTGGAGTTCAACAAAGAGTAGACACAATGCTGATGTCCGGGCAAATTTCTCTCATAGCACACTGTATGGCATATTTCAGTCTTCATTTGCCCAGATAGTGCTGAAAAGCAAGACCTTAAACCAATTTCAATTATCATCTTCTTGCATAAAAATCAAGTTGCAGCGATTGACTCTTGTAGTGATCACCGCTCACTGTGATTACAATGATTACAACACCAAAGGTCTAACTAATAAATATTTTTATTACAAGAATTCAAATCTAACAATGAATTGTTCCAAACAATTAAATATATACTGGTAGTAATATTAGTTACAAAAAAAATTGACATTACCTGTTTTGTGAGTGTTTGGATGATTTTTGAATCTACAAAGTATTTATCAAACATTCCAAATATGACTGTATTAGGTGTATACTTAACACCTTCCATTTGTAACTAAAAATAGAGAAAAAAACACATGTTCGACTTGCTTGGTTAAAAATGATTTGGAAGAGGTCGGAGTGAATTGTCATGACTAAAATATTGCTTATAAAGTCTTGTCAACAGAACACTTGCCAAGGTAAAACTGATTTAATGTTTATCTAAGAGCAAATGCGGAATTTAAACTATATATTTGAACTATTCAGTAAATGGTCCAGGAAATGCTTTAGACATAATACTTAGCCCCAATTTAATGTTAACAGGTGCACTAAGAGCATGTTTTATGGTTGTGTGGATTCGGCGCTATATAAATAGACATATCTATAAATTTAGTGCTTTAAGAGATAATGTATCCCAAGGTTCTTCATCCATTCAATCATTGACTGGTTAAATCAGCAGGTTTAAAAGTGTTATTAGGATGGTCAAATTTCGTTTTACTTGTCCTTACTACACTAGAATCTGAAAGAGTTGTTATATAACCCGCGTTCTGAATAGTGTGAGGTATTAACCAATGAAACGGTCTGTTACGGCGAGCTTTAGGCGTGTTTTGCACGGAACTGTGGGTAATCCACTAGTAACACTAATGCTGATTGGTTAATCAAATGTCTGACATGATAGGCTCACTTGCCGCTCGTATGACCTCTGACGTGACCTATCACAACAACTGGTCAGATCTTCATGTAGTGTAGGCCATCGAAAGTATATAGAACGAAACGAAATTAAAAATTTGAGAATAGTGAGGAAACGTTGCCACATCATTACAACACTGCTCTCATTTTGTAGTCCTTTATATTGTATTATTAGGCTAGGCCATTAATGTAGTGTACCTAGCTAATAAATGTGTCATGAAATTAACAATAATTGCCTCCTTGTATTAACTTCATATGACTTTGTATTAAATTACTGCAAAAAGTAACTTACAACATAAAAAAACCAAACAAACCTTATCAGCCAAAAACATAAGACCATCAAGATTAATTTGCAAATCCACCAATAATTTAACATTTTTACCAATACCAATCCATATCTTTATAACAACATCTTCAAATACCATGTTAAAGAAACATAATATCTACATCTCAATCTCATAAAATTTAAATGCTTTTCGAATCATTTTATGTTCTCTTTTCGAATCATTTTATGTTCTCTTTTCGAATCATTTTATATAAATTTTACTTAAAGCTGCTGATCGTCATATGCATTTTTTGGAAAAACTTTCAAAAACAATTATACGATCAAAAGTAAATCAGTAACTCATTTCTATTTTGGGTAATTTCCCAGAAAACAGCAATTTTGCGAGAGTTTTTATGCCCATAAAAAAAGGTAAAGTATTGTTAGATTTTCATAAAATTTGGACCATTTGATAACTCTTGAAATTATCCATTATATGCAGACAATTACAATTATTTGTGGTCATTTTGGCTTAAATTGTATTTGTTTAAATTAATTAAATCTTCCCTTTATTATTCCAATAATTATCTTGAAATTATCCATTATATGCAGCCAATTACAATTATTTGTGGTCATTTTGGCTTAAATTGTATTTGTTTAAATTAATTAAATCTTCCCTTTATTATTCCAATAATTATCTTGAAATTATCCATTATATGCAGCCAATTACAATTATTTGTGGTCTTTTTGACTAAAATTGTATTTGTTTAAATTAATTAAATCTTACATTTATTATTCCAATCACTGACTGGCACAAATCAATGTAAACATAGTGATCTCACAATATAGTTTCTAACTTATGCCAGGATTCAAACCTTGGACATTCTAGTAGCAAGTCCAGAGCCATGGCCCCCACAAAGGAAAATATATTGATTTCAAAGATCTGAAAATGTACCAAAAGCATTCCCCAATAATGACCTTAAATATTCCAACAGTAAAATGAGCACTAAAATGATAAGATTTTGGGCCCTGATTATTGTATTATGATTTCACATCTATAGTCCTATATCAATGTAGATCTTTTTTAAAGCGCTTTCAGGAACAAAAACATCTGGTATAGAAACAATATTTTCTAAAAGTTTTCTGAATTTCCTGTCATAGTTGGAATTGATTAATATTCATGATTTCAGATAGGTATAAAATAGATATATGGCTTTATTCTATGACAAGAAATTTTTTTACAAAAAGGATACATTTAGAAATCGTGTCCAGTTTATCTTCAAAGAAACTTACATCAAAACTCTTCCATGATGGATTCTGAAAAATATATTAAATAATGGGAGTTAACCTACATGTACAGCCTACTCTGATTTCAAATTCCAACTGTCAAGGGGTCTTTTACGTACATGCCAATCAATGTGTCCCTGTACTATATGTTTCTTAATGTTTAGTAAATTGACTTCAGTGTCAGACCACAATACTCGCATATCACTGACGTCATGTATATACCTTTCCAAAATTGTTGTGATATATAAGAGAGAGCGAGAAATGGGGTTTAACATCCAGTCAACACAAACTAGGTCATTTTGGGAATAACACATGGTTCAATTTTATTTCAATAAGTCTCTTGGGCGTAGGGGTCTTTAGCAATGACAGTGCACACGCTAAGCATTCGGCCATCCAACCCCCCTTGTGATATAGGGGTTAACAACGACTATAAATACTTTGAAATGTCGCCATAATATATTAACGAATTTCATACAACTACACTTGTTAATTTGTTTTCATCTGTTTGACACCAGTTCATAACATTGTATCTACACACAATCCTCTAAGTAATATTTATAGGTGACCTAAATTGTATAATGCCGTAACAGCACCACAGTAAATATTGTAGCTCGAAATTAAAATGCCATGGTTCTTTCTTGTATTGTGTATTCAAAAAAATGTCCAATTAGGTTGCCAGACAATAAAACAGAAGCTAAATTGTCCAAGCAGTCGACAAGGGTTGTGGCATATTTATTTTTGTAGGTAATGAGAGCATTTACAAGATGTTGATATCAATTTAATACAGCTCGAATGATAACTTTTGACGTTCGAGCATTTACCAAGGTTCTACAAAATGAAACAGGGGTCATAACTCTAGAAGTAATTAACGATAGACTTCTTCATTTTACTAATTTAAATAATGCATATAAATTTTATATAGATCGGATGATAACTTTTGTCATTCACACTTCACAGGGTTCTACAAAGTGAAACAAGGGCCATAACTATAGAAACAAGCCAACAGTGAGGCTGATGTCTACCGCCGAAATCCCAAAATAGATAGATGACACATATTAATTAATAGCACATTAATTTTTTTCAGAAGTATCAAGCAATCAAACTGATTATCAACTATACACTAAGTTTCATCACTCTCTATCAGATCGAATCAAAGTTATCTTGTTCCAAAGCATCAACCAATGAAATTGCTTACCTCTGTTTAGCTTTAGCTCGAAATGTTAATCATTCACCTAATGTTCTGACCAATCAAATTGCTTATCGATCCTTAGCCTAAGTAGAAAATTCTCATCATCAAACTTAGTCATGTTAATGATATAATGAATCTATACTCGGAGCTTCATCACTCTCACTTAATTAAAACCAAAGTTATTGGCCCCAAAGCATCAATCAATCAGATTGCTTATCTCTGCTTACCATAAGCAGACAATGTTTATCATCTAACTCCATCAAGGCATTCACCTAATAAACACCTACACCAAGTTTGAACATTCTAACTCAACTAGAAGGAGAGTTATTGTGTTTCAGAGTCTCAACCAATCAAATTGCTTATCGCTCTGCTTACCCTAAGCAGAAAATGCTTATTATGGAACTTAGTCAAGTTATTGATGTGATAAAACCATACACCAAGTGTCATCACTCTCACTTAATTAGAACTAAAGTTATCGTGCCCCAAAGCATCAACCAATCAAATTGCTTATCCCTGCTTACCCTAAGCAGAAAATTTTCATCTTCTAACTTCCAACTCCATCAAGGCACCTAATAAACACCTACACCAAGTGTGAACATTCTAGCTCAATTAGAATGAGAGTTATTGTGTTCCAAAGTCTCGACCAATCAAATTGCTTATCTCAGCTTACCCTAAGCAGAAAATGCTCATCTTCGAACTCAATCAAGGTATTGACCTAATAAACACCCACAACAACTTTGAACATTCTAGCTCAATAAGAAAGAGAGTTATTGTGTCCCAAAAAGTGTGACGGACAGACAGACTGACGGACAAACCCATTTTAATAGTACCCTGCTTTCTTCGAAAGGCGGGGGACAAAAATTGTCTAAAATTGGTGAAATTTGATACATTTCTTAGTTGTACTAATTCAAATAATGCATATAAAGTTAATGCAGATCGAACATAACTTTTGTCAGTAGAGTGTTCACAAGGTTCTACAAAGTGAAACAATGGCCATAACTCTAGATACTATAAATAGCCATATCAGTTTAACGTGCAATCTTTGCTAATTCCGCAAATTAATTTTTTTTTTTTTTTTTTTTGGTATAATTCAGTTTTTAACAATAATTTGGCAGAATATTTTGGTATTTGGTAGTATTGGCTTAGTATTGTGAATTGGGTAGAATTGGATAGTACTGGGTAAATCGTTCTGCCAACTGATTTCTATGTTCGATGTTAACGTGATATTGAAACACATCAACTTTCTAGTTAAAGCTACTGAACTCATCTTTCAATTTATAAAATATAAGGACAATGTGAGTTGCTAATTGGATGGGGTAATATATATATGAGCTGACTGCTTCCAGAACAAAATGAAAATTTGGAGTGCAGTTTCAATTGAAAGATATAAGTTTAGTTTATCGAATCATTATACTTATGAAATATTCCACAGCAAAAAAAAATGTCCCATATTACCCCCCCCCCCCCCATATAGTCATTATAATGCTTCTAAAACAAATAAAGTTAAATTGCTAAAAATATTTTTAGCTTACATGTATATGACAAATCCTACACAAGAAATTTGTTAAGATTCTGTGGACAATTTATTTTTAATGGTTAGGGCGGAATATGAACCATGGCTCACATCACCACAATTTGCATGTCCCATATAACCCCAAATGACAAGGATTAGGTAAGTCAAAATTTCATAAAGATAGACCAGGACTTCTCTCCTTGTAAGTTGTAACTACAAGCTAGAGCCTAACAGTCAAAATCTATCTTAATGCTCAGAAGAGATTTTCTTTAATACAAGGTAAATGTTTCATGAAATGGACTAATGGTCTTCAACCCCCAAAAAACTTTAACACAGAAATGTTTAAAATACTGAGCTTTTTTGTGTAATGTATCTGGGAAATTGTTAGAGGATGTAGAGATCTTGGTAAATAATATTTTAAAGAAATGTCATATGACAAGCTGTATATGGCCCATATTACCCTCATGCCCATATTACCCCCCCCCCCCCTTCCCCTACTCATGGACTTTATGCAAATTATTGATATTGAGAGAAAGGCTAAGATTAAACTGTATAAATGTACTACTTACCATTGATCCGATAATTTTCTCACTTTTATATACAGCTGAAACAAAGAAAAGAAATTCACCACCCCATAAGATAATTGTAAGCTATCTGACATTAATTCATGTCAAGTTAGAATACACTTTACACGTCACACCAATCTGCTCAAAATTAGTTGACATATCTCAGATGCTCTAAAATACTTTTCTACCACACCGATTTTAACCCAATTCAACTTTGACACAAATAAATCAAGAAATATGTATAATGAATACACAAATGAGTTATCCACTACAGATTTAGAATCTACAATAATCTGTGAAATTTAACTACTTACCTTCTGAATTCTCATCTTTATGCAGAGTAAAGAAAGCATCCATCTTGCTAACTTCACTTCTGTTAAAACTTTTGCATTGTAAGTTTCTCATCCATATAGACTTCAGATGGCGCAGGCGTTTCTAAAATGAAAATATTAAATTTATTGTACAATAGTATATGTAAGGTAGCTTTAACAATTTAAAAAAAAAAACAAGCCAACAGTGAGGCATCCTCGGTCACCCAGTGTGCTCAATCCGTTCTACTCCACTATATCCTGGGTTAATCTATGTTATCCGCCCTTGATAATTGTGCTATTTTTACCGACCAATCCCATAAATTGTTATTTGAAAAGGAAGTTGGCAAAGGTAAGTAACTCTCATCGGACAATGTTAGGATTGCGTAATTATTAACAACCAATTATATATTATGTTAATGAAGACCAGACGTTCATAAAATAATGTAGAGTCATTAGTGTTATTTAGAATCGTTCGTTCCAGGTAATTCTATGTTCATGTGATATCATAGACAAGTAATTGTGAATCATCATATTTGCTTGATAAAGACGAGAGTATCATCGTCGAAACGTTGCATGTTAATAAACCAGTGATTGTTATTCCATAAATAGTGTTAGTGTGTGAATCAAATTGCCAAGTATAAGTTCAATAATAATAAACATAACAGAATGACATATTTCAGACAAACAACGAATAGTAACAATAATAACAAAAGTCAAACATATAGATGTTATACATATTTGAAATCAAAAACACATACTACAGATTTTGATAATACAATTAAATATAAATAAATTATAAATATATACATTATTTACATAAATCATTCAGTAAATGGACATGAATAAGGTTATCTACCCTTATAAAAACGAAGGCAAAATGATTGGTTTGTAAACTGTTTTATGATTGGTTCCTAGACTGTAGCCACATTCTAGGCCAGGGCAGATAATTTGAAATCGTGGAAACCCTATGGATTAACCAAGGGTATAGTGGAGTAGAACGGAATGAGTACACTGGGTAACCGAGGATGACAGTGAGGCTGATGTCCCTCGCCGAAATCCCAAAATAAATAGATGACACACATTTATTAATCGCACATTTTTTTTTTTTTCAAAAGTATCAAGCAATCAAACTATACACTAAGTTTCATCACTCTCTATCAGTTAGAATCAAGATTATCTTGTCCCAAACCATTGACCAATGAAATTGATTAGCTCTGTATAGCTTCAGCTCGAAATGTTATTCATTGAACTCAGTCAAGATATTCACCTAATGAACATTTACATCAAGTCAAAACATTCTACCTCAATTAAAAGCAGAGTTGTTATGTTCCAAAGTCTTGACCAATCAAATTGCTTATCGTTCCTTAGCCTGAGCAGAAAATTCTCACCATCGAACTTAGTCAAGGTAATGATATAATGAATCTATATTCCGTGTTTATCGTGCCCCAAAGCATCAACCAATCAGATTGCTTATCTCTGCTTACCGTAAGCAGACAATGTTCATCATCGAACTCCATCAAGGCATTCACCTAATGAACGCCTACACCAAGTTTGAACATTCTACCTCAATTAGAAAGAGAGTTATTGTGTTCCAAAGTCTCGACCAATCAAATTGCTTATCGCTCTGCTTACCCTCAGCAGAATATTTTCATCCTCGAACTTAGTCAAGGTATTGATGTAATAAAGCTATACACCAAGTGTCCTGACTCTCAATGAATTAGAACTAAAGTTATCGTGTCCCAAAGCATCAACCAATCAAATTGCTTATCTCTGCTTACCCTAAGCAAAAAATTCTCATCTTCGATCTCCATCAAGGCATTCACCTAATAGACAGCTACGCCAAGTGTGAATATTCTAACTCAATTAGAATGAGAGTTATTTTGTTCCAAAGTCTCGACCAATTAAATTGCTTATCGCTCTGCTTACCCTGAGAAGAAAATGCTCATTATCGAACTTAGTCAAGGTATTGATGTAATGAAACTATACACCAAGTTTCATCACTCTCACTTAATTAGAAGCAAAGTTATTGTGTCCCAAAGCATCGACCAATCAAATTGCGTATCTCTGCTTTGTCTGGGCAGAAAATGCTCATCATCGAACTCAGTCAAGGCATTCACCTAATAAACACCTACACAAAGTTTGAACATTTTAGTTCAATTAAAAGGAAAGTTATTGTGTCCCCAAAAAGTGTGACAGACAGACCCATTTTAATAGTCCCCTGCTCTCTTTGAAAGGCGACCCGGACAAAAATGAATGCAAATCATTTTATATACGTCATATTACATTAAAACATGTATCTATGTGCTTTTTTTGTTATCCATTTTCGTCCATTTTGGGGGGTTCCAATTAATAGAGAATTATGGTTACATTGAATTAACCACTGCTGGCATTTAATTGATGGGTTGGAAGGGGCGCTATAAACTATGACTGTGGATGTGAGCTTTGAAGATTTCCTCAGATGATGATGACACTTGGTTGTCTGATAATTTGTTCCAGTCTATTATCACAGTTCTAATAAAGAATGAATGTTTGTGAATGTCAGTTTTCGTGTTGTTTACTGTGAAACACCCCGTTTTGGTAGTAGCAGAATTTTCAACAATGTTTGTTATATTATAGTTTGCAAATTTTTGGGTGTTATACGTTTATTTCTGATAGGTTTTGGGTATTTATTAGAAGGTATCACTGGTACCAGCCCCTCAACCATCTAAAGAGGAATGTGAGCCACAAGTCTTTCCAGCATTCTTGTCATAATGGTGGGTGCAAGTTCTTTAACACCTGTGTGACACATACTCCTTGCAGTGTTTCAATTGATTAGACCTAATCCCACTCAAACACTGCTGTAATGAAAGCAAATTACTGTTCCAAATAATGACTGGTCAATAGTTCGATTAACAACCAATACCTAACTGCATAACAATATCATTCGGGTTTAAACAGAGCTCCAGATATGTTTACATAACGTTATGTCATGACTCACAAAATTTATTACGCCCAATTACCCAGTGCATAGCAGAATATTGCAGAAAAACTAATTGCGTGACAAACGAGGCTATCAATACGGCCACAATGTAAACAATACTGCTTGGAGACAAACAGTACTTTCGCTGTTTTTAATACCTTAAATCACTGTTCAAAGTTTTAGGGAAGGCCCCCAGATTAAACAAAGGGCTGTTGCTGTACTTACATGTAGGAGAGATTTGATTGAATGGGAAGAATAGACATACTCTCTCAAAAGTTCAAGTATCAGAAGTCAATCCAGCAATGGCCAGAGAGGGATTTCTCGGACCATTGCTTCAGGAATATGGTGTGCTGTGGGCTGGCGTCCTTGTCCTGTAATCCCTTGTGATCAACCTGGCTGCATTTCTCTGGATCCTTTCAAAATTCAAAGTTTGTCCTATATGATGCCTCCGGTATACAGACAACTCATCCCAATATAAGACAACTCATCCCAAGTTAGAAGACAACTCATCCCAACTTTAAACCATAGGTCGAGACTTGAGATACAACTTACAAGACAACTCATCCCAATGTAATGAAAATGTGTTATCTTAATAAAATTGATAATGTTGTTTTAATCAAATTGATATTGTTGTTTTAATAAATTGATGGTTGTGTTTCACTGTTTGTATTAATGTTTTAGTACTTTGTTGTTTTAACAGATTGGTAGTTGTGTTCATTTTATTATATTTCAGCATGAAGCACTTCAAAGAAAATCAATTAACAAACATCAATTAACTAAACTGAGTAGTAGTACTCATACATGGCTGTGCTTTCCATTTCCATTATTTTTTGTAGAAATGTACTGGCTCTACCCTTTCTACCTGCGGAAAACATACTACCTACTTTCGATAAATCAGAGGAGAAAGCTGCCACAGACCCTATGCGCTACATATTTGACAATTGGATCACTGGCAGTATATGGACCATCTCGACCTGGAGTGTTTTGGGGAGAACCATAGGGATAAATAAGGATGTTGTAGGTTGGCATACCAGAATGAATAAAAAGGCAAGAATCAGAAAAGGAAACCTTCTATTTTACCTTCTACTAACAATGTTGTATATAAGGAGGCAGCACATGTATTAAACCAAACAAAACTATTTTGGGATGAGTATTTTTTAAAGTTGGGATGAGTTGTCTTTTATCTTGGGATGAGTCGTCTTCTAACTTGGGATGAGTTGTCTTATACTGGATGAGTTATCTTATACTGGATGAGTTATCTTATATTGAGATGAGTTGTCTTGAAATGAGTTGTCTTTTGGATGAGTTGTCTGGTATTCATGCCTCCGTATTCAAGTGTCGATCAGACAACAGCGATGTAGGCTGATTTCCTGGTCCGTTGAGGACAGTGGTAAAGATTACGATGGATGAAGCCTAATGTCGAGCTGGCCCTTTAGCATATGTTGTCAATACGAGTTCCCCATTTCAAGTCGGATGATATGGTCAATCCTAGGTACAGGTTGTTGACTTTCTGGAGAATGACACCGTCTAGCTGGTGCTTTCAGGTCCTGTTGTAGGGCATGTTCCTGAAGCAACGACTGCGAGTTTCACAACATCTAGCCGTTGCTTGTTTACTTCACAATTCCCGAACTTATAGCTCTATGTTATCTACAGACACGTGAGCAGAAGCGTCCAATCAGAGGTTGTGACATCTACGGAAACCTTGACATTGAATGAACCTTGAACTTTGAAACTCGCTTATCACAGGTAGACATTTTCGCTTGAAAGCGCGAGACTTGGTATTCGCGACGATTGAGGAATCTGATAGGCTGACAAGTTGGGCTTGTACCCAATTGAAATTAGTGCTGCAATATGCAGGGTATTTCGTGAAGGCCTTGATAAGATGTACGTAGTTAAAGCGAGATCAAGCCTTCTATTGAAGATGGTTGTAGGATTATTTGGTCCTTGATTGATGTTGCGGATTTAATTAGCCAAGGAGCTGGGTGATATTTTAGATTTTTCAATTAAAACCTATTATAATTTAGTATTTAGCAACTTATAATATATAGTATTGCCATTAACTGCAAAAATGATAAACTATATTTGACACACGAAATAACTGACTTGTCATTCGGTTTGACCCGGCTTGACCCCATTTGAGCGTCAAATGGGGAAAACAAAGTGAAAATAGTAGCAGATCGTTTACTACAATACTAGGTTAGTTTAGTTAGAGTAGAAAACTAGAAAGTATTATAAAAATAAGAACAAGGATCAGATTCTGAGTAAATAATTACCTGATGGGTTGGCAAATCAAAAGGGCTACGAACCCTCTCGAACCCTTCATTTGCTGCCATGGGGGTGAATTTAACGGACGAGGGGAGTGTACATCATTTACACCTCCGGAGAGATAACAGTTCTATTTCCAGATCAGCGGAAGTGACATTTTCTGCAACATCCTCCGTACGATATTGAATCTCGTCGAAGGTCATGTGACTAAAATAAAATGTTAAAAGGATTTGCAGTACATGCAGTTTCAGTTAATAAATGGATTGTTAATGCTCACCGCGATTGTATATCTGACTAAAGTAAATAAAATCTTCACATGGAAAACAGCTAATTTAATAATATATTGCCTTTTAAAAATACGCAAGTGACGCGAGATTTCGATGATAAATCTGTCATGTGACTTGCAGACAGCTTTAAGTTGCCTGAAAGTTTGTTAGAGGAAATCTAAGTCATTTATTGGTAAATATTGACATATAATTATATAAGCTGTCACTTTATTTATTTTCATTCTTTGTTGAGAGAAAGGAGGATTTGCAACCCTCCACTTAGGCCTGCTATGAATGGGATTGGAAAGTTGTCAAATGTGAAATAGGCCTAAAGAAAGTGCGACTCTGCGCGAGACATTTTTTTGTTTACTCAGTTTCCTTTATCACTATCATCAGTACCGAACTCAGTAGGCTAGTTATCACTGCCAATCTTTTCTTCCATGGCCCATTTAGACTGTTGATGGTGACACGTAAAGTTATAACTACAACATGCTACAAGCCAGTAGTCAACTCGATCGTGGTTTTGGACAACCACATGATCAATATCATAATGAATGATAATGTAAATAATATATCATTGTCCGGGACAGCCTGGTGGGAGGTACACTATCAGAAATTAACTTCTCAAAAATATTTCCGTCCCTGCTGACTATGGCGAAACCTTGTAGTCCAATATAAGCCTAACCTTATGTATTCTATGTGGCTTTGGAATAGAAATCCAACTCTGTGCTCACCACCTATCTATAGCCCATAGGCACCTAGCCTAGCTGAATTCCAGATGTTGAGAGAGAGGGAGCAGAAATCATGGACCTTATAATATAATATGTATTATAAGATCCATGGCAGAAATGAAATGGCTGCAAGTGCCAAAGTCATGGAGTGTGCCCTGTCTGGGTAAGGGAAGGTAGTCCTCCTCAGGAAATTTAAATGGTCGCCAACCCATAGAAAATTTCCTGATATTTTTATCACCTATTCCTATGTACAGAAAGTGCTGTCCATGCAGAGTGGGTGCAGACAAAAATGTCATAGGATTTAAGGAATGTTATTTTGCTAACTAGAAGACAAAAAAAAAAATATCACCCCCAAAAAATACTCCATTTTCGCTTTACCTATCTTGCCCAAAAATATGCAGGAAAATTGATGATACAAATAATGATTGATGCCCGAAAACTATTTCCAATAATTACTGCCAGAGTTATGGCCCTTGACCTTTTTGAAATATCTTGTGGACGCTCTAGAGGCTAAAGTCTATATTCGATTGACATTAAAGATGGGTTCTCAGAAAAGTATTTATCAGGTGGTTATTTCCAATAAAAGTATGGCAATTTTGGTATATATGGAAAGTAGAAATATACAATCTTACTAGAAAAATACTGGATTCCCCAAAAAACAGTGTATACAGGACAAAAATGTAAGTGTTCCCTAATCGACAGCCCGTCGATTAGGAATTTCTGCATGCGTGATGTCAAAGGTCACATGCGAACATTGAGCGCTTGATGTACAAGTTGATAAACTTTATGAAGAGTTAGACGTACAACACTTTCTGAGATAAAAATGATGGAAAAAGACGCGGCTAGTGGATAATCCGACAATTTAATTAGGATTAGATATTTGTAATAAATAGTAAGCGATTAAAGACAACATCGTCTTATGTATGCAATGAATTCTCCTCTGACTTCGGAGAGAGGTAAGTCACGTGACATAAACATGACCTGGTTTGATCGAATTTTTATAGCAGGGCATTCCTTGGCAATTAAAATGTTTGAGAAGGATTTGAAGCAAAATTATGACAAATTAATTAGTTTGAATATTTTTTTAGTCCATATATACCATTAAATCACCCAGTTTGTACGCGGGAATGTATCTTTAAAATTATACACAGTGTTTAAGGTCATAAGACGAAAAAACCTATTAATTTTAAACCATTTCCAATAATTACTGCAAGAGTTATGGCCCTTGATCACTTTGAAAAATCTTGTGGATGCCCTAGAGCAGTGATTCTCAACCAGTGTGCCGCGAGATCTTCCTAAGTGTGCTGCAAAATTTTGAATGGCACACTAAGAAAATGTGCAAAACCATGTGATCCCAATTGAGTATTCACTGGGGTCTACTAATAAGTTCATAGCTGTGTTTTTCTTTATTTAATTTGAGTCATTCTATGTTTCTATGACTAGTCTCTGTCTAAGGTTGTATTCCATCAGACTTACCATGTTTTTATTTTGCAAAATTCAGGGGTGCTGCTATTAGCCAGGTGTGCCGCTATTTTTTTATGTGTTCCAAGGGTTGAGAACCACTGCCCTAGAGGCTAAAGTTAACATCCGATAAATTTATATCCACAGTTTAAGGTCAGGCTATGAGACAAAGAAGCCTATTGATTTTCAACTATTTCTAATTAATTATTGCCAGAGTTATGGCCCTTGACCTCTTTGAAAAATTCTGTAGAAGCTCTAGAGGCTAAAGTTAATATCCGATTGACTTTAGATTTATACACAGTGTTTAAGGTGGCCCTTTATCACTTTGAAAAATGCTGTGGATGCTCTAGAGCCTAAAGTTAATATATACTCTTCAAAAAAAGTAGGGGATATTCAGAAACAATACAAAACTGCAGAAATGGACTGCTGTTTTTATTAGGGGTAACCAGTGTATTTTAATAACAGGCCAATTGCCTGTTGTCGGTTGACGTTGACATCAACGAACACGTCTCCCGATCAAAACATAACACACTAAAGCAATCTAAACAGTAAATATTATGCAAGAACCGATAGGAAAGCAGACATGGATAGGATAAACCAGCAAGCGGCAGTTTTCATCAACCCTTCCTTGAAGTGTCAAATTTGACAATGAACCCCTCCCACGTGTATGGCGCTATTGCGTGTCGCACATGCAGCTCAGTTGGGGCGATAAGTTCTTCATCTGTGAACATACTCTCAAAGCATGTCAAGTGTCCATGACTATTTATCATATCACAACCTGCAAAGGTATTTCCATTTCAATATCCCCTACTTTTTTTGAAGAGTATATATATATAAATTGTATACGGTCATGAGACAAACAATTAAAACAAATTCTAATGATTTCTGAATTATTTACTTTAATGGGTTATTACTCGTAATCAGATTTTCGTGTGTTGTAAATTTTTTCATTACTGACAAAACAAAAAAATATGCGATAACCCTTGTTGACTGTCTGGATGACTTAGCTGCTGTGGGCATATGTTTCGTTGCCTGGTAACCGATCCTTCATTTTCATTTTGTTTTTTTTTACAGATTCAAGTTCAATAAACTTTCTAAATGAGTCAGTTACCAACGCAAGGTATAGAGAAAATACCTGATTCTACAGGTTATCTTGTTCTAACACAAGATGGTGCTGTCATTAGTGTGAGTAGAAGTCTGCTATCTAAATAGCATATAGCCATTACATTATAGCATACCCATTGCTGTGCCAAAGTATTTGCCTTTTAAAGATACATTATGGCACATTAGATAACGAGTTGGCAGTTCTCACTATAATAGTTAAAAACTAGATAATGTAAAGGCAATTTGCTGAAAATTTCAGTTAAATTAATCCACTATGAACCGAGAAATAAGCGATGGAAAGTTCCGCATAGCTTTGTCATCATTACTAAAGTCGGTACGACAAAAATCATAGTCTCGATTATCCATTTAATCGTTAAATCGAGAAGGAAAGTTATGCAGCAAATCGGATCATAATCCAACAAATATTGCAGGCTAGCATTGACATCGAAAGTTGGTTATGGTCTGGATACGTTTATTAATGTCTAATTAATAGTTTATATAACATTTCAGGCTCCCCCACCCCCCCTGCAAAAAGGTTTGCCCCTCCTGTGAAATAATTGTCGACCATAAAAAAAAATAGATGTACATTGTCCGTCAATTTTACAGCATCCCTGAGAACACTTCCCGCCCCCCTCTTTGGTCTAAGCTAGTTACGGCCCTGCATCTTGTATTTGTGTCCATTAGCTGAAGAAAAGTGACAGGTTGTACATTGTATGCATTGTTCGTGTGGATGTATATTTTGTCGTCGCCCCTGATTGTACCAAAAAATCACGTTTTTTTTTAGCTTGTGGACCCTCAAGTGATCACAATTTTTTATTTGATTTAAAAACCATTCAAATATATCACTGTTAACCCCAAATTTCATGTAAATCAGACCAAAAGTCCTGACAAAACAAACGCTTCACTGTACACAAATAGTCTAAAGGTAAGTAATACCAAGGTTGTAGATCTGATTTTGATGAAACTTGAAATGTATGTTTATTACCCAAAAATCTTGGTTCCTTTAGATATTGGCAGACCGTAACTCCCTGGATTATGGCCCCTGATTGTACGAAAACTCCTGTTTTTAGATTGTGGACACTGTAGAGGTCACAATTTTTATCTGATTTTGATGAAACTTAAAATGAATGTTTATAACACTGTAGAGGTCACAATTTTTATCTGATTTTGATGAAACTTAAAATGTATGTTTATAACCCAACGATCTTGGTTCTTTTTAATATTGGCGCATAACTTTCTGGATTATGGCCCTTGACTATACAAAAAAATTGCGTTTTCAGCTTGTAGTATGTCCATCTCTTGCAAAATGTTGGCGTGTCTTGCATGGCAAACACAGTTCTTTGTTCCTTTAGCACAGTAACATCCTGGATTATGGCCCCTGATTGTTCTTAGCTTGTGGGACCACTAGGTCACAATTTTTATACACCCACATTTTCATGTGGGTGGACATATTATGTTGTTGCTTCTGTCTATCTGTGTGTCTGTGGCCTGTGCTTGCCTTCATTAGGCTGATTGGTGCAGAAAAGTAGGATGTTAAACCCCATTTCATTTCACCCCCATCCATCTCTGTCCCTCGACAAGGTTTTAAACTGATTGACACCTGATCAGTGTTTTTAATAATTGTAAAAGATGTATATTTTAGTCTGGAGGAGAATTAGAGAATGATGAGGAAACAGCCAATAAAATTTCACGATTGGTTCACACTGCAACAGGTATACCTGTTACAACGGATAGACGAGATAGTTTTAAACGAATTTCAAGTGAGTTTACAATTTTTATTCAATATCATTGATAGATATAAATTTTTATATGCCCCTATTTTCATGTGCAATATTTAATAGAACACAAGATCAAAAAATATCTTTTTATACGTCCACACCTAAATGTAGGTTTATTATGTCGTCACCACATCTGTCCATCAATAATTGGCTTGTTAACACAATGGCTACAGTTTTTAACTTTTTTTTTCATAATTGGTGTGAAGCATGAGAGAATAAATCCTATCGAGTTTCAACATTGTTCCTGACTTATGCCACCTTTTCTGAATACCTCTGAACTTGTGCAATAGAGTCTATAGTTTTTAACAGATTTTTTTTCAAATTTTTAAAGCATTGGGGTCTTGAAAGGTAAAACCCTATCAATAATCAGCATTCTACTATCTTCTGTTACCTCCCCTTTGCTGAAACCCATGTGAATGATATAAGCTAGTTTGTAACAAATCTTCTTCAAATTTGGTGTGAAACATTGGGGTTAATAATCATAATTCTACAATTTTCTGTTACAGAATTACCTCCCCTTTGCCCAAAACCTTGTGCACATGACAGTTTTATCGAGTTTGGTATTCAGCATTCCACAAAATTCCATTCTAGAGTTATGCCATATTTTTCTAAAAACCTTAGGAGCCTGTGTGGGCATATATCCACAGTTAAAGTTCGTTCTAAGGTGTTAAAAGCACTTTTTAATGACTTTAGATTTTTGTTATTTATTTCGAACAATTTTTTTATTCATTTATTGTCTCTAAATGCTGGACAGGATTCGGTCTACTGAACAAATTGTAACTGTAAGGATGTTAGTGTGTAATTGGAGTTTAAATTTTCATAATTTGTTTTGTTTCAGTTATCTGGGATGATTTCATGTACGTTATCAGTGTATCCAGTCAGAAGATATTTGTTGCTAAACGAAAGTATATTCCACAAGACCCTGTAGTCACGTGACAAGTTAATATAAACAATCTCTGTGAAGAATACATTGTAGTGAGGAGTAAATTGTACATATTATTATAAAAACTTTTAAAGATATGAAAATATTGATTAAAATTAATTTCAGTCTTCAGATTATTGGAATAACGGGAGAAGATTTGGTTGGTGCTAACACAGGCAAGGCCACCCAATCTGCTGGCAGGCAAGATAGCACAGAGTGAAAAGATTTAAGTATTTGTAAAAATGTATGTCATATTTGAAAGTTTCTGTTTAAAGCACGGGCTTGTGCTGGTTACTTTGATTAGGGAAACACATACAGGGGTCTGTGCTATAATTAATGAAATAAATAAAACTTTTTGACTTTTTGATAACTAAAGCTTTTTAATTGATTCTAAAATGTGATCAGATAATAATTGACTGGTTAAGGCTTTTGTCCAATGGAAGATATTGCCTCTTCCCTAGCTACCAGAACATAGATATACCGATGTGTTTGGTTTTAGCTAGGATTAGTTTTTACCTTGCAAACTTAATTTCTTTAAAATAAGATAATTGTACATTAATGGCACTTATTAAACATACCAGTCCCAATGCAGGGATAAAAATTTCACATAGCTGCAAAATATTATCATTTTTATACGTCCACATTCATAATGTATTATGCCGTCGCCTCTGTCTGTCGGGTGTGTGTATGCATTTATGTATGTATGTTTGTGTCTGGCCTACAGGGATTGACTTGAAACTTTGTATACTTCTTCCTTACCTTATACCATAAGGATGATCCCTAGGGGCAGAGCCACGCCCATTTTTTTGTGTTTGTTTGTCATATACAGGATGCATTTCTTAACGGAACATGTTGAAAATTTGGACACTTATTCCTTATACCCTAATGATCACCCCTATTGGTTTTGGTGCATGCCCAACTCCCAGGGGCAGAGCCACGCCCATTTTCTCTTTGTATGACGCTTACAGGCCGCATTTGTTAATGGATCGTCTTGAAAACTTCTCATACTGATTCCTTATACCCTAAGGATGATCTCTATTATCTTTGGTGCATGCCCGACCCCCTGGGACCGAACCACGCCCAATGTTTGTGTGTGTCTTTGTGTCGCCTACAGGCCGCAATTCTTTACAGATCCTTTTGAAACTTTGCATACTTATTCCTTATACTCTAAGGATGATCCTATTGTTTTTGGTGAATGCCTGACCCCCAGAGGCTGATCCACACCCATTTTTGCTTTGTGTGTTACCTACAGGCCACATTTTTCAATGGATCGTCTTGGAACTTGATATAAGTATTTCTTATAGCCTAAGGACGGCAACTATTGATTTTGATGCATGTCCCAACTCCTAGGGGCAGAGCCATACCCAATTTTTGTGTTTATCGTATACTGGCCGCAATTCTGAATGGATCATCTTCAAACTTGGCATATGTATTCTTTATAGCCTTAAGGCGGCAACTATTGATTTTGGTGCATGTCTCGACTCAGGGGCACAGCTACTCCCATTTTTATGTATTTAGCGTCTGAAGGCCACAGTTCTGAATGGATTATCTTGGAACTGAGTATACTTATTGCTTATACCCCAAGAACGGCAACTATTGATTTTGGTACATGGTTAATATTTTGTCTGTAAATAATCTACAGATTGCAATTATTAAAATATTTGGATCTAATTCAGTATGATCAATCATAGGGTTGTACCTATTTATATTGGCCCATTTCCAACCACCAGGAGCAGAGCCACGCCCAATTTTTGCATTTTTTGTCTACAGGCTGGGATTCTGAATCTGAATGGATCATCTTGGAACTTGGCATATTTATTCCTTATACTGTAAAAATAGCAACTTTTTATTTTGGTGCATGCCCTGACACCCAGGGGCGGTGTCACACCCACGTTTTGTTCAATTTAGTCTGTTAATTTGGCAAAACAAACCAGACGCCAAGCCTTCATTATTTTAAAAAGTACCATATGAATCAAAGCAGGAATGTGGACGTATATAGCAGCGATAGCGATGCTCTTGTTTTAGTTTTACAAATGATAAATTCCTGCCAAATTTCATCCATTTTTAGTTACAGAGCATTACACATGCGTCAACCAACAAACACAGGTCTTAATATGAAATTCCAGATATCGTGCTACATTTTCTTTCAAATCTATAAATTATTTTCTGGTACATTCATATTTACATTAGTTGGACGGTACTAATCAAGCAGTTGCCACATTTTGCAATAGATGGATTGATGGCAGTTAAATTACTCGTTTTAATACTAATTCCAGTTATCGTTCTTTGAATGTATTAATTATTTCCTAGCACATAGCACATTCATGATTATATATTTAGTTTGAGCAAAGACATATTATGTCCCTTTCATAGAATAGCATGATTACTTAAAGTAAACCGAAAAAAAAATCTTTAAGAACGGCCAAAATGCAGAGCCAGCGAATTTGAAGATACATTAGTTAAGATTTTAATAAAGAGTTGACCATTCTTGATATAGCAGTTCAAAAATAAATGATAAAAGAAGAAAATATTGAAAAATTCAGTCAAATTACTTTATTCTGAACGGAATTATCACTGTTGTAAGTTTGGACTAGAAATGGGCACCAACTGTCTGCGCACCATCTCCGAGAATTGCCGATCGTTTGATTCTTAATGCCTACAGTACCCTCGATTGTCGATCCTTTCATTGGTGCAGCTGTCTCCGGTAGTGACGTCAGTGATTAGCAGTAAATGTTAGCTTGGTCAGCCATTTAATGATTTAATTATTAAATGGACGACTGTTTAAATCCAAGCCATCCGAGGGTCTACAGAGTTGATTTTAATTTTTATGTAAATGAAGGTCAGATTGATAATTTCTATAACATTTGAAGCCTATAGAAAGACTTGCAGTAAGCATATTTAGCTCTTAACTAATTAATGTATCTTTAAGCAAATTCATGATGACGACACAAACATTAGGTGACAATTCTCCTTCGTATAGTACAAACTGTGGCATGATTGTCTCTGAAGATGATGAACCACTGTCTGCTTGCTCTTGTAAGAAGAGACCATCCAAGATGAAGTTGATGCTGTCAACACAATAATGCAGGACAGGCGAGTAATTATAAGTGAGCATGACATTATGACCAAGCATAATGACCAGTCAGTTTTAGATAGTATTTATTTTAATGTGTCATGGTTAATATAGACAGGGTAGTAGCAGCTACGTCGTTCATCCACTGTGCTGCAGGTGTACACTGTAGCCTACGTATGTATTGAATTATTGTCATTTGTAGGATATAAGTTCCAGTAATTAAAAGACTGAAGAACCATTCCAGGCTTATTAGTTATTGAAGAACCTAGCGATTACAACATTGGCAAAACATCAGTTCAACGAATAGGAAACTTTTAGGAAGTTTCTAAACATTTAAAAACTTGTGCCAAAAATTTAAATAATAAATTTAGTATGGTCTGATGATACCACGAAAAGAAGAAACGTGGAAACAAATTTCATTGACCAATTCTTACCAGACTTAAACATGCATTATACAAGAGCTAATTCTGCCTCTTGCGGGTCTTTCTTTGGGTCTAAAATGTTATCTAAATTATTAATTTAGCCTGCGATATTTACTGGATTTGAAAACATTTTGTGATGAATGAATTAACATATCTAGAGCATCGCTAACGCTGCAATATACGTCCACATTCCTGCTTTCATTGATCATGGTACTTTTTAAAATGAAGAGATTGAAATATGAAATAGCGTCAATGACTGTAATATGACAAGAGGCAAAGAAGGCTCATACTCCCCGCAGTGTTTCGTTTTATAAGAGCTAATCCCACTAAACACTGCTTTAATTAATGGAAGCAAATTTCTGTTCCAAATAATGACTGGTCAATAGTCCGATTAACAACCAATTAGCTAACTGCGTAACAATATTACGCCTTAAACAAAGCTCCAAATTGGACCAAATATGTTTACATAACGTTAATTCATGACTCACGATTTTATTATGCCCAATTAACCAGTGCATAGTAAAATATTGCAGAAAAACTATACTCTTCAAAAAAAGTAGAGGATATTCAGAAACAATACAAAACTGCGGAAATGCACTGCTGTTTTTATAAGAGGTAACCAGTGTATGTTAATAACGGGCCAATTGCCCACACATGAACATAAACGTTCATATGGGCGGCTTATCTGACGGACCCATTTCACTCGCAAAGAGATACACCGTCAACCGTTAAAATGGACGTTTTTTATTTTTGTCTTAAAGTTACAATTTCATATTTTTAAGTTATATTTTTAAAATGTATTAAAATAAAGCCTTAAAATAGATGGTATCTATAAACAGTCCTACCCTGTTAAAGAATAATCCTATTAATCCTATAATTCACTATTGCCAGTTGACAAATTGGCAAAAATATCATTTTCAACTTCAAATTCAAACGTTTGAAGAAAGCTATTCCATGGTGGGGAAACAAGGGAGATAATTGGGAGGTAATTCTGTTATTATTTCCGGTGTGAAAATTTGTAAGTGTGGGAAAGATAACCTATGATCGTATAATAGTAAGCTAACAACCTATTGAGGAAAAGACATAGAAATAATTATGTTTTGACTTTCTTAGAAAATATGAAATTGTAACTTTAATAATGAGTAATTGCTCCACCAATCCTGAGACATTCAGTCATTCGTCTTGGCATGCTCCTAATCAACCGTCCAATCACGATTTTGGGCAATCTGACCCACTCCTCTTGCAGTGCCACGGTCAATTCTTTCAGTGTTATCGGTCGACGTTGACGAAGACGTCTCCCGATCAAATTAAACGTAACACACCAAAGCAAAGATACGCTAAACAGTAAATCTTATGCATGAACCGATAGGAAAGCAAACATGGATAGATAAACCAACACGCGGCAGTTTTCATCAACCATTCCTTGAAGTGTCAAATTCGACAATGAACCCCATCCACGCAGAGGCGTAGCCGTGAAATATATATTTGGGGGGGGGGGGGTGTCCGGAAATGAAATTATATAATGTTGACAATCTGTGACGCTGGAGGCACGGGGCTGTGCAGCAGACGATGTTTCAGTCTTCTGTAGACACTGTTTTGGTATATTTTACGGGGTTAAACTAAAACACCATACCAACGAACACGTCTCCCGATCAAATTAAACGTAACACACTAAAGCAAAGATACGCTAAACAGTAAATCTTATGCATGAACCGATAGGAAAGCAAACATGGATAGATAAACCAACACGCGGCAGTTTTCATCAACCATTCCTTGAAGTGTCAAATTCGACAATGAACCCCATCCACGCAGAGGCGTAGCCGTGAAATATATATTTGGGGGGGGGGGGGGGGGTCCGGAAATG